ATATCCACGCAAGAAGATCAGACAATCGCCCTTAAGTATTTTGTAATCGGACACCTTTCAGCTTCCTGAAATATCATAACATCTGACAAAACTTTACGCATCTGGCGGTTGACGTTTCACAGAAGCGCATGCGCATTTACGCTTTGTTATCGCTGCTTGTGATCAATACTAACCAATACTAACCCCCCGATATGGATCAACAAGCAAGTGACAACAACAAATTTTTTCAATTATAATGACATACATTTACCATCTTCAATAATTAATTATAAATTGCCTTCACTTGATAATGCATATATTTTAACATGAACCAGTCAATAATGAATGAATTCAGCAACAGAGTGATCACTACTAGGCAGGAACTATGGCTTCCTCTGCTTGGACCTACCTGCATGCGTAATGAGAGTTTTATAACTCTGGGACAAAGTTGTAACCCCATATACACTCCTAAACTTACGTATTTTTATACTTTATAAAGTTTATATTAAAATTATCTTGTCGAAATTACTGCATATGTTCTTATATGCCCTAAATTTTGCGGAAATTTATGTGTGATTCTTTAAATAACTACACGAAGTCACGAACGTCTCCTTTTAAATACCCCCCCCCCGGAAAGAGTTTGAAAGAGAGAAATTTGCCTCTGGACTAAAAGTAAGCATTATATGGTTTCTCGAAATCTTGAACTTTATTTTTAATGGCTCCTACCAACATGGTCATTAAAGGCATGCTGATAATAATATTCAGAGAATGCATGTTTAGAAAACATGCATATATACAGTGCTATATATAACTAAGGGCTCACTAAGCTATAGCATTAAATTTCATTATTCACGACAAATCAATGCATGCATCCTTATCGCATGTGGTTTGAGTTTAATTTGTAAGGATGAAATTTCCTCTCGACTTTATTGATAAGAGATTAAGTTCGAAGACAAATTATCAAACCTTTACTGAATTTAAGCCGGTAGAACGTAGAAAAAATTTCCCCACAACTAGCTACCTTTCTTTTTTAGCCCTAAAATAGAATTGTGTGCCGCAATTTTGCGGCCTATTGCGATATTCACGATATGCATAGAATGTCATGCATGCATTAATCTTAACCACCCGCAAAATTTTCTCTTAGTCTGTCAAAGAGAACTAGAGGAGTCCCATCAAATTAAACTAAAGGTTTAATCAGGCAGAAAATGTTTTGATTCTAAACATTTTTAAAATAATTATAGTAATATAGGTATTATAGGTCGTACAGACAAAAAGGAATGAATTGCTCAATATATAGACTAGTTTATAGAATTAAAGTGTGAAAATATACTAAAAAATTTAGATTTCGGTGGACAAGAAGATGGGAGACAACGTAGTAATTTTGATACCTCATTAAAAATCTTTGTAATCACGAGTTTATGACAGCATGACACGATCTGAATTTAACTAATTTTGCTTCATCCGCAGTACACGTCCAGTTGTGCTGATATGAAAGCCACTTATGGACTGGGCATGCATAAAAGAGAAACCATGCATACCAACTGATATACATAAATATATATAAAAATACTCTATTAAAGCGGCAAACAAATGCAAATTTTCAATTACAACAAATGAAATATCTACACATAATACAACAAATATAGAACAGGAAAACGAAATAAATACAGTAACAGGGTGTGAAGAAATTTGACCTCTTCAGTGCCAATTTTGTGCAGAGTGCACTTAATCATTCTAGGTAGAGGCTGTGAAACCGGTGAGCGCTACTTTTTGGGTGGGGTCTGCGGGAAGGCTAGATATGCACACGCCATACTTTTTGTGCAAGGGTGATTGCAGTTTTTTGCAAGTAATTAGTAAATGTCCTTTCCTGAAGCGACGTGCTTCGGTTTTTCTGGGAGGAAATCGCCTTTCTGATTTCTGAAAGACTGCTTTTGAATCGTTTCTTTCTACAAGTAGCTATATAAAATCTTGATTATGCCCCCCACTTTGACATGCTTCCGCTGTTCATGTTACTATATAGCTGTTCTTTATTAAGCGGATCCAACACTTTTGAATGGAAAGGTCTAATATATTTGATTGTCAACTATATCGGCAATGATTTACTAAATGATCCTTTACAATTTAGATTCTGACATCAAAAAGACCGCTATATCAGTATCGCCAATTTATTCATTGCCTACATATTACAATTATAACAATTGTAGGTAACCTTTCAAGATTTTATCGTCGAATATAGGGCCTTTTAAGGTTTTGTGTATTGATATGTATTCACAATTTCCGATACGTGCGAGCTATATTGATTCTCGAGACTCGAGAGTCAAAGGCCTCCCGATGCAAAACTTAGGCCCCATGCATGCACTCGGCCTATTGTAATGTCAGAGAGAATTAAGAGCACGAAAAACAATGAAAGGAAGCAAACTAAAGGAATGGCGAAATAAAGGGGATATCTAAAAACAAGCAAATTGTATGCACAAGATCATATGGCACGGCTAAGGCTAGTTTCCACTCAGGAAAATTCCCATTTGGATCGGACAGGACAGGAAAGTTTCCTTTGTATAAACGCCACCTGAGAACTCGCCGACAAAGGAAATTTTCCTGTCCGTTCCGATCCAAAGGAGATTTTTTCTAAGTGGAAACTAGCCTTAAAATGGCCTCCCGTACCAATTTTATTTGTGTGCCTGAACACGAATAAAATTATTTTGAGGCTTATGGCATGATTTGCAAGTTTTTCATTCCATCCAGTATGACGTGTTAAAGCCATGGTAACCTCATCGCCATTGGCTTAAATTTCACGTGTTAGGTATTATTGTCGGACGTCGGTACTACATCTAGTTGCCTCGATCAACAAACTAATGAACTAGAATTGGCAGTATTGTTTGTTATAAAACTATAAAAGTCTGTTCGCGGAGGCCTTACGTGCAGAAATTTCCTGATTAATAACTAATGTTTCCCTTGGTGCACACGTCAAAAAAATCAATTAAAAAATTTAGTTTTTATTGTTTCGAAATGGATGTAATTGCACCGACAAATCCATCGTTATAGGGTGGCAATCTCACGCAGTGTCTCTGGCGTGAAGCCTGCCCGGTCAGTTAATTAATTAACAAGACCGGCCAAGCTCATATATTATAAGCCATACAATATAGTGTAAGCAGTGAGTGTAAGCCACTTCAGCCAACAGACAACATAAGTGCAAACATAAAACCATTTATAAACTTTGGATTTTTTCTCCAGGTTTTATTTTACTGCTTCTCAAAATATAGCGGTTTTTACTGGATTTATTTTACAGTTGCTTCTATGATTGATTAATTGAATTACTTCAGTCTTCATGCCAAAGAAAATTGCCTTTCAATTGGAGCAGATCTTTCAAACAGATATACATGACACCCTTGCCCAAGTATACTCGTGCAGGCATAAATTGTTATTGTACTTATGAAATACGCACTCGACACTTATCATCCAGGGAATTGAGAAACGTTTTTACAATCTAATTGACCTTTTATGACGGGTTGATTTGAAATGCAGATGCGGTCGAGAACGCGGCTATGTATGGGCAAGAAAGGCAAATACGAAGATAGCTATAATGTCTTTCGCTTCACTATATTCTTTCAGCCCAACGGCTAACGACTATAACAAGGATAGTATGCGAATGTGGGTGTCTTTGAATATACCATGAGCCATTGCAGAATATGCTGGTAACGTAAAGCCAATGACAGAACAGAACAAAGGCTCAGTATATTGAAAATGGCAACACAGTATATTGAAAAAGGAAACAAAGGTTGATATAGATCGATGAAAGGAAAATGAAAGGTGGTAGGGGCATGTTTCTAGCTATATATGAATCAAATATGAAAATAATGAAAAGCTATAAATAGCCATTGGTTACACTAATTTCTTATAATTAAAAGCATTTTAAAAAAACTTTGATTCGGTTTTCGTAAGCGATGCTCTAGGATTCATTATCGATGAACAATAAAGATGAAAAGGACAAAGCATTTTATACATCATTGATATACACCGCGACAATGCACGGCATCGCCAATGAAACGCGGTCTTTCAGTTCCTGAGCAAACACACACATGCACAAAACAAACTTCGTGCATGTGCTATCATTTTACGATATGCAATGTCTAATGAGGTGTGATGATTGTAGATAAACAACATTGAATCCTTAATTGAAATTTGGCATGTATTATCTTCCTCATAAAATAAGCTGTAGTAAAAAAGTCAACAATAATATTTCAAGTGGCGCCGAGAAGGTTCATAAATTATGACTAACCCCTAAATTCTCAAGATGTTGTATTAAATCTGCCACGAGTTGAAAAAGAACACAGGTGCAAATGTCTTGTAATTTAATACAGGCTGTCTTTGACTTTGAACTTTAAACATTGAACAATGAACAGTAAACCTTACTGACTCCAAGCGCGCCAAACAAATATTGCTATTTCATTTTAGAAAGATTATATCGAGTGTTTGATTATTTTAGGTGCATAACATATGAAATATACTCAGAAAAAACCTCAAGAATTCCCTCCCCCGCCCTATAAGAACATGCATGATTGTATCATGCAGCCAATGAATCATAATAGGATTTCTGTACATTAACCAAGGCCATTGCCATTAAGCAAATTAGCGTGTATTAATATTAATAAAATTTATACATTGTCATTGACATTTAATTTACTCCAACCGCAAGGTGACCTCCTAAGAGCAAATTCAAATTTTTTCTTGCATGGATATTTCACATTCGAAGAACATACATGCAACGAAGACTACTGACGAAGATCAGCACAGAACCTGGGAACGAAGTGGTTTCATGCATAGTATATGTGCAACTTTAAAAAAAATCTTATGCTTATATGAGCATATATACCTCTTCATTTCCTTCGTGAAAAAATTCTCTTCCATTGTAGATAAATAAATGCACTGAATCCTGTACGCATGGGATTTTTCCATTCTTCCATCCACACATTTTGAAGCCCATATTTATATACGTTGCATGGCATTTTCAATATTTGTATCATATTTTAACATTTTCGTTGATTGTTTATTTGCTAACTAATTTTCGTTCGACGTACTTAATCGCCATGCATCTTGGTTGATTCTTCAATAAAGTTTACTTTTCTGAAGAAGCTGAGAGCAAATTGAGTTGATTTACCTTTCCTTTTGTATATCATGTAAACGTTTTATCATATCAATCGTATTACTGACGCTGTGAAAGTGCCTTTTTCGGATATAACACTGAACGATAAAAATATGATTTCTGCACATGTTTATTTTCAAAAATCAATCAAGATAGCAGAAATTACTAACTACCTAGTTCCTATGATATAATTATAGTTTATAGTAAATGAAGATAATAAAACTACTTGTATTTTAGTTTCTTATCCAGAAACGCCTTGGAATGCCTAATGAAATTTGCTAATACGTTCAAATGTTTTTAATCAATGTACAATAGATTACACAACAGAGACACATATATCCTGTTTATCAATATATTTTGTCGTCTTGGAAGGAAGGTCCGTGACGTACAAACTCCCATGCAAGACTCAATGAACACATGTCTTCTTCGTGCTGATAAGAAAATGCAGCCAATCTATAAAACCTTGTTAATCGTTTCCACAACTTTGTTCACTGGAATCTGCAGTATATACATGCAACAAAATTATAAACTGTGAATCAAAAGAATTTCCATCACAATAGTCGTCAAAATTAAAAAGATATAGCTTAGCCGGCTTGGCCCCTACTTCCAGTCAAACCATGCATGCAAGCAATGAATGCTTGCTGATGGAAAAATATATGTACAAATATCCGGTACAACTCACTTCCCCAAGGCCAAACATATGTACGTGCATAATTCCGGTTATGCTTTCGCGTTGTGTTTATATGGAAGCGGGACACGCTGCAGCGATATACGATAAGCTATAAAGCTCTTTTTTTAACATTCCATTCCGCTATTGATTTGGGCAAGAATATGCGCTGACGTTGCATTATTCGAGCACTGTATATATGCATGCATGCATATTACGTATTTACGTTTCTCACCTTGTATTCAGCAAATACGTGGCATATAAACTTTCCTCCTCCTTGACTTTCAACTAAACCAAAATGGACCCAATCACTGCAAGAAAAATTCTTGTTGGTAAGATTACTATGAATCATGTACAGAATAAAGATGAAATATTCCGGTGACCCGGTCAGACGACCGCGCTAATATTAGACAGTTCAGATCAGGGTTCAAATCATCATCATACAGATAAACTGTCCTTTCCAAGTACAGAGGCAGACCGCAGTAATATTAGCTAGGCAATTCAAATCAGGGTTCAAATCATTATTATACAGACAAACTGCATGTCCTTTCCAAGTACAGAGGCAGAGCTTTTTTATTATGCTTCGATCGTCTCTGTTTAATGTCGAGCCTCTTTCCTATGTATGGCTGTACTGCACCCTTCTTGATTCAATAAGGTTGGGGCGTTTATATACTAAGACTTCCTCAATTGAGCCTCTTTTCAATTATAGTCCCACTTCTTCTAATAAAATCCTGTTCGATTTTGGACCTCAATGAGAACAACATTATTCTACGGTCATATATATGGTAGATGTTCGCGCAAAATACGGTTTTATAGCTTACCTAGCGATTCCACAGTAAGATATTTTTTCAAGTGGAATATATTTACATAATTTCCCACTTTTTGTTGAATCATCCAAAGTGATGAAATCGGGAGAAATGCTTATTGTACATATTTGAAGCATACTTTCTTGAGCAACCTGTCGATAAAACAATGATGACAGGTAGCGTTATAAAGGTTGTCAAACACAAATTAATTGCAATAATGCAAGTGATAACAATTTTTCAATGATTTCATCAGCCAGATAAGACAGAGCGCATATTCTGCACTTATATATCTATATATGAAGCATGGTATAGACTGGCAGTGAGCTTCTGTCAGTTCTGAACGTTTCACCACACGCTTTGCCAGGAATTAACTGCTTTCAAAAACTTTTTTTTATCTTTGACTTACCCCAACAGCTTCTCTTATAGCGGGTTGTCCTGTACCAACAGAAACCGGCTTATGTCCATAATATTTGATCAAATATTCAGTAGATGATGGTTGCTGTGCTGTTGCGTTATCTAGCAATGGCTCCTAAGCAGAAACCGCGAAAAAACCGTGTTGATTGACATCGGAAATGAACTGTTGCAAATAGCTCTGACAATTTCGCGAAGCAGGGCATTGAACTATATATTATTTTAAACACTCAACAGGGTTTCCCTATATATGGAAAACCTCTTGAAATTTGAGGAAAATATTTAATCATTTTGGCTACCATACACGGGAGGGAAATGTACCAGTCAATCAACACTAACATTATTTGCATGCATGATTGTCTCTTTCTTTCCTTGTAATAATTATTGATCTAGTTATAAAATGAGTTTTTAATTTACAACATACCGGGCTACTTCTCTTGGGTACTCCAAGCTTGGCTTGATTAGCCAGCTTTCCAAGAAATCCCTTTATTCCTGCACCAGACTACAATTATGGAAAATATACTCAGTTCATGCATGACATAAACACTTTCATGTTCTTCGAACCAAACGTTCTCTCACTTAAACCTCCGAACTTTTATATCGTGCAATTATCTTAAACAGCAGCAACATCGTCGTCTCAAGTGGCTATATGGAGTCCCCCGTAGGCTCGGCCGGCTTGAGACTACCTGTCGCAGGATACGTTTATAGGTAAACTATGAGATGGACTTTGCACGAGGCGAGGCACAAATTAAGGACGGCAAGAAACAGCGGGAAAAAGCTTAGGCCAGCCGTACCAGGGGCCTTATTTCTATAATCAGGAAACCAACCTTACCCAACCCACCAGCTATTTTTTCACGTGTTTGTTTCGCCAAAATCCCTTGGCTAAATTCAGGTACCGGCCTTACGCGTTGCATCTTGCATGCAGTTGATATTGGTGAAAAACAATCATGGAACAGGTTACAGGGGAAAACTTTCTGAGATACACACCCTATTCATGTCTTTATCTGTATTTTTCCCTGCTTCTGTGGGGATGAACTTTTCTGCTAGTTCTGGATTCGTGTCTAAGCACGATTGTAAACGAAGCTGGAAAGGACAAATCACTGAATACAATTTGTTTATTTGGACAGGCAATTCTGTAATTTGGGAAGATCATGAATGCTACTGCTTTTTATGCAAGGAAGTTAATGTGTGTTATTGATGAATCTTACCCTACAAGCCTCTTCCAGTGCTTTTGTGAAACTAGCGGCATTTGGTGTACATTGAAACACATGACATAAGAATGGTGAACTTGGATCACCACTGCTTATATAGCCACAGAACCTAGAGAATTGTTAAGGAATTCGGTGAACGATTTTTTTTAACTCGAATTTCTTAAGTCTGAACTCGAATTCAGTTTCTGCATGCATTTTACATGGTGAAAAATAAAAGAATTTGTGGGTGCCATAACGTGGCGTGATTATTCTGAAAAAGTAGCTACGCTGGCAGACAGGTCACGTGGTACCGTACAACAAGGTAAACCGACCGTTACATTTTGTGAAGTTTTATCATAGTAGAATTAAGCCTTAATTAGCTAGGAGCCCAGGGCCAGTTAGCTCTCCCCCTAATGAGCTTCTGTTCATCTTATTATCTCATTAACTGCAACGAATTTGATAACAAAGAATTTTAATCATCACATACCTTACGTCCTTAGCTACTCCAATAAATGAAACAAATTTTATTCTATTTTCGGCGATTACTTCTTGAGACTATAAAATCGAAATGTCGCACATTAATAATGATAAATTTAGCACATTTAATTATTATTTGCAAGCCCCCCTTGGAATCTTTTAAAGCTAATCTCCATTTTACCCCGCAAAAGATTTGTGCATACGTGCTTGCATAAGGTGTATACTGATATACATTTGAAGCCCGCCGCACACGAGAGCTATTAGCTGAACTACAGACTTTGCGAGGCTGCTAGTTCAGCAAGTTACTCTCGTATGCAAGTAGTTATCTTGAGGAATTCGCCTCGAGAGGCAAGTTTCGCACGTGTGCGGATGGTTTTCAGTTAACTGCCTTGCGAGGTCGTTGTAGGAAAATCTCAATTAGGGTTTGGTGCTATGGACGTCCCTCCCTCCCCCCCTCCATCTATCAAACATGCCTGCATGGAATATGTAGTCTGGAGTGGGCTTAATATATTTTTATAATATTAAAAACTTTGAACAATTAAGAGGATAATATATCATTACTACTTTTATAAAAAAAGGGATTTTACCAAGCAGTCAGTAGAGCGAACACTCGAGACAGTAATTTCAATCAGACATGTGCGCCACGTGTGAGGATTAGTTGAAGTTATTGCAACATCAATGGCCTTGTGTACAACATCTATGCCTAAAGAGAGGAGTATGATGCATCAAAAATCAAGCGGTCCCAGCCCGACCGTTCCCAGAAGATTATACTGACATGGGTTAGGGGTTACTCATAAATTAAGTTCTGCCCGCCGGATTTCTTTTGTAAGTGCTTCTTTTGTAAGTGCAATAGCTTACAATAGAAATCCGTCGGGCAGAACTGAATACACATGAATATGCACCTTTCCCCCCCCTTAATCATCGTTCTAGTTACGCCCCTGCATGACCGACACAACAATGCTGAGTATGACAGGAACTATGACAGAAACACATGGCACATGCAGACAGGGTTGGACCAGTGCAGACAAGATGCTGACAGTGGCACCGTCAGTGCATGATAGACACAATACAAACAATGACACTGACAGTGATAGACAAGGATACTGGCAATGTCAGCAACAGTGATAGACAAAAATACTGACAGTGGCACGTACCGACAGTGATAGACAAGGATACTGACAATGGTACCGACAGCGGTAGACAAGGACTTACCGACAATGCAGACAAGGATATTGACAGTGGCACGGACCGACAGTGGTAGACAAGGACACTGACAATGGTACCGACAGCGGTAGACAAGGATATACCTACAATGGTACCGACAGTGATAGACAAGGATACCTACAATGGCACCGAAAGTGACCGTAGACAAGGTCACAAGGATACTGACAATGACACCGACCAACAGGCAAGGAGACCTATAATGGCACCGACAATGATCGACAAGGATACCGATAAGGGGGCGGATAATGATTGACAAGAATAATGACCGAAGGACAAGAACGGACAAGGAATAAGATAGACAGTAGTTGCCATGTTTTGGTACAATATTATAGAATTTAAACAATATAATTAGCATACCTGTTGGCCTTGGTACTTCCACCTTTCCGATAAATTTCCCTGAGAAACTTTTCTTTGATTCTGTTACTGGCTTCACGTTAAATCCGGCTTGATCTAATGTGATGGATAAAGATGGAAAGTTCTTGGAAGAAATGATACCAAAGAGCAAATCTTAATGATTGAATAACTATTTTATGTCATCCGAGAGGTCCTAAGTCAATGTAGATGTATATATACGGTTTACTGATATGAAAGATATTTTCCAAACATGAATTCGTGCAAGTCATTTAAAAAATTCTAACCCAGAATGATTTTATCTGACCCAGCAATCATAAATCTTATCGCCCACATTAATAGCTCAGGTAAAACGCGGTACGCAGTTATACAATATATAACAAAAATGTATGCATTTCCAGAACACCGATTCCTAGAATGTTGTAAATGCATGTGTATTGCGTAGCAACTTGGCATCAAATGTAGTACCTAGTTCTTCGACGACGCTGCCACGCTGCGTGGTCTGCTTATAAATTGGAATTTTAATTTGTAGTAGCTACTTCTCGTACAAACACTTATCTAAGTATCTGTTTTGACTAACTCGATGATCTGATCTGTACATACATATATTCCTCCTTGTGCATGCGGATGTATCCCTCATTGTATGCATGTACCCCTCTTGCATTGATCTAAACGCCGTCTTTTTAGGCGCTGAATAGTGGATGTAACTATCAGATCCTATTTATGTACTGCTACATTCGTAGCGTATTTCTTTTTATGTATATTTTTTGATTAAATGAAGCTTCCCTCATTTGATGTATTTTTTTCCACTGATTGAGAATAACAGAAACCTTGGAACAGTGTAAGGCAGGTTAGGCAGCTGCAGCTCACGAGTAGAGAATTATATCATATTTAATATGTATATTAAACATTGAAAGAAAATAAACTTATATTAGAAAAATATTTATTCATATTTATAGCAATCTTCATACATTCACGTATATATAAATTAATCGTTATAAACGACTGACGATTATTATAAAATTCCTTCTTTTGGAATCCAAATATATTCTGGGCATGTGTTGATTCTACATTCTGGGGTGGTACTGCATTGTGACCATGCATTGAGATGAAGCTCTTAAACATACTATATACGATATGCATGCATGTTATTGCAAGTAGGTTTTCGATGAAACAACAGGTATATAATACTTTTAAATGCCGTACCACTCCTAACATGTAAAATATTTTTTCCATTCTTCACTGCATGGATTTATTTTTTATAAATGTTAAAATTGTCTTTAAATAAAGCTTCAGCATACATGTAAATAACGAATAAAGGGCGCTTTTATTGACAAGGTAGGATAACTCAAAAGTAACTATATTCGACCCCTATATATACATATACTATAAAAGGCAACACAAGGAATTAAGCGGCTATAATCTATATAATAGTTCAACTAAATGCAGAATATAAGATTATATGGCGTACGTGCACACACATGCTAAGCTTCGGTAGCGAAATATATTCAATCTGCAAACTAATCCTTCTATAATATATCGATGATGGCGCCTTAACATCTTTTGAGTTATCATTTTTGTGTTCAAAGCTTTCAAGTATAGCCAGCATACAGGTTATTATGAAATAAACATATTTGAATGAAAGAGATTAAATAAAATATACTGACTACATTAGTGTGTAAAATATCATCATTAATCTTTTCATATAAAATATCATGTTATTCAAAAATATATTTGAAAAATTTAGACTTTCTTTCTGGCGAAAGAGAAAATAAAAAATATTTCGATGTACCATTAGTACACATTCAATTGGTCTATAGACTGAATTCATTGTAAGAAAAGGTTTAGGTATGTCTGCCTCCCTGCCTTTCAACGTTCCATCGTCTCTGCAATCAATTGAGTCAGGAAAACAGTGACCAAATCCGTCCTGAAAGTATAAAAATGCATTCTCTGCTTGTCAACTAACTTCATTTACTTGGTAATGTGCTGTGCAAAACTTCAAAGTGATTTGATGGTGTACAGAATAGTGCGTATATCCCTCTTCTAGCAGAGTCAAAACATCCACTGACTGCACATGAGATCTGACTTGCAAAGGCAAGATAATACCTCGATGCAGCATGCAGCTAAGTTTTTTTCTAATTTGCTAAGAATTATAGCGACTGTTACAGCTATATAGCATATTTGGTATACATTTTTTACATTTCTTGAATAACATAAACTAAACGATTTCCAGGAGTGATATAGACCCCCTATTTCATGCACAATTGTCCTAAAAAACAAACCAGGTGCAAATATTTGCGCTAAGAGGAGGTGTTTAAACTGAACATAACAAAAGCTGCAGTTGGTCTCCCTCACGGGCCGCGGTCACAAAGAGGCTCAACGCAGGAGATTAAAGCATCATGGGAATACGCTTCATTAGTTTAAAATGATTCCAAAGGATGTATCAAGAACCTTCTTCAGACTAAAATTAACTGTAATTAACGGTAAAAATTGGAGAGAAACATTCTTTAGGGTCCATTTGTGTCACAACGTATTACTACGGGGTGTCCCTAAAAAACCCAAAACTATTGAATGCCTAAACACCCTGTTGGGACCCAAGTGTATAAATGTTCGACAAGTATTTTTATGCATGATGACAGTAAAATTTGCCAGTTTCTATCCACATATGACTTTTATTAACAATATTTATAGAATTACAGTTTACAAATATGGATAGCAATATTTAAATTTACAACCCAAGCACCATGACCTTCGATTCGACATGTGCCTCTTCTCTAGCAAATTTTCAATTTTTGTATTTATATAGCATTTTACAAGTGCACGTTAATCCCCACAGACATAAATTCGCGAACAAGTCATTGAAATTTTAACAATAGGTGATTTCAATAGTTTTGGGGTTTTTTGGGACACGGGACACCCTGTATAAAAGAGGTTATGGGTGATGGAAATTTGAATTTTTATACATCTCACACACGCGACAACTCGCAAAGATTTCCATGCAGAGACTATAGATATGCCAATAACACACTTGCATGTTTTTCCGAGCTATATAGTCCCTTTGGCGCTCATATGATAAAATAGCTTCACTTTATTCGCGTTATTCCCATATCAGACCAATCTACATGCCCGCATATCAAGGATTTACACACGGGATTACTATACCTTTTTGAGACGGTTTTGGTGGAGTATTCAATATATCAGACCACTGTTTGGTTGAACCGTTTTGCTGATTCTCACGAGCTCTTCTTTTCTCCGCCAATATTTTGCTGCACATCTCATGCAGCTTATTATGAATTGCTCGTCCAGAAATGTTTCCATGGCAGCGGAATACGTGACATTTATGTTTGCCAGTAGTTTGATCTCTTGCCACATACGCAAAGTCCCTGTCAAATAGTTGAGTGGTATTAGGAATTATTAATGCACTACCTGGCATTGACTGCATGAGCCCAGATGAGTTGAAATTAAGAGAGTCATAAATGAAACAGCAAAAAGGTTAACTTTATATATGCTTCAACTCAGGGGCCAGTTGTTCAAGACAAAGCTATATAGGTTAGCGCCAACCCTTGGTTAAATTTTCATCCAGTACGTGTTTTAGTTTATGTGCTTGTGAATCACTATTCGTTTGTAAACAAGCGTTTAAAAAAATAATGTAAAGATTTGCCTTAACACAAGGTTAAGCTAACCTGCTTTTGAACACCCGGCCCCAGGTTTTCAAATATTATTATAACATACTTTTGTTCATCTCGTCCAGCCCCCCAAACTCGCATTTTCGAAATAGGTTGTACCAGGAGAATCGCTTTAGTTTGGCAATCAACAAGTTTCAAATTGTCCCCCTCCAGAAGCAAACGTAAATCTTTACCCTAAATAAAATTAAGGTCAGATTTATGTAATAAATATTCGTTTATTGCAAATTAAGATACAGATGATATTCTCTCGGCATTCATTTTTATTTTCTGCGATGAAAAACAGCCAACATTTCCAACAGTAACTAACTAGTGAAGAACAGATTTTAGCACTTTGTTCCGAAAATGTGCTATAGAAATTCAGTAATTCGTTGGGCATCAGTGTGACTAAATCTGGTACAATTTTTTTTACTATATTTGGTCGGTTGCGCATAAATAGCCCCACCTGGTTTTAATAATTACTCCATTAAAACCAAGGGGGGAAGTTTAACTAGATTTGAGTGGCTTTGGTTAAAAAATACGCATGGACGAAAGTGGGATAATGATTCTTGATCGTGGTCAAAAACAGAAAGTTTTCTGATCAACTTTCCTAATTATAGAGTAATGATAAATGTACTAAAAAGAAAATAGTCACATTTGAGTAATTAGGTTAGGTTAATTCAGATTATTCAGTATTTAGCCTAACGACAATATTACATATTCTTCAGATATAGAATATATGTGAAGAACATGCATGCAGTTTTCATACGGCAGTCGGCGATGTATTGTTCGTGACGAGGAAAATGTATTAAAACAACAAAGAACTTCACCGGTCAGTGACAAATATAGCCATCGTCGGGCCTGTGACATATGCATAAGAATTAGACGAATCAAACGAACAGAAATCTTTTTTCGCACAGCATAGACGAAACAAAGTGAAAAGAAACGAGATAAATGGTCGAGAATGACAGGCCTGCAGTTGTTTCAAGTTATTTTATATAGTTCAATTTGATAATCGTTATTCTACATATCATAGTTTCTCGTCCTTATACTCAGCTGAACACAAGCTACATTGGATTGAGTAGAACTCAGAATGGCATCCAACAACAATATTAACACTAATTAAATTAAATTATAAGAACACTTACACCACCCCAGGTTTCTGTTGTTTTCCAAAGATCTTTCCTGTCCCTTGCAAGATTACTGATACACTCGGCAATCGTATCACTCATGTTGTGTGGGGCTACTTGACTCTCTTCCAGTTCAAGCCAACCCATTGAGTGAACAGGGAAACTGATCACCTAAAATGTCAAAAAATAAGTTCTTTACACCATTCCAAATGCCCCGGATAATTTGAATGTATATATAATACAGGTGCTGATAGAATGTTTATGCAAGAGTTAAATTGGAATTTAAAAAGTTGATATTGAGAAAGTAAGAGACACTGTACCATATTTACAGTAAGTCTGATGTACTAATGTGTGATCTGCGTTCTGCTTTCGACAGTTGCCGTTGACGAAGAAGAATGCATGCATGGGTGATAATATTCTTCCTCTAACGTTAAAGGCTCTTAATTAAAAAAATAGACGTCTTCCGGATAATGGTTCATATAGCAATTACTATATACATGCAATCATAAAAGTTTCCATAGCTACAATGAATATCGTGCTCGTTTTTAAATCACATATCAGTACCGATTATCACTCTAAATTAACCTCCACATTAACACACGTTAAGACATGTGTTGTTAAAGTAAATACATAACTGTCTCAAATCAACTCCTAATAGATGATACACTTTAAAAAATAGGGAATTTTTTCATCGCGTGCACTTTCCTCGACTTTTCAATTTAATTATGATTGTTATATAGTACAGGAAACCAAATGTTACATATAATATAATTACAATTCAAAACATATAACCAGGACGATGCAAAAAATTCAACTCTTGGCTTTGGCAGGAATCGGTTTTTATATCATAACTTTCGATTTGAAAAAAAAACATGCTCACAAAATTAATAAAAAGAAATTTGGGGATTGGCCATGCACATGTGTACAATGGATCATATGAGATGGATCATATAGTCAATGGCAATTAAGGCAAGTCGCAAGACTAAAATCACACGAATAGCCACCTGCAGGTTTGAAATTCAAACTATATATTATATATTCCAAGACAACCAAGGATTCTTTATACCTGCATGCATGTAAGAATTCACGCACTACGGTAATAGATACTACAAAAAATTAGCTTTTACGAAAAAAAGTCCCATTAATGTTACGTATAGCCATACATGGCAGGTTGCCGCGGTAGTTACGATATACTGATACATGCTGAAACATGTACAATACAATAAACATTAAATACATCCTGTTTATATATAGCTATAACTTGATTACGCCGCATTTATGCCACAGACACGAAACGAATTCGCATACAAAACCTTTATAACGCCTGAAATATGAATTGTGTGGAAAGGCAAGGTACAGTTATTCAATTTGATATACTTTTGATCCACATGCAGTCAATACCTGCATGCATGCAGACCTCCTTTTAATACAACGTATTCCACGTATCTATACACCAATTCGCTGCTTATATGTCATCCCAGACTTACTAGTCATACTGTATACAGTTTATTAGCCATTCTACCCGAGTATATGGCACCAATGAGTTTAAACATTAATGTGTAATTGTTTAAAAGAAGGATGAAGCGGAAGGATTACAAATAGATATTTACCTAACTACATATTTTACACCTCAAACGTAAAAACAATAAAAACATACAATAATATAGTTCTTTTCGGCTATTTCCTCCAACCCAACAACATCATCTGCCTCCATTCCTATATTGGGCTAATAAATCCTGTCCACTTTACTTAAAGCCATTGGCAAAAATGGCGACTTGAAAACTGTAGTGTTTGTATGCGGCAAAGAAATAGCGAATGACGCCTATTACATATCATTATCATATAACGATAGCTATATACAGCAGGTGCAACACGCACATTCGTTCAAAACACTTAGGAAGAGATAGCCATTTTGAAAAATCTTTACATATGGCTATAGGCTTAAAGCCAAACGAACCAAGAAATCGTTTATTTGTAAACAGAACAAAAGAGGTGCTTTATAATTATGCAGGAGTATTAAACTGAAAAGAATAAACGAATACATGCATCATTTGTCGACATCATTATGAAAGTATACAAAAAACAAACCACGCATTTGCCCACACAACCACAAGTTTGTAAGGCAATTGTCCAATAAATCAAGTAACGTCTGAACAAATTATTTTTACGGCATATAATTTGTTATGAACGACTAGCATGATGTTTCCATACTTGTAACAGGGGTAATATTATTACTGCGCACCAAAGAAATATATAATAACCCAAGCGAGAGAAACGGGCTTTAACGGCGCCCTTTATAACCAGATAATATTCAGGTATCATGAGCTTATATATGCAGCCCCACAACGTAAAAGCTCTGACGTGCACAGGCTTGCATGTTACCTGTGCTGTGACATATCCTGAAACGTACGTATATCAGAAAAAGATCCTATATGTGTTTCTATTGGGATTTCCAATGGGTGTTCATATGGTATATGATGGCACACACTATGGTTCGCTTCTATAAGATAGCTAGTGTTTTGCTCACCAGCTAATGCGCCCTCCTTTCTCAACGTAAAACTCTGGCATGAACTATGTACAGCACGTATAGTAAATATAAAAATAAGAAGAAAAAAACTTAAGATGTGCGTGGCGGAACGAAAAATATCGTTGAGGAAAATGATTTTCGGCGACATATCTTGCATGCATTTAAGAAAAAATTAGCCTATAATTATGCAGACAATAGTTTAGAACGTCGCCTACTTTCAAGTTTTAACTCATTGGCGATGAGCCGGAAATCCGTGTATTTTCAACAGTTTTTATTTCTTAAAAAATTAAAACCCAACCCTTCCTCCTCATGTATAAGGATGCATACCGATATACGATGACGTCCCTTGTGTGCTGATTATATCTCGGTCCTTATATAGAAAATTATGGAGAAGTTGTCTTTGGAGGTCGTACGTGACAAAAAAATTTATATGCATAGTTGAAAATTGTCCCTCCCCCTAGCTTTAGGGTCATGCACAAACTAACATTTATGCATGTATATGTTTGAAAGTCAGCATTCAAAATCACATCTTATATACTTACTGTTTTCAATTCTGGTCTTGGCTTTTCTCTACAAATATTTGAATTTGAGAAATTATTATCAGAAACCGTTTCAGGTGTTTTTAGTGCATGCTTTGTATAAATCAGAAGGCGGGTTGGGTAAAATTCATCACTCGTAAAAACACAGTTAAAATTCATCACTCGCTAAAATTAATCACTCGTAAAAACACAGTTTAAAAACAAGTTTCTAAACGTTTTTTAAAGCAAAATTTCTCCTACAAAAATTCAAAATCACTTACACCTCGGGACGTTGGACTGGACCATCCGTGGACGTGACTGTTTCTAAAATCTACAGAAAGAGAGGGGATATGGGGCTATAGATAAGAATATAAAATCCTCAATTTACTGTTATGCAACGTAGATCTTTCTAATTTTTAAAAGCTCAAAAAGCCAATTTCGCATGCTAAATCCTACGAAACACTATAACTAATATGCACTGATTCACTTGATTATTTCAGAAGAAAAAAAATAAAATGAAGTTTTTAACATTTCATGCGAGCGAATGAAAAGGCGTAAATCTAAATTAATCACCATTACAAATAAATCCAAACTCTTTCGTTGTTGCCTTGTGAGTGGAAACCACACAACGAGAGAAGGTAGATGAATTCGCTTACTTTTGGTTTTTCCCGTTGAATGTTGCCAGTTGCTACATGCCAATAATAAGTTCCATGTAAATCCTTCACTTCCTGCCATCCATCAGGTAAACCTGTCGAACCTTTTGATACGTTTTCCTCTTCCCTGGAATCTGTCGTTACAGAATCGTACATTTCTGGTTCTCCAAACATTTTTGTTGATGGCTGACCAACTATATCAGTCACCAAATACGCTCGTATTGGAGTACTTGGTTCCTCATCCAAAGCCTCAGTTGAAGCACTCTTTTTAACCTGGGCATCTTTTGATTCGTCAGCGTATTTTTTTGCCGGACCTCCATCAGACTTTTGCCGAATGTGTTTTTTAATTGTTTTCATAATGCTTGATCCTTTACCTTGGGATTTTTCCTGCTGGTAATCGTCCTTTAGGAGATCTTCCTGAGATTTCCGTAATTCTTCAGCTTCGAAGTTAGGACGACTTGGCAAAGGAGGGGGTACTTCATCCTTTTCTTTGTCTGGTTCACTCAAATCGATGAGATTCGGTGATTTGGGAAGTTTGTTTACAACGGCATATACTGCATCCACAGGCTGTGGAACGGCCGCCTCATCTTCAATTTCAAGTAAAATTTAGTTATTTCAAGCATTTAAGTTTCAGAACAAACGTATCACGGAGGGTGCATGCAGGGTTAGGCTGCGATATTGCACGTCATTATCCCACAAAGTCATGTTCAGTACACCTAAATTCATCAGTGTGAACAATTAAGTGCGTATATACAGCTAGGAGACTAGGGCAGAAATGTCCTGTCCTGTTTCCGAATAAGCTAATTTACAGGGTTCGTTTTCAATGACTTTCAAGGCTTTGAATTGTCATTCAAGAACATTTAAGGACATTCAGGTTTTGTGAGAACTGAAATTATAATTTAGAAGACTTTTGATGTTTCGAGGACTTGCAGTAGTTACAAAAGGCTTATACTACCCAAGATGGCCGACTACTTTTGTGATTACGTCATCATTGCAAGAGACCAACCCTAACCCTAATATTGCAGATACAAACCTGATGGTTGACTAGGTTCATCATGATCGTCTTTACGCGCACCATAAGGTCTTGGTATCGGCGGAGGTTTCCTTTTCCCTCTATCTGTGCCATCAACACTGTCCTTCGCCTTTGCATATGGCTTTGGCATAGGAGGAGGTTTCTTGCGCGTTTTAAACGCACTTGTATCTACTTCAGCATATGCATCTGACGATACTTCCGAAGATGAATTTTGCATGTCTGCAGTGAAAGCTGACAATGCGCTATTAGTTCCACTACTGTCCTGAGATTTAACCAAGATATTTTCCGTATTAATCCTATCAAAATCGCCACTGGGAATAGTAACTTCTTCGTATGCTAACAACTCTCTCTTTTGATTATCTACTGGCTTAGATGAATTAGGTTTTCGACCTTCAATTATCGCGGTACTAAATGCCCCTTCCACGGTAACCTGTAAAGGTCTGAATTCGACCCCAGCATAAGCATATACAGATGGTTTATTCTGGTTCTGGTCGGATCCTGTCTCACCTTTGTCAGGCTTTGAATCTGCACGAGGCTTATCTAGAAAAATCACACCGAAAAAAATCGATGGCAATCAACACCAGATGTACTATGTAATTATCACTGAATATTCTTCACAAAAAACTGTTTCTGATCATCTGACACTATAGTCACAAAGTAGATAAAATATATCACTTTTTTTTTGAGTGGCAAATGTTTTTTTGTATATGTGTAAGAGTGGAGTGTGTTGTACTGGCTATTTGGATGCACAGTTGGCCGTGGGCCAATATAAACTTCACATTTGGCAATCTAATTGGCAGAGTGAGTACTGATAAAACTGATAAAAAGTTGTCATCCTGCATGTTAAAGGTAACTATTGCACAAGTTTACCTTTCAAAATGATAAAGTTTTTCTTTATGGAAGAGCTGCATAATGCAGCGGGGAAGAAGGGAGGCACAGGGGCATAGTCCCTATTATAAAGATGTGCCCTTTTTCCACCAAAGATGCTTGAGTGACTAACTAATAAATACATGTAAACTTTCTGAATAGAATCTTACCAGGTACTTTTGGTTTTTGACTAGTTTGTTTTACTTGTGGTTGACTACCCTGGAAAAACGAATATGCATTGCAGATCAATTCATTGGTAGTCTTAAAATCTATTGAATCAACATATAAATTTTATATAAATTACATGTCATTTTCACTTTTTTGGTTAAAACATTCTCACTTTCAATATTTACATTCCATAATAGACCTTTTTCATAATGATGTCAAACGCGGAAAGTCACGAAGTTCGATTGGCTCCATAGTTTTGTGGAGCCAATCAAATTTTGACGTCATATAACGATCTATTATTTCTTTCTTTTCTTGGGTGATATATAACCTCAAAACTCAACAAAAACAAAATGCATCTTGGACAAATAATTTTAAAAGTTTATACATAGTACATCAATTAGCATCTTCCTCATACAAATATTGCTATATTATAATTCAAGCTATACCAAGGTGGCTACATTTAGCAAATCTGGATATAAATGGTGTATTTGTCTATTGTAACTCATAATTTTATCAATCATTTTAAGGTGAATCTATTGAATAAATTTATCAAGATAAAAATTTAAAATAACAAGTTCTTGTGGTTAAGCATATTTTACATGGATTTAAAAAAATCTCAATAGTCTCAAATCTAATATGCATGCTATGTACTCATGGTGTTATTATTACCAATTCTGGAGTGGGTTATTTTCAGACATTTTCTAGGACATTTTTGGATCCCCGAAAATATTTTGTCTTCAGTACACAAGCACATGCAAAAAAATTCATTTTATTTACAGACTATGAGTTTTTTTTACTTGTGGTTCAAGAAAATGCAGGGCATTCAAAATTTTAAAAATGGGTTATTTCAGTTGGGTTTAGGTTTCCTTAGAACACTCTGTACATTATGATTGGGCAAGCTTCTTTGCTGTGAATTAATAACCAAAATATTTGAGTATGTTTAATAATGATTTCCTAATTGTATGTACTGTAAAAACATAGTTCATAAACATAAGATTAAAACCAAACGCTGAATGTAAACTAACTAATGTTGAGTTAAATACTATATATATAAATTCTCAGTAAATTGCGGGGATATTACAATGGGTCAAAGACGAAAAGAGAACAAACAGGGATAGGCTAAATTATATTTACAGATATCATAAACATATTTAATAAATGAGCTTTAACTTGTTGACCGAAGCTGCGTCTTACTGTTCGGCACGAACATCTTAATATGATATTTGCGCGTTTGATCAAATGGATTTTGATGTTCTGATGACTCTGAGAGAACTGGTACACTTTAGTTGATTGAAAAGTGTTTACTACAAGTGCCTACCGAGACGTTTCCCCCTGAATGCAATTCATTCTTGCCTTAAATTATCACATACTTTGTGCTATAATCAAAACAGTCTACGCACACATCGTTTTACACAATACGAACACACACAACTATACTGTATCTAGGATTGATAGTGGCACTGTGAGCAGCTTTATAATGCAGACAAAATCAACTTAATATATCCAACCTTGTCATTGTTATTTCTCTGTTCTGTATTATTGGAGAAACTGAGAAGATTCGAAGGTGCCTTCACTTTAGACACTACAAAACGAAAGAATGATCCCATCAAACACTCTTTCGGTATTGAACAGTCAAACATATGAAAAAGTATACGTAGGAGATGATCTAGACAAGATGAATATACCTTGACATATTGATCACGCATTTCTTGGATGTCAATATCTTATAGCTGGTCATACCATAAACAGAAGTCACAAAACATAGCTCTAAAAGCACTTACCTCGCTCAACTTTAAAATCCATACGGTAAAATTCATTCAGTTGACGAGATATCAAGTACGGCAGTTGTAAAATACGGTTCACATTTTTTACAGACAAAAAATACAACACTACAAGACTACAAGATCGAAATACTTTGGTCTTGATTGCCAAGTTTCCGGTTCGACGTTAGGCAATATTATTCATAAATATTCAAATGTATTTGCAACATTTTGTACATAAATCATAGAATAAATCATAATAAATTCACGAAATTTACAATTGCCCAAGGGGAATAAGAGGAAGATCCCAGATAGAATCACTCCCCCCCCTCTAAGAATGTAGCTAGACAGCTTACTGATTAAAAACTTGAAAGGGGGTGTATATTCATATATTCATGTTTACCTATCGCAGAAACAATAGCGCACAAAAGAAATCAGTCGGACTTAGGACGAATGTATGAAATATACACCCCCCCCCAAATTCCTGAGGTAACGTTTTCGAGTGTTTTCATTTTTGTTTTCATACTAAAACGATTGCGGAACACGGAACACTGTCACTCTGACAGTTTACGATAAATATTGGAGTTAATTTAGGCATATTGAGCATATTTCGCGGTGATATTTCCCCTTGGATCGAAAACATCGCTCGTGTGAGTCATAGGGGGACACCTCAGCCCACTATGGCCCACCGGCCACCGACCTTCTTAGCTGCGTTCACACGGAATACTAAGTTAGTAACTATGCTGATCTAACCAATCACATGTGAGTATGTTGAACATATTTTAATTATAATACCATTGACATGGAAACACTAAACTTTGTAAATATATTAGTAAGCAAGATGATTATGAATGATAATAACTCTCCCGTTCTATTTTATATTTATGAATATGTTAATGAACACAGAGCTCCTTAATACTCTGTCGCTTAGCTATTGCATCCTTTGTTAAATTAAAAGTGTTGAAATATGTTAAACACTGAAAGTGTTAACTCCAAAAGAAGAAAATCTAAAACGATAGCGGACAACTCGAAAAAAGAAGTCGAATCAAGACGTCCTTCAAGCGATCTCAGCAAGACGAATGCAACTGTTAATAATAATAATAATAAATCTATTTCATTTGACAATTTTCAACATATAATTTATGAAAAGGCCGCGATTGTTTATGCGTATTTGAAAGGTGAAGCTGACGCTGTTCTGCCAACATTTCAAGATGAGAGAGTGAAAAGAAGGGCTTACAGTCTTGCATTTGGCGCTAAGAAATGTAAGTAAACATTGTTGCTTAGGTAGATTATGCGTCTCTAAATGGCACATTATATCATTTTATAGCTTTACGCGTATATTTTCTATTCACTATACAGTAGTTCAATATTAAGAACAATACCAAATTGCGCTTTATAACCTCATTTAATATATAAGAGGAACCGACTTTACCAAAGTTTGGGAAAGTGTTCTAGATAGTACTCAGTTAAATTTTATTATTTCGCCGTAATATCTTCTGATGAAATTAACAATCATTTTTCATTATTTTCCTTGACTTGTTTATTGTGTATTGCCCAATGAAAAGCTCTGCGCGAAATTGATTATTCGATTTAAGCCTGTTAATGAGATATGGAAATTTTATTTTAATGCTCCATTATCTTTTAATCCATGATTTGATAAAGTACTTTATGTTTTATTATGGTTTGATTATGGGTTATATCCTCATATTTTGTACACAATAATGCATGCAATTCCTTTAATCCTTCAACTCTATCACTCCCCTTTACCCTCTTATTGCTTTTTTCATGAATAATGAAATTAAATGGCACAAATTTATTTATGGAAATGACTCTGGTAGAGTGCGAAAATAGAATTCAAGAGACTCTCTCAATACCAGGGTTATTTGGATTGAGGGGCAATTGGGATTTGGGTGTAAAAAAAATACACTTTGATCCATCACGCTTAATCTATATACATAATTTCTCTTATAAAATTCTGCTATTGGGAACTGTTTTAAAAGTAAAACATATTATACAATTGTAAAAAAGAATTGCCCCACCTTTTTGTCCCTCGGGGCCCAAAACAAACTAACTTAACTAAAGTTAGGTCCCAGGTTAGTGATTACAATCCTACTTCCTGCCTGTCTTTTCTGTGACCCCTATCCCCCAGATCTTCTACTTGAAGTAGAACTTGAACTTTGCTATTTCAAAACTTTGTTTTTTTAATTAGCTATATGAGACAGCTTATCTTCAACAGTGTCTATCAGCTCAAGCTAATAACTTAGAAGAAGACTTTTCATAAGTTGACATAAATATGATATATGATCTTTTTGAATTATATAGATGAATCAGTTTTAAATGATATTTTGCTTGACAGCTATTTTTTTTCAAGCTATTTTAAGGTATGTTTCATATTCACAATCGTTTATCCAAATGTCTATAGAAAACACCTGGTGCCTTTAGGGGCAATTTTACTCACATTTAAAGAAGTACAAATTGTTGTGATCATGAACAAATTGTTCCACTGTTGTATTAATATGTATTTTCTCATGTCTTATTGGGAAAACATTTTGAGGTTGCCTATTGATAAGTTGAACTAACATCTTTTTTAAGCTTGAATCTTACTACCGCAATCATGTGATGGTCATGCTTCTCGACTACCAACAAAATAATTTTCAATTTGATGATGCATCTCTAAATGGAAATCATATCCGAAACACTGACGACGATCCTTTTCCACATGTTACCGAAATTCAAGATGCTCTTGTTTCGTTTTACATAAAATTGAGAGCTTCTTTGGCCAGAAATCGCATCCGGGAGACAGCTTTAACTGTGGAAGATTTACTCCCGAAAGAAGAAAAGGAGAAAAATGAACACGTTTGCTATCAACCTATTTACGCTTACGTGAACACTTTAAGAACAACTGTTGAGGAAATATGTGGTTTGTTAGAACAGAGTGGGTTTGTTAAAGATAACAACGCTGTGGATTATTCAAATTTCTCAGGTCACCGTTTCTCAGTCGATGTTCATCTACACGACGTGATCATATTTCCCCGGGATGTAAAGTTTGATGTTTACAACCATGATTTGGTCCAATGTGGATTCCTAGTTGTTCAGGTAAAGGGTATTAACACTGACTCTCCTACTACACGTGTCCAGTGTTCATAAGTATATTCAGTTTCAATCTGATATCCCGACCCCAGATGGAGTTGGATAGACCACCCTCCCTAGATACGTGATTTTCACAGGCGGGTCACGACGCGTTGAAGAAGTTCACGAACACGAATTATCCTAATTGCAGCCGGAATAGTCTAATTTAATTATTCCGCTATTTTTAAGGCTCACTAGAAATTAAATGTTTATCCAAATGTAGACAGTAGTTGCAAATATTTAGCAAGATGTGGTAGTAGTAGTAGTAGTAGTAGTAGTAGTAGTAGTAGTAGTAGTAGTAAAATTACTAAATTAGTAAAATTATAAATTAGTAAAATTAGTAAATAATAAAATTACTAAATTAGTAAAATTATAAATTAGTAAAATTAGTAAATATATTATAGTAGTATTATAGTAGTAGTAGTAGTAGTAGTAGTAGTAGTATAGTAGTAGTAGTAGTAGTATTAGTAAATATATATTAGTAAAATTAGTAAATTAGTATAAATTAGTAAAATTAGTAAATAATAAAATTACTAAATTAGTAAAATTATAAATTAGTAAAATTAGTAAATCCGACCCCAGATGGAGTTGGATAGACCACCCTCCCTAGATACGTGATTTTCACAGGCGGGTCACGACGCGTTGAAGAAGTTCACGAACACGAATTATCCTAATTGCAGCCGGAATAGTCTAATTTAATTATTCCGCTATTTTTAAGGCTCACTAGAAATTAAATGTTTATCCAAATGTAGACAGTAGTTGCAAATATTTAGCAAGATGTGGTAGTAGTAGTAGTAGTAGTAGTAGTAGTAGTAGTAGTAGTAGTAATAAAATTACTAAATTAGTAAAATTATAAATTAGTAAAATTAGTAAATAATAAAATTACTAAATTAGTAAAATTATAAATTAGTAAAATTAGTAAATATATTATAGTAGTATTATAGTAGTAGTAGTAGTAGTAGTAGTAGTATAGTAGTAGTAGTAGTAGTATTAGTAAATATATATTAGTAAAATTAGTAAATTAGTATAAATTAGTAAAATTAGTAAATAATAAAATTACTAAATTAGTAAAATTATAAATTAGTAAAATTAGTAAATAATAAAATTACTAAAATTAGTAATTGTGTTTATAATTACTAAAGTCGCCATGCAATCATACAAGAAAATTAAGATGTGGTTAGTTTAGCGAGTTTAGTTTAGTCTATACCTAAAAGGGCTCACGTGAGTGTCGCACAACTAGACACGTTACTATTAAATACGTTCAGGACAAATCAAGATTAATAGCACCTGAGGTTGTCAGAAGTGTTTTATTTCAATTGACTTTGGCCAAAGAGAAAGCTGCATCATTGATTCCGGGAGAAATCAGACCCATATTCAATGATGGAGATGATGTGATTATTGTTCATTCTGATTCAGGTCTGTTTTTTATATTCTATTATACTGTATATATGCAGTCATCTCTTGGACTTAATTATCGTCACTTCAGAATGTTAAACTTTAATATTTCGCATCACACTTTATTGGTATCTTAAGCTTCAGGAGGTTTTCAGCTCCAAACTTTAATGAATATAGTTTCAAACCGTGTTTCAATTTGTTATAACCTATATAGTGAATCTTATTGCTCGTGTTTCATGTTATGTCCACCCACAACGATCGCTGTTCGTATTCGGTGTCAAGTCTTCCCAGTTTGAAGAATTGAGATCGATACTTGACATTCTTGGAGTTCAAAGTATCCTTTTTTTAAAACTTCTTTTTCCCATGTATATTGGAAGAGTAATAATAACAGATATACGAAGCATAGATACATGCCCCCGCATTGGCGTGGGGCCACAAACATGACCAAACTGCGGCAAACTATGCATGAAAAAATGCACGAGTTGAAAAAAATATATATAGTTGACCACATAGCCTCCAGCATGTGACAACCTCATTGGAATTAACCAGGAATTAGACAAGAAATTTTGTGATCTACACCATGTACATATAATTAGTTTTTTCGGTCCATGAACCCAGCCATCATCAGAGAAATTTTATTACAAACTCATCATTCATATATTATTTAAAGCACATAACCAGACATTGTACGTACGGTAGTAAATGTTTTAAAGGGATATAGCTTAAGCTTGTTCAAATATTATATATTTCCCTAACACATTTCAAAGATGTAGTTCTTCTGGAAGATAATTTTCTTGATGTATTACCAAATGACGATCGTTTTCGAAAAGTTCGTATTGTGCTGTACAACGCTGCTTGCTCGAGATCTGGTGTCATTAGTCCAATTGACTATGTGTTACAAGAAGGAACTGCGTGCGTGCACGATCTAGTGAACGGTGTTGAATCTAATAAACTACGTGGTTTAGTTCTGAAACATCAGGAGATCATTAAGCATGCCATGAAGTTCTTCTTTGTGCATTATATCGTCTACGTTACAAACTCTGCTTACAAGTTAGAGAACGAGGATGTTATTAAGAATGTCATCGACAGCAATCACTCAGACAAGAATACTTCCAACCCGTTTCTGGTCTCATCATTTTTGCCTGATTTAACTGAGAAGTTAAGAACATTCAACGCAAATTCAGCTGAATATCCTCCTTCAGAAGAGAGTACGTTTTCGAAAATCTCAGTTATACTCATAATTTCTTCTTTCCTCGACGGGGTTTATTTCTCGACATAAGCGCCTCGTAACCAGGCGCTTCATTGGGGAACCTAATACTGATGATCGCATTCAGCTCTGCGGAGATCAATGGCTGAAGGCCGATACTGATATTATAATATCGGTATAGTCGCTCCTATCATTGTGCCGCTCACCTTGTATTTACATTACGCCAAAATCCTGAAAATGCATTTTTCACCAAGATTTGCCACTTTATATTGCTATAAAATTTGTTAGTGGCTAAGAAAGAAAGTACTCGAATATAAAAGGTTGCTGTAATGCCGGGGGTGGATAATCATTATTTTCCCCGTCCCGGTTGTATTGGAAACAATGTTGGTCTGTATTGAAATATGTGCTTCTCTGTTTAAATTTAGACCATGTTACAGATAACTATTTAAAACTGAACGGGAAAATGGGAATAAATGGTGGATTTGTTTGCCTGCTCCAAAGACAGGTAATGCATTTTTTTTTCTATTTGTTCTAATTGTTTTAATGATTAGATTTTCCTTGGATTCAGTAAATACTGCACTCAATAAGGAATACCATATTTTATACCTTTTAGAAATTGGTTGATTCTATAAGGAATACCATATTTTATACCTTTTAGAAATTGGTTGATTCTGCGAACGATGTATTAGAAAGGGCAGCAAAAAAAGGGTTGATGAAAGGAACAAAACGTGGCAAAAAAGCGGGAACACCATTGTTCACATCTGATAAAAATAAGCAATTGTTGGATGAAGTACCAAAACGACTCGAGAATATTTCAGTCGAAGTCGCCGATGAAAAAGAGCCGAAGATGACAGATAAAGATAGTCAACATGAACGTACCAAAAAGACTTCAATTAAGCCATTTCAATTTTAGTTCAAACATGCATACGTATCCATTTATTTATTATTGCATGCACCATGTGATAGTGTTGACACGCGACGAGGAAAAGAACAAAAATGCAACGTTCCTCATTTTGATTCAAATATACATTTCTTAAGAAACAATTATTGACAAGTTAATGTCCCGTAAGCATCTATTAAAACAGTGTAAATATATGTAAACCCAAAAAACACGTCAGATCTTAGGTGTCAGATAAAATTCTGGTAAACAAGTCACTGCCATCGATGTAAAAATAGCCCAGATGTATAATTATATTCGTCTTGCAGTATACACAGCATTGAAATCAGCAAGGCCTTAGTCAGTGGAAAAACATAGCAATTCTATTGCATCGACCACCTTGACATATGCACGGCAATTAAGAACAAAATGGACTTTACTCTTTAGAGTTTCGGGCGACCATGGACAATGAAAATGTTTCTTTATGTTTATATTTATATATATAATAACGGCGCATGCATATATTATATACATATATTCTTAACTGATAATTGTTACACGCACATCTTAATACCACGCACAACCTTGTAACCCATATACAACTCGTACATTACGAAAATACCCAAATATCTACAAAATATTATCTCCATTACAACTTGCTATTACAGCCCTATTTCTATAATCACTATCGATAAAGAATCCAAACATCTTGTTTTAGTCCACTCGTGGTTAATAAAATAAATTTTATCATGGTTCACTGGAAGAATTTTGGTATTTCTAATATTTTATTTATAAACATCAATTGTCCTTTACAACTGGTTCAAGGTTCATAGCACCTTTGCAGGTTTCTCTTTTTGCTACCATCTTCCCAACTAAGTTTCATTCCCGCCATTACAAAAGAGAAACCCACGAAAGGCCACAGTTGCAATAATTGCGATGCATGTTTTTCGGCAATAAGCCGTAATTTTGTCGTAATAAGCCGTATAAAGTGAAATTTGTTTTCATTTATGCAATGGGTAGTCTCCTGCGCATGCCTACTTGGCGAGCCTTGTTATTTCGTACAAAAACTTAAGGCTCGCTAAGGGGGCCCACATTTATTAGAGAATAGTGGGTTGAAAATTTACATGAACGTGAAACTTTTCACACTCTCCAATTCTAAATTGACTGATCTCGCCAACCATGCATGAGTAGAAATACTTATTTGCCATATGAGCGAACATTTTATTATACCATTATTTTGTAACTTTTCGACAGAACCTTACAAACCTTAAACATTTGACAATAATACAACCCCTGGCAATTTTGCCAACCCTCTATGCTCTACCACATGAAAGCCCCAACGTAGTTACGTGCAGGAGACTACATATTATTTAGAGCAATATAGAGCAAGTTAGTTCTATATACTTTGTCCTAAAAATGAGGGGGGGGGGGGTTAATAAAATATTCCCTATAAATTATTACCGCTGTTTTCGACAACTGTAATAATTTTGCGGGTATCGGTTGTCAAGCCAGATAGAGCTACATTCGCGCTATAGCAAGCAACCCTTACAAAGGGCAAAATTTCCAGCAATAATTTTGAAGCACTACTGCTTATAATATAGTCTATAATTATTATAACTTTCTGTCATTCTTATATTATACTGGTCTTCACCTGTTGTAGAATACGTTCAAGCGAAGGTGGAATATTTATAATTACGTTCCTTTACCATGTTCGTGTAAATAGGATAAACTGTTCTTTACATAATTTACAATGTGTGGAATTGAACTGCAATAAAAACATATCATGTTAGAAGTATTATTAATGGCCCTAGTGGGGAGATTATCGAAAGTTGTGTAAATCAGTAACCGTAATGGGGATGATTGCAGCTATTGACTAAATCTAGCTAAAGCAATAACAGTGAGTTGAGCTGAGTAAAACTGTAAGGTTTAGACACATACAGTTGGCCCCTGCAAATTCTGTGAATATTAGTATTACGAACATATCATAATCATCAAACTATCACGGGGTGAATATCATTTTTAAGGCAAAATATGCAAATGTAATGCAAATGTAATGCAAATGTTGATTCATTCTAAGTTGCTCCTTTGCTAGGTGTTGTGTTTTTGTTGTTTTTGCCTCGATGGCTATGAAGTTTGCTGGAATCACCCAATGAAACAATCACGAAATCATCTCACCTGTGAAACGTTAAGGGTCCACAAATGGAGTCCACTGTGATAAAAAATTCTAATAACAAAAAATACCATTAGAACACATTTAAAAGTATTACACAGAAAACTATTGCAAATATTCATATATTTTATACGGCTAATTGTATATTAAAATTTTTGCTAAATCTTTTATAAATATAGTCATATACCTCGATAACCAGACGTTAAACTATCCGCCTTATCCCACATGTCGATACTGTTCACCAGTTTACTGGTATTGGACACGTGTTGTGCCATCACACTGTGTATCTGCTGGGGGATTGAGACCGACATTGGCGACGTCACTGCTGCTGTAGATGCATGACGTCCATTCTGACTGTGATTTCCCTCACCGCTACTATTGCTACCATTGCTTCCTATACTACCGACACTTCCAGCTGGTGACGGGGTGGGAGATAAGGGTGATGGAGTGCTGCCGTGTCTAGAAATTAGACCCACAATATTATTATTACGTATTTCACTATATATCCGACGAAATGCTTTTCATTTTGGAGCGTTACTTTAACGATGAGGAAAAGGAAAGATAATCAACTACATACTTGTTACTTGTGGTGTATGGAGAAGTGATGTTGTTCTTGTGTGATGCCTACAAAGAGTGTCGAAAATTCTTAGAAATCGTCGTATTGAAAACCAATCAGAACATGCAGTATAAAAAGAGGCAAACGAGAAATCGTCGGAAGACTTAAAACATTTGTTACCTTAAAATGTTCAGCTAAAATCTAAAAAATGAACAAGCGAGGTTAAGACTTGGTAATACATTAATTAACATAAGATCAAGTTCAGCACAGTTACACAAAATACAGTACATTGAGGATAATAAAGGAAAAAATATAACTCATAAAAACAAGTACCTGTGTATTCCGAAGAGCCTGTTTTCCCTTCATCCGATACAATTTGTGCAGAAGCAAGGATTGAACTCGAAGGCTGTGACGAGAAATATTGTATAGGCGCAGTGAAGAAAAGAACAAATTTAATATTCCAAGTTAAAATTGAGAACTCACCATAAAATCAAAAGCCGTTTGTCCTCCGTCTTTCCCAAGACGTGTTTTAGGATAAATCTTAAAGTTAGTATAGAAAATTAGCAAAACGTGTGAAAAACTATATACATTGGTATCAAATGTAAGTGAATCGAGAAATATCATCGAGGGACTTAAATAACATAACTAACAAAGTAGAGATGCACGACCAACCTCAGTAATTCCGTTGTCTCAGAATACATTTGACCAGCACGGATTTCGCCATCTTCTTTATCCTAGAAATAAGCAAGCAAAACGTTTTCAAAGGAAGGCCATATCAAATTTTTCGAATTTGTTGTTATCCTGTACAATTTACGGCCATGGATACATTGTACCCATGTATCCATGTATGCATATATCCACGCGTGCACTGTCGTCATATCATCTTACCTCAAGGGCCTTTCCACAACAGATGAAACGAATAATGGCTTCGACATAAGTTCGACTTTTGGCTTCTTTGTCCGTCTGGATATAACAATTTAACAACGATTTAAAACTCGATGTGACGTTGATGTTACTTCAACGAGTATACTTAATAAACATACCAATTTATCTGCTTCTCGTTTCAAAGTTTTTGCCCGCAGAAGATGTGCATCTGGTTCAACTTTCCTGTACAACGGCATAAACAAAGAGTTAATATAGCCGTGAAGCTTTTACCTAAGGGCTTTTCACCATTGTTTTTTGTCCATGCGACGGTTAAACTAGTTTTTTGGTGATGCTACAACCCAATTGTGTTTAACCTTATATCAGCCACGCATTCAGCATTCATTTCTTCTGCAGTTTTACATTTCTTTTGGTCTGACTTATCACGGTGACTATCTCGACGCATTCTTTTCTTGGGATGAGGATCCACCTCTGAACTTGGACTTCTCTTCCTGTGATTGTTTACAGGCCGTATCTTTTCCCTAGATCAGGAAAGAACGGTACATCAGCATCAGAAAATCGTCGTCTTGCCTGGATTCGAAAGAGAATTGTTTCGACTATATGCTCGTTGCATGGCGGATGTTAGCCATCCGACTTATAACCTCCACGATTTCCAATATGATCATTCTTCTGGAGAAACATGATGCAATTAAACTTTTTCAGGTTACATCAGACTACAAGGCAATTTTTTAGCGTTTTTCTCTTTACGAAGGATGTGAAAACGTTGTGGATGTTCCAGTAGAGGTACACAGATATACATAACTAATTCGTAATAACTATAATTAAGAAAACATCAATATCTCTGCAACATTCTACAGCGTGGAATCAACATAAATACTTGACCGCTGGCCCAAAATGGATGACAGTGGACGATACGTACGTTTCGTCGGTATGTTCGACTTCCATATCATTTTCTTCATGCTCTTTCCATAACCGTTCTTTTTGCTTTTTCCCCTCGTTCTCAAGGGAACCCAATTCAACATCTGCAACAACACAATATTGTTGGTGTTAAAAACTAATGCAGGAAACAAAAACCCCCACGCTAGCACAATTTTACGCAGTTGCGAACCTCAATGTGGCAACTCTCCCCCCTCCCCTCCCCTCAAAAGATGGTTATTATTATTGGCGTGATTTCCCAAAGGCGCACAGCCACTGTACATGCAATGATTTATAAATAAGCCTAACTGCAGAGGGGGGGGCAAAGCATTTCGGAAATAAGATCCGAAATTGTAGATTCTACTGAAACAAAAATTTCATAAACAAACCTGCATGTGAACTTTCAACCTGAAATGCAACAATAGAATAGCTGAAACCTTCTGAATTTTGGATTGTATACACACAGCGAACCATGTGATTACTGATAAACAAACCCACGAACATGCACGTTGGGGACTAGTTGAATTAAGCAATGGAAAATGAGAGTTCGTGGGGAATTAAAATGAAATATTTATATACATAAAGTTATAATAAACACATGTGCAACCTGGCCCTATTTTTACAACCACAAACTGCAACTTTGCCTCCCGGAATAATCGCAATTTTGATAGGATTATCTCATTTGCATGTGAAAACATCGATAAGATCGCCCGGCACTCATTTTAGCATCTTATTTTTAGAAAACGTTCTAAAACGGGCAGAAAATAGGTTGAATCAGATAAGCACGTGCCTTACAAACTTATGATTTATAACTTTAATGCACATATGCTGTAAGGTAATATCAAGATGTCGAGATCGTTGTTTTTGTTGTGGTCAGTCCTACACAGTCTGTAATGCAGAACGTATTTGAAAAACTAATTTTTTGTCAATTAACCTAGGAGCTGCTCAGAAAAAGTATGGCTATATCGGTTATGATGTTGAGATGACAGATTTAGGTCCATATAAAGGATAATGAGATGAACAGTCTTCAAACGTCAGTGTAGTCTGTAAGTTCTCTATATAGCTAAACGTTGATAGCCGCATAATATGCATGATGGTACATAATGACATAGCAGGAATGAAAATTTAAAGTACGTTGATACAACGTGACCTTCGTACGAACTACAAATTATTCTTATCAGAAACATTCACCAAAACCATGCATGCAGAGAATTGGCTCGACGGTGTAAACATAACTTTAAAAAGGGCAGACAAATGACGTCCATGCAGCTATTTTGAGTTCCTTACTTATTTGAAATATTCCTAATTGCCTTCGCAAATTTAAGAGTCCATTGAAAGTTTTCAATTTTTTTATTCTATATACGAATTTCTTATTGGCTGATCCAAGTCCCAATTTTCTGCTTCAAGTTAAACAGCTGTTTTTAAGTCTAATCGTGTGTAAGCAAAATATTGGCATGATTAAATAACTTGCATGCAGATTCGTATTTCACAAAAACAACCCAATTTGATCTTTTTCACGCTAACTCAGTAAAATGGCATGCAGACTTTAAACGGCGAGTAAACAAATAAAATTTGCAAATTTGCAAAACAAATTTCCGAAGGTAATTAAAGTAGTAAAAGAGGGACACAAAGGAGAATCGCTCGCCTATAAATGCACATAAATTCGAAACATACCGATAGTTCCTGAGCAAATCTGCTTGGTATTCTCTTCAAAAACGACAACGGAATCTTAACTATTAATGAAGTCGGGACTTTGTCACCATCCTGAACCAATTGGATTCCCAACGGCATATCATCATGTCCGTTTTTATGAAAACCATTTACTCCATTCTTTTTCTCCAATTGTTCTGTTTTTGTCTTCTTTACAACCGGACTATTATCTCCAACGACATCAATAACATGATCTTCCTCACCAACCTCAGAACTATCAAATCCGAAACTGCCTATACGAGCTGACTTCTTTTTCTCTTTGTTGCCAGATTTAGTCCTATTTGTATCCTTGGTAAAAACTTCATCTTTCTTTTCCTTTACAGAATGGTGTTCAGTTTTATCCTTTGACATAATAACATCTGACTTTTCTTTTAACGTATTTGAATCTAGTTTTTCTTTTTTCCCAGTATCCCCAGTACTATCTTTATGCTTGCGTTTCGTCTTTTTCTCCGCAGTTGATTCATCCAAATTTTTGCCTTTCTTTTTGACTTCGATCTTCTCCTCTTTTGACTCACCTGATTTTTTAATTTTGACAACACCATTCGCAGTTTTCTTTAGTTTTACACCTAATTTCGATGAAGTTTTTGAGCCTGACTCACTGCCTTTTCCAGCAGTTTTGCCTTTCTCAGCATTGTTTTTCATTTCCCCAACTTGTTTACTCTCAGATTCAGATCTCCTTTTCGTTTCATTTTTTACCTTGGTGTCAGTTTTCACTTTAAAGGAATCGCTGCTTCCCTTTTCTACCTTAATCTTAATTTTTGTATCAGGTAAAACTTCGCTACTTTCTGTCTTAACCTTATTCAATAACGTTGTATGTTTAGAAGTTGGAATAGGTTTCTCTTCATCCACAGTTTTTAACTCATTTACTGGTACTTCTTCTACGTTATTTGAACTATCTTTGAGTTCTTTGCTTTGAAGCTTTTCCTCAATTTTTGTATGAAAAACTGAGTCATCCGATGTACTCGAAGTCCGTGACTTACCATCTACGAATTCCCCTGAGTTTAATTTGGAATGCGTTTGCGTATGTGAAGTTTCGTTTGCAGATTTGCCCATATTGTCATTGCCATCCTTTTTTGGCTGCGTTGGCACCTGTTGTACTGGAGGAGATGGAATCTTAGCAACAACCGGTGGTGAATTAAGCATACTCGTTTTAGGGAAAACGGTTGTATTCGTTTTATCATCATCCACATCCTTTATGAAGAATAAAATAAAACAAATAAATAACTGCCCTAAAAATAGGTCTCCCAAAACAAAACATATAATCATTACCTATACAATCGAATGGTTGTGTGGAAAAATGACAAAGTAATCATAGTTTAATGGACAACTTGCGCTTTAGACTAATTTTTGATCGAAGTAACAAGATAGAAGAAAATAAATCGTCACAACTAGAAAGATCTTACTTAAATTAGTGCAAATGCAAAGTATGGCAGCGAAATTTTGTAAAATACAGAAAATATAGCCATGCGAAGTTGGCAAATTTTATATACTTTTGTATTACGTGCGGAGATGTGTAACTAAACTAGTTACACGCACACTTCCATCGTTCTTCCAGTTATAACATTGTACATTCGATTATTGTGATAGACAACCGAAACTAAAAGATTTTTTACCTGTTTTACCTTTTTTTAAATGTATTGTGGTTGTTCGCCATGCATGCAAACGTAAACGTAATAAATTCCTTATTAAAACATTTTTAAGTGCATGGACGACATTCTAAATTGTGTAAGCAGGTTTAATGGACCCTTTTATACGTCCCCAACCCAAGGAAAAAACCTGTGCACGAGGTTGCCTGAGATCCTGGACCTCAATGGTTTTACGCTTCATCTTTCGACCACATTGTGATGTTTACCTCGCATTCCGAGTCGCTGGATTCGCCGCTACTACTGCTACTTGATGACGACGATGACCGCGATCTAGTCTGATTAGCAGGCCTGAGATAAAAGATGGTCAAATTAAACTTAAATTTTATCAGAAAAGAGCGGTAGCTATGTCGTCTACAGAGCGGACTCTGTAGACGACATAAAAATTCGATATGCATTTTCTTAATTTAAAAGTGTTTTACATTCTTTTGCAACTCTATGAATTTGGGTTATACTAGACCAAGGAATTTGGGAAACGACAAATGTAGAGTGTGAGATGTGAACAAACCTTTGATATTGTTCATCGTTGTTTTCCTAGAAAAAAAATGATTTAAATAAGACCTATAAGTCACTAATGATGATGATGTACTATATGTAGACCAAGCTAAGCCTTTCATCTTAATTTTAATGGTGTTTTTTTCGATCGTAATGACCATCCTTACCCGCTCATCGTCACTGTCTTCGTCCGAAATATGTAAATCTTCTATAAACGAACCTACGAATGGCAATTGAATATTAACTCTTCAATAATCATTAATGGTAGATCACTGTTAATTAACAAACAATTGTATGTACGATTAATAGAGTAATTAGCAGTATTTGTGTTTGTTGTCATTTATAACATACAAGACTTACTAGAAGGAGCCAACGTTTGCGAGTTTTCCTGGAAAAAAAAGTACTTATAGTTATGACATTGGTAGAACCACATGACGATATCCAGAGTGGCTAAATCGGACTCATATACACAAGATGTAATGAAAGGGGCATGTGCATGCAACGATATAGCTACTAACCTTTTCGTTTACGCTGCTGGGGAATGGAAAACGCGAGTCATGTTTAGGCAATGGCGTACAGATTCCTGTCAACGGCATGTGGACGGACTCCGTCATTTCCTGTAAATCGCATTACGAGTTTACATAATTAGGCCAAGTAAGAAGTATGCATATATGATCGCGCACATGCACAGTCTTATTATTGTCGTAATCCGAATACAAAAATTCTTGGATTTCATAACATGTATGGACCTGCATTTCACTTAAACAAATGGCATGATTTTTCTTGCTTTTGAAGGACTTCGAGAACATCAAGTATGGTCCTCCCATATCAAAGGATAAAGATACGACTACAAAGACGTTTGGTCCTTACCGTTGCACGCAAGACTACCCATGACATCGAAAATGTCAATAATATTTGGTCAAGTAGATATACAGTATCGCAAAATAGTTTAGAAACTGGGGTATATAATTTAGTTAGTGTCATTGTTATTATTATTGTCGATTAAAAAATCAGAATCGTGTTTATTATAATCATATTATATAGAAATCAGTAAGCTAATTAGTCATAATTAGTCATGATTAAGTAAACAGACGGAATGGTTGTGGTCTAAAAACTGGATATTATCACTCTCATACATTTCCTGTCTTGCCTCCCGGGCATGTCCAGAAAGGAAAATATCAGCGAAACGAGATTTATGTTTACAATTCCGAGCACAATTTCTTGCATAGCATCGTGTGTGAATGAAATTGGGTTGCAATTTCGTATTATCGCCGGCTTTGAATCGAGTTCGAGTTTCGACCTGATAACCTTGTCGCGAGTTATCATATATCACATAGAACACAATAGCTACTAGCTAGTGCATACGGTAACGATATATTTTCACTTTTCATACGCACAGAGTATAGTTCGTCAGACAAAAACACAGTATATAGCTACATTGCAAAAAGGAATGTTCTGAGAATTCTTACCTTTAAAATATCCTGGAGCTGCATGTCGCGATGTTGTGGACTCTCCTGCAAGACAATGCAAATCATGATATGAGTACAAGTACACATAGCATATTCAACAACACTGAGAAGTTTGACGTCAATCAATCAACGACAACGTCAGTTAGTACAAACGAATTGCCGACAACCATTACTTCCGAACAAACACATATCATGCAAAGCCAAGGGTTACTAGATGGTCTGTAGCCCAAAACATATTTAACAATATTGGGATTGGAAAGAAATTTACTGTAAATATTGAAATGGCGGGGGGATTAAATTAATTAAATTATAAGTACTACGTTTTAACGTTTATTATACGGTAAAATATGACGTCAATAAATCAAGGACGACGTGATTGGCCGACGTAATAAACAACTTGCCGACAACTGTCAAAGCCATAGAAATGATGAGCTGACAAATGAATGACCATGCAGTAGACAAACGTACTATTTCAGGATTGCGCATCAAATCGAAGCATAAATAGCTACGTGTGTAGGAAGCAGGCCCCCGCTTTATATGTCAAACCGTGCTAGATAGGATCAGCACTTAAAATTTTTTGTTCTCTACATCATTTTCCAAGAAAGGATGGGGTTTGATTACATAAAAAGATTCGTTTAAGTCAGATTACTACTGACTGATTAATAAAAAAAAAGTTAAACAACTAAAATATAAAATTCTGTATTATGTATAGAAATACAACGATACAGAACAGGATACAGCAACACAATGAAAACCTATACTAAGGGGATCATACTATGATTCAGACCGATCCACAGTAGTCGGTACACTATCCTTACTATACCCGCATACCATATCACAGCATATCATGACCTACAATAACTGCACATATATGTTGCACAATATAACCTACGACCTCACCACCTAGCACATAGATCATTTTCCTTTTATGGCAAAAAAAATTCTATTGTCTTACAGGAAAATGGACTAGAGACATTTACGTGGAAAAAACGAGCATTGTTCTTATCAGTGAATATAGATAACGCTGCTACTGTAGTAACAATATCATAAATGATTATGTAATTATAGGTATAGATTTACCTGTGGAAGAGAGGATGAAACCACAGTCCTAAACAAAGAAAAAGGCAGAGTTTAAAGACACGTGCTTCCCATAAATTTCTATATTCTAAACTATTTTGATTCTTTTGATTTTGAGTCATTTCGTCGACCAGGAGATAAAGGAATTACTCTCTTAACTTCAGCGGTGACAAAACAACGGGTTTAGAGTTTAATACTTTGATAATCAAAAATCAGATCAAAACATATAACTTATGGAATCCCAATGGGATCGAGGATTTTTATGTCAAAAGCAAAGTAGCTTCTGTTTGTCTGAAGTGCATCCTCTCTACAGACCACCCATATCTGAGGCTAAGCCAATACTTGACGCATGGATATACACGATAATCATCATTCCACATCGGCACCTGTATATTTTAGCCCAATGCATATACGACCTGTTTATGACTATTCATCCTAATAATAATAAATTCCAAACATTCTGCACGAGTTTTAGCATTTCATTGCGGAATTATTCCTTCTTAGAGATAGCAATCAAAGCGATGATTTAGATTTAATCGCGGTGAGATCTTTTGGGTATTCTTAAATAAAGGGATGACTTCAAAGTACCCTGAAATTCCCTGACTGCTTCCCATTTGAAAATACATAACATTACAGTCGTAACACTACAATCAGACTTTTCTGTAAAGAATATATCCAGTCAAAAGTACAGTACAATAAATTTGTTGCCATCGTAATTTTTTTCCTAACACCTTTGTATATGTCTTTGAACTGTCACTAGGGCCTATCTCAATATTTTTGAAGAGCGTCCAAATGTTAATAACGGTGGTTATAATTCCGTACACATTACTTTGTAATTCACAACAAAATATCTATATTGATAATGAATTGACTGGTTATATACCCCATGAATGAACAACAACAACACGACTATATTCACTTGATGTATGAAAAGCAATTTTAATGATTGTGCGAATCATAATGATTATGCGAAAATAAAGATATCCTGAGTTCGATTGTGTGGTAATATCCTGGGCGAGCAGCTCGTCAAGTGAAGTATATATATAAACGTAATATATATTTTTGCTAATTAAAAGTCTCTTTGTTAGCTACGGAGCCTATTTTTCTAGATACGTGCAACATGCACTCAGTTGATTAGGAGAACAATATCTAATAAAACAAGCCGTCCTTTGAATTGACCAAACAAAGAATTACGCCCGTTAAACAGTTTGTTATATTTCCCACAGATATTTAAATATTGTATATTCTTAATCACCTATAGGCGTGCAAACAAGCAAAATACCAAAAATTTCAATAAAAAGATTACAATAATTGGTATCGAAATTCAAATCTCAAAGCAGCGAGTTGCCTGTTTATGATCAGATGAACGTTCCCCCAGGTTTATCCCACTTTAGCGCATGCATTCTGACCTAAATTTGCACAACCAAGTTATAATTAACACGTTCGCACATGCACCAAGTTAAAAATCACTTCTTCTATAAAAAGGATGGTCAGCCTTACTCCCACGGAGGATACTAAGTACTACCAAATTAGGTAAGGCACATTAATTGCTAGATATAACTTACTCACCGGGTAGGCAACTGCAACGGTGTTGGCTTCGTTTTTTGAACCGCTGTCGATTTTTCCAACTTCTTCGCTGGTCCTTGTTGAGAGATTTCCATTTGCTCTTCCTTCCTTTCAACCCTTTCAATATCGCTATTCACTTCTTCATTTTTATCGTTTGCAGACGTGTCTAATTTCTGTTTATTTACAGACAAAGTATTTGATTTATCAGCAACAGATGCTTGATTACTTTTGTATTTTTCTATACTGATCTTATTCAGGACGTTACAATCCTTATTGTCCTTCTTGTCGTTCAACTTTTCCCCCAGTTTCAACGCCTTATGCCTGGAGGCATCTAAACTTGACTTGTGTTTTTGATCTGACTTTAACTTTAACGGTTTTTGCTCCAACTTTTCTATCCCAGTATTTCCTTTAGACTTTTCTTGAGTGGAACTTGTAGGCTTGTCCTTGGTCGGTTTTGTCTTACTGTTTGTTAACGCAAAGGTCTTGTTTTCTGTAGGCGTTGCTGGTACAGGCATGACACCAATACATGTTTGACCAGGCGCTTTCTCTCGACTAACCTCTTGGTTCATAATCTTTACAAAATTCTCAAAATCACCAAGTGATTTCTGAAAATAAAACAGGAAGTATTCGTTTACAAATTATGAACATTCTTTGCATGTCTACATATTCGATCCGTTGAAATCGTATAAACAAATATTTAGCAATTATTAGGTGCTAAAACTGATACACGAGTAATTTTATCACATTCTTCACACAAAGAAAGTATATACCCTAGCTGCATGCCGTTATAAAATCGACATGCGCAATTTAGAAATTAAATACCCCCATATAAAGCATCTCCGGAGAAAAGATCAGTACTAAAGCAAAAGATGATTAGTTTAGATAACAATAAGAACACAAACCTTGATGGTTTTTGTGATTTCATCACTTGAATCATTGACCTACGGGATAAGAAGAATTATTCACAGGCGTTAATCACAGGTAAAAAGTAGGTGTAAAATATAATTTAGTCGATTTCGATTGCTGCTACCGGCCGAGCAAGATTCAAAAAAAATATCTGATAAGTTCTAGTATACATGCAGTATCTGATGACGACAAGCTGGGAAGGAATTGATAATTAAATCTTACTTTTCTTGGAGGTGGAAACAATGGACCCGCTGGTTTCTAAAATGAGAATTAAAAATTAACCATACACTCGTGCGTTTATTTTGCCAATATATATGTTGAATTTTGATGCATATCTTACGCATCAACCACCCGTAGTTCTCGACGTAGGTGAATGCAAGAGCCGTGTGATTAGTTTTCGTAGCAATAATGCAAATAAATATTGCATGAAACTTATTTAGATCTCCCTGGATGATTTCACTGATAATATCAAAACGACCAAATTCTCGAGCTCAGCTGTTTCAATAAATAGAACTATAAATAAATGTCGTCTGACTATGAATAGATACAGACCTTATTCATTTCAATATCAGACGGCTGCACCCGAGCTATTTTTGCCTTCTCTCGCTGCTCTACACGCTCAGAATTCCTAAACAATTGGAGATAATAACCAACATGGTAGTGAACAAATGCAATTCCGCTAAACGTTTAGTTAGTGAGGGGTTTTTACCCTATCTTTATATTCCCGTCAGGTTGTTATACCTATATAATTACATACAATTACACGTTTGCTAAAAAGGAAAATAAAATGATCATTTTGAATCAATTATTACAAGAAGACTGCTTTGCAGCTCTCGGTACCAAAGGCAATTCACTGACGATTATTTAAGGCTAAACAATCAGACTTTGTGAAGCTCGAAGGCGTTACATCGAAATTGCGTTTCCTAGGACACGGCTGCGTTCCTCAAGCCTGGTTGTCATGGGTCATCAACACTCGGCGATGCCGATGGCTGTCGGTGATCACTTATGAATAAAGTGCTTTGTTATTTTGGCCACCGGTAACCAACAATACATCGTCGACTGTGGGGGATAAATGAGAACCAGGCTTTACCTTACACTCAACGTCTACACAGGGGCGTGGGGGGTGGAGCGTGTGGGGTGCTCACCCCCAGTTTTGACAAGGTGGACGGTTACTAACGCGAAGTTAGTCGGTAATGGCAAAAAATCGTCGATAAACTCGTCTTTTGATAGCTAAATCGCCTTTAAAGTCATAAACAGATTCTATACATGTATTCTACCAAAACTGATCAAATGGCTGCATGCTTTCTTTGGATGCGCTTCAAGTGCTACGTATTCGTCGGCAAAACGTGGATGACACCCCCCCCAGGTCAGTTAGTCCGCTACGTCCCCATCCTTCTACATCATGGTTTCGTTGGTGCAAAGCCCGAGTACTGCAAGCTCTGGCGTTAAATTAACCCGCTGGTTCTTGTCTGTTCATTTCTGCATGGTGTCAGAGTATAAGGAATATACACTAAGGCCACTTAAGTCGGAACCTCTTAAGTTTGTGTCCCCACGCATATCGTATTACGCATCTATTGTCCGCTATATTATTCTGGCCAGTCAGTGCATGACTTTTATCTACCTTTCTGGACGATAAACACGTTCAACAGGCCTGTCCGCCATTACCATGGTGAGTCATTAAAATCAGCGCGGTATGCTTGCTGTATGTGGGTCTGCGCTATATATTCCTTATATTATATACTTAAAATATTCTAACGTTCCTATTGTATGATAAACAGCCTGTGATGATGCATATGAATTACCATGCATGTATAATGTAAAAGTGTATTGACGGTATACAGTCTACGGTACTTTGAAATGTTTTGTCTGCCAATAAAATAATTTTCTTCTCCATTAAGTAAGGACAACATATCCCAGAGCTACAGTATCGTACGACGAATTAAATCAATAAAATCAGCCAGGCTATATATTAACTTGTGTCTTGTGGTGATTAAAATAACGATGCGTTTGAGCCTGATTTTTTATGCACCTGTATTGGCATTTCATGAATAAAGATTATTACTCGACTACACAAAACCTCAACTTGAGTCTTGAACAGTAACCCATTCAACTTAATAATCTGTTGGAAAATTCAATTTCATTAACCCAGGGTTAAGCTATAACCACGCCTCTTCAACAATCGGCCCCAGATTTGGTCCAAAAATGTACAATTTTACCGTCCTATCATTTGAAATGGCAAACACGATAACTATATTTTATCACTTCGCTCATACTCTTTCAACTACGTTGTTGACCAGCAGACTGAATGACGATCGTGACTGAACACAGGAGATGATCGGAAAAAAAATGTTTTCACAGTTTGATTTATCGCGCAATCGTAACATTCCATTCGGGGATAAGTAACAACTAAATACTTCTAAAACCCCATTCAGCACCGTATCAACACATTTTTTCAACATTGATGGATGATTGATGTCAAATTACAAGAAAATGATATTTCAAAGTAAGTAAGGATTACTTCAACATTCCAGTAGGGGATGAATAACAACTTAATGCTATTAAAAACCCCTTCACCATCACACTAACACATGCTTTACCATTCATAATGATAGATGATTGATGTCAAATTACCAGAAAGATTTTTATAAATTAAACATGTTCCCCATAAGACTAAAGGCCTTCACTGTGTAATGTGTATGTCGCAATTTCGCCCGTTTTCAAACGTCGAACTTCTCATGTGCCGAATCGAATGCAAATGATCACACAGTATAAAAAGTTTGACGACTGAAACTGGACTTAAAAACCGACGTTTTCTCATTATTCATTCGTATCGCTATATAAGAGCAATTATAGGCAAATATTCAATCCTCATTAATTAAGTGAGAGAAGTGTTTCTCAGTCGGTATTTCCTCACTCCTCAACAATAAATAAATTTCGGAAATTCACTGGCAACATGCATAGGTAGGTGATACTTCTTATGCTGTGATAGGTATCATTCATGCATGTCACCTTTGCACCCCCTGCAAGATGATGAAAATATGATGATAAATGATGATAATGGACAATATTTTCCCTATATGCAGTGCTGCTGTTAAGTTGTCTGCAAAACAAATATGGCTGCAAAATACAGTCTGCAATGTTCACCAATCTTATATCATGTTCGTGTCAACTATTTTGCTGAATGACTATAATTCATATCACCTTGTAACATTCAGAAAGCATAAATAGCGCTGTTCTGTTGAATAATTTGTAAACACTGTACATTTTAATGATTGTGTTTTAGCTTGTGTTTTGAGATGCAGAACATCTTCTCCCAACTAAACCCTGGGGTTAACCACAAAGTGATTCAAAAAAGGTATAATACAGGGTTCTATTGTCTATTCTCAAAAGGTCTATCTTTAAACCATAGAAAAACTGGATATAGACAGTTTCAAATGATTATACAAAATTTTTTAAAGATGGTTTATCCAGTCAAACGCACTGCAGGATGTAAATGGTCTGACCAAAAAAATAAACAAATTGTGGATGAAGGAAAAGGAATATGATAAGAAAGACTTAAGATTACAAAAGATTTAGATGGAAAGCGCTACATAATACATATAGTAATTTGATTTAAAACCTCATACAAATTCTGGAATATAAAACAAGTGCTATAAATTTAGAATTTAGAAACAAATGTTCTACAATATTATACCCATGTTAAACAGCAACATTGTAGCATTTATTTGTACTACTATCATAATTAGGTATTTATATACAAGACATTCTATATGGGAATTAATTCGAATAATTTCAATTTTACACAGTGAACAAAATATCTTTGATTAACTAAGTAATCTGTTCCTTGGATGTTGGACATTGATAATGGAGTGTTAAATGTAAGCACAATTGATAAAGCTTTGACTATATTTTGGTGAAAAATTGATGGCCTGTTCGAACTACAACAACTTGAAAGAAGTTTGGAAATTACATTTTAAATAATGTAATGGTTACTTATTTCTTTCAAGAGTTGAAAACAGTATGATGCTAATAACCTATTATTTTTACAGGTGCTATAAACATGTTTTAATAGTAGGTTGATTATTTCCAGTAAAGACCCTGACCAGGCTAATTCTTTACATTGTAAAGGCCCTTTTTCTTTCTTTGCAAAAACATATTCTTAAGTCTAATATGAGCAATTGCATCGAAATGAACTTAGAAGCATCTTGATAGGGTAAAAACAATTGCTAACATGTTTGTTAACAAATCAATAGGAAGGGCTAAAACATGATGTTTTCACAATTAAATGTTTTTACAAACTGATAAGATTATAGACCTGTATTCCAAAAGAGTTACACCTGTACTCCAAAAGCTTACCCACACTTATACTTGATATGGGAGTCCATAAATCACCCTATAATTATTCTATAATGATATCTCTTCCACACAAAGAGTTTGGTTTTGTTATTGGTATATCATTTTGGTCTTCAATATCAGTATCTTCTATTGAAAACATAATATAATTGTGTTTCATTTAAACATTTTGATAACCTCTAGCTGCCTTGAGACATTGATATCAAGACAGACTGGAGTCATTCTTTGATAGCCTCTTATGGACTAAATAATCAACTGAAATTGCATGTACATACATGATTTTACCCTCAAACTAATAAAATATACCATTAAGTAATTTAAAGCATAATGTACAGACCCTCTCAAATTAAAAGGATTCTTTGGTCAAAATATTTTATGTCTGTTTTTGTTGATATTTCATTACACATTGTAACACAAGGGGGGCATACCAGTTTAGAAAATATACACATATTGTCATAGGAGAAAAATGTAGTTACTTTAAAAGCTGCTAGTGGAAAATTGTATTGCAATTTATACACCGGTGCTTACAATATGCCAATGATAAGGATCAAATGTGCAACAGCCCATACAAGGAGAGTTCGTTTTTTTAACAAAATTTCATATATGGCCAAATTACGGCTAACTAGCTCGGTTATAAACACATCAATTTGCATGTTTCTGTACGTGACACACTACCCGCGTTTATTTACATTAGGTGAAATCAAAGAAAATCATTTGATGAAAACAACGGCTGAATAGAATACAAAGCGACGCTCGTTTATGGATAAACACTGTGTAAAATCTTTCTTATGTACGTAAACTTTTGTGGCGTTTGTAAAAACCGTCCTCGAGTTTCTTTACCGCTTTTACAGTGAGTCTAACCAATTATAAAAATTGCATTATCGATGTACATTGACACACATTTCGCACAGCTAAACATCAACAGATTTAAAAACAGTATTGAATGCAATATCGGTCTTATATTTCATTATCAACCTCAAGCTTAACCAATTTAGAAATATATTTTGCAACTAACCCGAATGCAAATGCAGTCCTAAATTTTGTTCTATATACTATATTCTATCGTATCTTACCCTGTCATTATTACATATATACATAGGTATAGTAATGTAATATCGGGTTTATATCAAGGAACTCGAATCTGACCACAAAACATTGCCGAAAATAAACGACCGAATTTTTCGAATAAAAATTACCCCCAAATTATGGAGGAAACTCTTAGGGTGTTCGACAATATAATTGAAGTTCTAAGAGTCAATTCGAATCATAATAGAGCGAAGTGCATTTGTGTTCTTAGTCGACACAAAACGAATCAAATTTTTGTGTTTATTTTGTCACGGCAGGTCTCGACCGTCTGAAATTATTTGAAAGGCAGAGGAGCGAAAGGCCTTTGTTGATTCAGGAGCAAACATTTGTTAAAGATACTTCATATCTGTATAAATACCAAACACAGCCTTCCAAGGCTTCGATTAAAAACTACAGAGAATTGAGAATCTTAAACAAAAAATTTAAAAAAACTCGTTCACTATGTCTACTGTCTCTTGTTGATTTGACTCCTTAATACTAAAAGACCATAGTATAAATATGGTTGAAAATAGCACATTTGGAAACAGGATTCCAGCACATCATAAAGCATACAAGAGATAAACGATGAAGCACGAAATGAAATGCTATACAAAACACTTGATTGTAAATATTAAAAGGACGGTAAAATCGCTATACGAACAAAGACGGGGGCGTCAATGTGGAGGGGAAAATATGGCTCAGCACATACACATTCACGAACATAAACAACAGGATAAAAACACACAAAAACACATCTATTCTTAGAAAAAATACTGTTTTTAAACAACAGACTCGTTCAGAAGCGAAACGATAAAGCTCTGTATTGGCAATTTATATGACCCGAGAGACGACTGAAATCATATTTATGAAAGCCCTTGTGCATAGGTTGACTTTAAATGAATATTATTTAGTTTCCACTTACCCATTCATGTTATGGCTGCCTAGGTAGGGAGGCAATGCATTGGGGTATCTTCTCAATTGAGCCATACCAAACGAACCAAGCTATGAAACACAGGCAATCGATAAAACTGTGAGCCACTGTCGGGCGACAGAACACCGCCGAACGTTGGCCAACTATCTATTAACTCATTCTGCTGTCCTGTTAACCACCAAAGACAGGCATTCAAACTAGACACGAGTTTCTGTTAAACGTAACAATGTACGCTTATTGTCTAACGACGGATTTTCTATTCAAATCCGGCCAAATCTTGTCTTCACTCGTTAGAATAGTTTAGATAGTCACTTTCTTGCTCCCCCATCAAGAACTCTGTTTGTTTCGAGAGTCGTTACTTCCCGTAACAACTTCGGTCGTCCTCGGAAGACGTCTATAGTTTGTCGCGTTTGCGTCAAACGGTGCAATAATTGTCGTCAGTAATTGTCGTCAAAATATCGCTAATCCCCCGGGCAATTTACACACTAACCAAGCTGACGAATAAAAATTTTAGACGATACTCGCTTGCAGAATTTCAGCGACGTTACCGATTTGAAATTCGCGATAAATCCTTATTCACCCTACTCATGTTTTATGTAAATAGGCGCAAACTCGATAAGCGTTAACTTAGCGGAACAAAAATTCTGACAGGTGCCTTAAAATAGGTTATTGACAGGCATTTCCCTTACACGAATCGAAAGATAATTTTACGACGGCTTTCGTTTCATTATGAATTCCATCCTGTGCTGTAGGCTGTAGCGGTAAAATCCCAGTCATGTGGAGGTGAAAACCCTATTAGTTCAGTGAATCACAGACCGGACAGACTGATGAAGTCTGAAGAGCATCAAATTTCATTACCATGTTCGGTAAACGTAAAATGTTTTGAGTAACTTGGTCGAATAGTATTTTATCACCATAGGCGGCCCAAAATTGCGCGAGAAATTTTTCGGTAATTTGTCAATATAGTGTAGTAAACTAGTAATGTCACATTACTAATGATCCGCTTTATAGACGATAATCGTGTTTAAACATCAATGTTTATAATTTAGTTTTTGCACAGCTAAATTATCCCTTGATTTTTGGTTAGATTTCATAAGTCTTCCGCTTGCTGACCTATTGATATCTTTTCTAAAAATAGTGTACTTCTAATTCTTTGATTATATTTGTCCTTGTGTATCAAGGACGAATATAATCAAATGTATCAATTAATCCTTTTTGGAGGCATTAATTCCCATTTTGTAGGCACGTGCTAAAGACTCTGTTGAGCACCTAATAAGTTCGTGAAAACAGGATGCAATAGTTTAATAATGAACAGCCTCTGCTCACGACAATCCATCAGCAATCAGCTTGAAACAAATGCAACTTGTCAGAGCGGAAGTGGATATATAATAATATAAATAAAGCTACAGTAATTTTCATTTGGCCAACGAATCCTTTGTCACAACAGGCAATACACACTAGTAACTGTTTTGAACTCTTGTACATTTGAGAGGAAATTCATAATTCCGTCCCCTCAGTTTGACGCAATTTAAATCAAAGACTATAAGGCATAGGCTCACTTTTTGCTACATTCCCCATTCAAGGTCAGAGCAGAAGTAAACCATTTCCGCCCCCACTAATTTGATCCTACCACTCACATCAGTTTTCTTCCTAAATGAAACGTAAAGTCTTCGCCGAGGTAGATTCTAGCATTTAAGCGTAAATACGCTTTATTAACCGAAAAATTCTGCCAAGTCGTCCTTTATTTAGGCTGTTTAATTCGGATAGGACAAAGAAAACTTACACAGTATCGCGCAAAAAATTTCGCCCAGTTACAACAACCTTAATACGCTGTTCCCTCATGGCAGTCATCATGCATTGGCCGTCCTTATCACGTTACGAACCCAATCCTATAGCAATACCTTGTAATTTGTAAATCCTCTTGGGGTGAAATGTTTGACCTTGTCATTCTATTTTGCGACCATTTCCGTTAACGCAGTAAGCTTTTATGATAACTTCGCCTTCGGTCGTTTTCCAAAAAAACTTGATATAACTGAATCTGTGCAGAAATTTTAGTAGAGAATGGAAAGTATATCTGTGATTGCGGATCTATCACTTATATATCTCTTTGATAAATGGGCAGTTTATAATTTATAATAACTATATACGTTTATTGAATATTCATCCTTTATTTTGTAATAACTGCTTGCATGCAAACAAGTGGGATGTTTTATTTACGACACCTGCACATAACTAATGTTTTCGCAAACGTCGAACATAAATTTTTTCAAGCAATTTGTACACCTTTCAAACCAATTTACAATCAGTCAAGTTCGTTTAAACTTTAAAGCCTGTTGGCCAACCCTGGCCTGACTCGCCTGCAAGCCTTGAAATCAAACTTTCCTTGTTTTTAGAATTGACTATATGTCTTACGAGTGATCCTTCCTTTTGCCAACCTTTTATCCACTACAGAGGGCAAGTATGAAAATGGATTAGTAAAATGCTATGAACTCTCGCCAGATTACGCTAGACGGTAATGCATGTGTACCATTCCTCCTGCCATTTTGTTGATTGATGATGACCTGTGTCGTCAATCATATGAAGTATTTTTCTTTTATTGCTTATACCGTATTGATATTATCTGTATACATAGATAATTTTAATAAGGTATAATAATAATAATTTCGATAACATCAACATGAATTTTAAAATCATTTTAAAGTAAAAAAATAATGAAATAATGTGGGTGGTTAACTTTCGTATTTTGTTCCAGTTCCTCGTTGCTAAATGCTACAGCTAAAAATGTTATCATTGGCGTCAGCATCACTTTAATTATCAGGAGCTGGTTGGTAGCACAGAAATGTCATGCAATCAGAAACGCCAAGATAATTTTATAAGTTTTAGTATAATTCAGATCAGTAGTTTTACAAGTACCAGTATACGAGTTCTGTGACCGTACGCTAAAAACGCCATCAGTAAAAACTGGTTACTGATACGGGACTGCGAATCCAATTCTTACTTCTTGCGGAATGGTCAGTGACAGATAGGAATATTCCTAATTTACATTCGTAATCTTTGCCTCATTCTGGCTTTGCAAGAATTCTATCAAACAATATTTTGATGACTAACAGCAGAAAATATTGAGTCTGATTTTTACCATCGGTTTACCTAATGGTTAGTCTAAGCTGTCTAGCATCCAGTCTCTACTCAGTAAAGAGGAACTTTTTTCTAGGCGGACAAAGCATTTTATGCATCATTGACTACCAACAAATAACATCGTCAGAACAGTACGACAAATTACAATGACGAGAACCAGAATAGACCATTTCAGCTTGCATGCAAATTAACCATTTCAGATGCTGTGATCATGGAATAGCCAATAAAACTTTACCATTTCAGACATTGTGATTTGAAATGTTTAATATGCATACAAGCTGAAAAGGTCTATTAAACAAGCCTAATAAACAAGTGTGATACTGAATAAACAAATGCGGTGTAAAGTGCCTGCTTTTTCTGCAAAAATATGCAATAAACTGGCTAGAAGGCGGAGCAGCCACCAAGTACAGAGTGTTTATTGGCCAAAAAATGTCATCAGTGGCCAGGAAGATGGCAAAACACATGCGTAACGCGACATGCGCGACTACATTCAAATCAAAAGATACCGACTCAAGTCAGTCAAGTGGCCCTTCCAGTCCTCTCATTATTCTATGGCAATCATCGCTTGCCTTGTTCAGAGTTCAAGGTTTAAGGTTTTAAAACGACAACTATAATTGGATAAGTTATATAAAATATTTTGCGAATTTGGATGCTAAGATTATGTTACGACAAACAACCGCTTCAGGGGCCGGTTGTTCGAAAGGCGTTTATAGCTTAAACGGTGGATAAGCCAAAGTTTACAAACGCCCTCATACATCTTGAATGACCGAAACTACATTTTATGCATTAAATATGTTCTTTCGTTGGAAATTAAACTATTAAAATCGAAATATTTCAGCTCAGTTGTTCAATAAATCGATCGTTTTGTTTCCATTTTGAAAACGCCTTTTTAAACGCTGTCGAACAACCAGCCCCAGGTGCATAAATACGCTAGCAGGGCGATGTCAATGAGGGCATTTACTTCTCCTAATCTTCTTGCTTACGGTTACCTCGAAAAAGAAAAACATTCAAAAGACACGAAGGAACTCTCTCGCTCACTTATTTATTTAGCGACTATAGAACGACAACAACTATTTATGAATACAAACATTGAAGTAAATACATTAGTTGGGAATAATGTGAGGCAATATCAGCCCTCTGGAGCCGTGAAAATAACTTCGGCAATTTTCTACGTCACTATCTACCATACCTAAAGAAAAGTAAATGATTAACACACGGTAAAAATACAGTAAACTGGGCAAGAGGAACAGAAGTATTACACAATACTTGACAAAGCAATTTGTTGGTAAAGAGAGGTCGGGGGGGGGGGGATAAACAGCAATTTGTTGGTAAAAGGGGGTCGGGGGGGATGATGAACAGGAAATCCTATCATCCTATACTTTTTAATTGGCCCATGGGCCCTCTCGGAATTTGCCCGTGGTGGCGTAATTAGCACCTACAGGCACTTCCGTTAAAATAGGCAACGTGAAGTTGGCAACGTATTGTGTCTTAATTTGTTGAGGGAGAGATCTAGTAAAGGCGAGATAAGCAGATTTAATTCTCGCGCGTTTTTTATACTTCATATTTATCGGTGCAAAACAGTCCGGCGAGTAATGAAGTAGTCTCTCAATTTTTTAACATTTGAACCATGCCCGCCCACGAAGGATGTTTCTGAGTTGTTTTACGAAAAGACTTCAAATTCTGGATCGAACCTATGCTTCTGCGATTCCAATATAGTTCCCTTTTACCATAAAGCGACGAAGTACATACTCCGTTTAACCTCGTGTATGTTTTTGCCTACCCGTTTTCCTATCCTGTTTTTAAAGTTTTAACACTTTAAAGCTTTAACTTCCGAAACTATTCTTCTTTAAAAACTTTAAAACTTACTTCTGAAACTCCCACTCGCGGTTATCCAAAGGACACACTTGTCGTGTTTTCAACCATCTTGAGATACAGTGAAAATGAAACGCATGCTATAAAGAAGCACAGATGTTGGGATTAATGAAATTTAAAGGCAGCGCTGCCACTACACTATAAGGAAATACCTCTAAAAGTGAATGACCCCTAAAAGGTAACGTTCTTTAAAAGGACTCAAAGGATATAAACTGGTAAAAATACGAGACAAAAATGTGTAGTTGTGTGCATCAATAATCATAATAGATAGTAATCATAACATGCAGCAACATCACTCATCGAGAACTTGATATAACCTAGTCTAAATTTTGCCCTTAATATACAAACTACAAGAACTTACATTACAAACACCCCAGGCCACAGTGCACTCTTCGCTAGTGGCAGATTGTTGATTGGCTTGACATTCAATGCCTGTGCAAAAATGAAGTTACACTTGTTGATCTTTTGAAATTTTGCTACTCTATATCCTTTCATTGCATGTAAATATCACTACCTCAGAATTATAATGAAATCTATGTATTTCATTGATTGAAGATGCTACATAATTATGTATACATAACTTCTAGATGTAATAATCTCTTATTGAAGAAAAATTGCCAAAAACTACAATTCAAATATTTTGTCTACAAATAACTTCTAGTATTTACTTATAAGTTTCAGTTTCTTATGCCTTGAAATAAGCCCCAATCCAATATTTTACTTACATAAGTCCATTATATGATTTCTACATATTGCACAGTTATCAACCACTATATCTAATAAAATTAAATAGAAAAAAATATTAGCCCAATGAATAATATATATATTTATATTAGTATATATATATATACGTCCCATTATCACACAGGTCAACAATGCAAGCTGTGAACAGATCTGAGCCCCTGCTTGGTTGAGAGTAATTTGTTAAGGGAGATATTCTAAAGCACTTTCTGCCTTCCTTAGCCAAGCTATATGATAACCTATGTTTCCAAGATTTATTGGTTTTAAAAACTACGAGAAAAAATGGATAAATTAAAATCATAAATTTGCAGAACCACCTCATGTATTTTTTATATTCTGAACTCCCAGTCCATTAACTCAGGCCTTCATCAGTGCAACTTATTAATTCACCATGCAAAATTTCAAGAATACTGAAATTGGATTAGCCAATTTTTTTCATAAAAAGTTACTTTTTCTTGTGTTCATCAAGAAATTAAACCTTACATTACATACCCCAAGCCCACAATGCAACAGCATTCCACTAAAAAGTATAAATAGACATAAATATAATGCTTTCAATATTATATGGATGTTCAGTGGTATTTATTGGGAACTAAATCACATGTATTATTTCAAAATCTATTAAATTGAAAATTCAGACACTATTGCCACTTTGTGTTGTGCTTTTCAATTTTATGCATTGTATTGTTGTCAAATTATATATACTGTTTTTGCCACTAACATCCATTTCTTTTCTCAACTGTGATCAGACAATAAACAACCAATTATGTTATATGCAATTTAATTCAATAATTACAGCAGAAGACAAACTATTAGCAAAAGCGCTCAGGATAGTGCTACTGTGAAAAAACTAGAAAAAATCTTTATTGGTATCTTTATTAGCCTGCTGTGCGCAGGCTATATCTTTATTGGGTTTCATTTATTACAATGGTGAATGGTTACATCAACTTACATGAGGTTTAGAATGAAGTATGATGAAAGTTTTAAACGCCCGTTAACTAAGCTACCCTTTAATGTCGCCATCATGATTTACCTTTTTAACCTCAAAGCGCTTCTTATTTGTGCCAGCAGAGGTCGAAGGTTGTCTAGAAGTGTCAAGATCCATGTTATCTGGAGCGGCGGCCATGTTGGTTGTGAAGCTTTTAGAGAAAATATACTAGACATTACATGAAGTACCGCGTGTAGAGGAGTAAAAGAATAGAACTGGAGAAAGTCTCAACAATGATGTTGCAATACTGCAGAAGAAGTTTACTGGGTTTTCTCAGGCAAAATAAACGTTGTCTAGCATCAAGTAGTGCTGTTTACAAATCATACTCACTTGATGGCAAAGGTTGGGATATTTTGTCTGGAAAAACTACACGGATTGGATGTGCCTCAGGCTTCTGGGGAGACTCCCCTTCTGCAGGTTATTAATACCAGGTTCATAATACACAGAGTAGGGTAACATATTAAGGCCTAGGTTATACGTCACATTTTGGTCGCGTTGAATGCAATTTAAACAATAGATGATGAGATGATAAACCTCATTAAGTTTAGTCATCACCTATTGTTTGAATTGCATTTGGTGCAACCAAAATGCAACATATAACCTAACTCTTGTAAAAGAACATTTTGATATCATACAAAATGATTATGAGTTTATGGCAGTTATTTAGAGAAAGTAAACATATTTAATCTCGATGTTTATGCCAATCATCGGAATGCATCCATCCCAGGTGGACGGGAAGGATGGCACTTTTTTCACCAAGCTGCTCAGGTTATTGTGAAGGACAGTTTATTGAAAAAAATGTGTGTCGTACATAGTCTATGACAACTTTGTTCCAGAGTATGCCTTGGGAATAAGGTTCAGCCTCTGGAACTTATAATAGTTTTTTGGAAGGGTTCAACAAATATAATTATTGGAACAACAAAATGGAATTGTAGGGGTTCTAAAATTTTGAAAAAATGGCCTATTAGCTATAAGTAAATTGATTTGAATTATTGGATATGTTGCTTATTTTATGCAGTTAGTATCATACTAACTTTCCATGATGAAGTTGCATGCATGATGAAGGCCCTTAGGTCAAAATAAACAGGCAGTTGTTACACCACATTCAATGTGAAGTTCTTATAATCTCATGCTTTCACACTATTCCCAACCTCGTACCCAGGGTCTTTTAAGCAGAGGTAAAAACCCTGGGTACGAGGTTGCACTATATTCCTTGCTTCAATTGAAAAACATTAGATTTAGACATTTTGCATGTCAGGCAATTACCTGTGTTTGTTCAGATGCATCAGTTGCATCAACAACTTTCATGGCAAGATTTGCAAACAGGCAAATAAGAATGTTATCAAGATGTTATTTAAAAAAAACGTTCTGACTTACTATATGAAACAATGCTATAATCTCCAGTAATTTTTGGTAATGGAGAGGAACTTAAAAAATACTTGTTTTCATAGCCTGGATATTATTGATTTTGTGATTTCTCTTGGGCCCTTTGACCATGACATTTTCATCTTGTTTGTGTTAATATCGGCTATACTCTCAGTATTCACATGCCTGGGAAACACCATGGTCCTGTTGGCTTACCTGAAGTCATCTATTCTCCGCAAGAAGCTTTCCAGTATTTTTGTAATCAATTTGGCAGTCACGGACTGGCTTGTCGGTGTCATCGTCCATCCTCTTCTCATGATATTTTTTGTTCAAACAATCAATGATGATTCATCCTGTTTTCTTCCTTCTTTGTTGGCTGTAGTTATTCCGATACTCATGATGGTGTCTCTATTTAGCGTAGTGGGAGCTACGGCGGAGAGGTTCTTGGCTGTCGTGTATCCAATATATCACAGAACCGAACTGACAAAGACAAGACTACGGGTATTTGTGTTATGTTCATGGGCGTATGCAACATCTTGGATATCTATACTCTTTCTCAGTGAAGAAAATGCTAAAATTTACGTGACATTGAATTGCGTTTTACCCATAATTATGACACTTTTTGTGGTCATACTTTGGGTGTACATTTTTATCATAATTAAAGGACACGCAGTTGTTGGAAACACTTGTCGCGGTCAGAAGAAGACTGCATTGGAACAACGCCAAAAATCTGAAAGAAAAACAGCCAAGACGTTTTTGGTATCAACTTTGAGTCTTTACGTGTCTTATACGCCGTTGCTTATCGCATTGTTTACTAGTTTTAAAGATCCTCTGCATATGATCTGTTTTCTGGAGATCATGCTGTTAACCTCTGTAATAAATCCAGTCATATATGGCTTAGGGAATGTGCATGTCAGAAATATCATGAGAAAGGAACTTTTATGTGGATAGCCTTGCAAGAGTAGCATGCATCAGCATTGGTTAGAGACTCGATCATTAGACTATAAATTACGATTTAGTTTTTGATGTGCAAATTATTACTTGTTTTAATAAGGAAGACAGACCTGTTACTGGTTAGCACAATCATACTAATAATGTGAAATAATTCTGAAAAAGATCTGCTGAATGTTAATATAAACAAGAGGGAACTTGGAAAGGTTGAGTCCGCCGGAAAATGGCGTATTCGACCATGGTCGAGTCCGCCGGAAAATAGCGTATTCGACCATGGTCGAGTCCGTTAGTTTATTTATTCTACTTCGTGTATCACATTCAACATCCCACTGTCTTTATCTCTCTGCAGATGCGTATACATCCTGGTCCCGGTCCGTAATGTCTTGATAATTGTCTATTATTTAACCGGAAAAACCTCTGCTGAATATGTGCGCATTTTGATGTTATTATATAGATAGCGTAACATATTCGGATTTTATTTGGGTCATGTACATTACTTCTATATAATGCTTTTTTAAGTGATGAATGACGTTTAAAAAACATTTTATTTTTAATTATCATTTACTTTTAAATCCATGTGTTAAAATAATGTTGAACCAGGTGGCTCTACAAAATATTTACCATTTCCGTAGCTTGCAGCAACAAAAATATAAAACACAACAAATTGAAATTAAGATTTTTATGATTATTTTTCATGAGGAACTTGTTTCTGTGTATTGTCTGTTGTACGTGTTGGAAAAGCTTTTTTTTTCGTTTATCTGCATGTCATTTAGACTTCAGTACCACATGCATGAACGTGGTACGATAATGCTTTTTCTGACAAAATGTTGTGATTTTCTATTCCAGCTCCACAGCTCGTTCACGGAGGAAATATCGACTTCCTGGTGTTTGATTATTTGTCTGAAATAACGATGTCATTGTTGGCTCTAGCTCAACGTAAAATGCCCGTACGTGTACTGCGTGTAAAAAAGCATGGGCGAAAAAATAAAATACGAATATTATGCCGTAATATTTTGTCGTTAACGCTATTTTAATTAACTTGGTTTTGGGGTATATTTTAAACAATTTGAGGAAAGAATTTTAAAGATTGGTGTGAATTAAACACATCATGTCATATGTTTATTCCACCACCGCGTTCATAATGCTTTAAGATTGCATGGATGATATCAATGTTTTGATAAACGTGGAACTAGATGATTTAAGCAATAAATACCAACAAATATCGTGTTTCCATACGTGCATGGCTAACCGTTTAAAAGAGGCCAACGTTTTTGCGAAGTGTGAACTTTAAGCATTGTTTGATACACTGGTTATGTGTATCATATAAAGCCTTCCTTGTTTACATTTTGACAATACACCACTGGCACTTTCGTTTTTCCAAAAGCAAAGGGGAATCATGTTTATCATTATTTTACACACAGGAGCATGGTTATTGCCCAGATTTTGTTCGCTTTGTCATGGCTCCGTTGCTGAAGGATATCAAGAGAAAAGGTGTTATCTCTGTAGAAAGTCATTATCTGAAAGATGCTTTTGTTTTACCTTTGATACCTCTCGAGTTTTATTTACAATCAAATCAACGTGACTTGTTCTATAAGCAATAGGTATTTATATCTATCTTTCATCCAAGGTATTCGTGTGGTTAGTAATGCTGGTGGCATCAACCCCCACGCATGCGCCAAGGCAATTCATGAGGTTGCTAAAAAGAGTGGTATGGAAGATCTAAAAATTGCTGTCATCACTGGTGATAACCTTATCGGCAAAGTAAGTTTATTTGCTTTATGATTTCTTAAATACTAGCCATATATTATGTATAGGTACCTCTATATTGTCTTCTCACATTAATTGCATTCACGTGATATATCAGATCGATCAAAACACTTTAAACGGAGTTAAAGAAATGGATAGTGGACAGCCGTTACCTGAGCAAATTCACAGCATGAATGCTTACATCGGGTAAGATTGAATCAACTCAAAAACGTTCTGAAGACGTTTGAAACGTTGGGTTTTGCCACATCCGTGAACATGCATGCAGTTCTTGCAATTCCAGTTTCTCCTTTGTAATTAAAAATAAATTGTTAGAAAAAAGTCTATAAAGCCATGTGAAATTTAGATTATACTTGCATGGGAAAAATTGATAAATTCGTATTCTCTTTTTGAGGCTGACAGATGGTATTGTAATATCATTACAAATTTAGGGCATTTCCAATCGCACGAGCCTTGGATAATGGGGCAGATGTTGTTATTACTGGGCGCTGTGTTGACAGTGCTCTTGCGTTAGGACCTCTCGTTCATACGGTAAGTAGAATCAACGTAATTTCAGCGCAATTTCGCACTAATAAGATCCTTCTGTGATGAGGTGGAGTGAAAACCTTCTTCAGGATGTAGCTTGTCTTAAAACAAGACGAATTTCTCCATTGCCATTGAATGAACAGCAGCTAGTACTATGCTTATTTGTATACTGCAGTAATGGCAATAAACATTTTCCGGTTACTTGGCCACTTGCAAGAGCGGCTGTTACTGGGTATGTATAGTCTAGAGTAGAGAACAAAAGTCAGAAATTGAAATTTTCTGAAATTCTGGTTTATTGTTGTTGTCTAGTTTGAGTGGAGACAAGATAATTTTGATCTTCTTGCATCCGGAAGGTAAACTTCACGAGTTACGTTATAATTTTTTTAATTATCACGACTGCAGTCTGCACGGATGCGTTCACGCGTCATTTATTTCGACCACAAGTGAGCGTGTACGATGAAAATCAATGCATATCAGACAACTAATATTAACAATATTCTTACATCTGCATATACCAGTCTTGCTGGTCACCTGATCGAATGTGGGGCTCAGTCAACAGGTGGAATATTAACAGATTGGCAAACATCACCAGATTGGTACGAATTTGTGTTCCTAAATGAAAAATATACGAATAACGATCGTATTCCATTGAACAAGTGACACTGCATGTAGATATAGAGATACAACACAACCTAGCTTTCTTAGTGAGGCCATGGTACATGTGCAATGAGTAAAATAGTCATTTCTTTCAGGGACAATATTGGTTATCCCATAGTTGAATGTGCAAGTGATGGAAAATTTATAGTTACTAAACCTCCCAATACTGGCGGTATAGTCACTACAAGTACGGTTGCTGAACAGGTTCGTTTTTCCCACCTCCTTTTTTGCCTCAAATCGTATGTTTCTGTTCCTGTTAATTCAGGTTCAATTGGGAAAGAAACATAGGAAGTGCCTCAATTCAAGCAGTGATACTCAATTTTAAATCTGCATGATTCTATATGTTGTTCATATCTTGTATAGCTCGTGTACGAAATAGGCGATCCTCAGAACTACATTCTTCCTGATGTAACTTGTGATTTCTCTCGAGTTAAAATAGAACCTATTGTTGGCAGCGAAGGTACAAACTATATTACAGTCAGATGAATTTTACTATGCATTAAGTGCTGCACATTAAGGATTTTTTTCTATATGTGATGAAGATTCATAAAAATATATATAAACATTGCTTTGATTTTAGAAGATAAAAATCAAGCAGTTGTTGTGACAGGGGCTACAGGAAAACCTCCTCCAAACACTTACAAGGTCTGTTCTTGTTAGCATATTCAGAAAAAAAGAAACCTGTATATCCTAATTGTATTAACGGTCGTTTCTCAACTGTACGTCCCTTGCCCTATAAATAATCACCCCGCAAAAATGTAATTTTTTTCGTATTCTTACAGAGTTATAAAATTTTATTTCCCCTCAGGTCAGTGCAACGTATTCTGATGGTTTCAGGGCAACAGCAGTTTGCCCAGTTGGAGGGCCTAATGCTGGTGCAAAAGCAAGACGAGTTGCTGAGAGTATTATAAAAAGGTTTGGAAGTCGATATTTATATTTAAATTATGAAAGTATAAACAAGTTTATAGGTTTTCCCCATTACTTTGCAGTATGCATAGCGAGACTTAAAGGGGGCCCCCGCACACATCCAGAAACTGTACGTATAGGTTATGATATTTAGTCTACTTTATTCAAAGTTGACCTTTGTTGCCACACTTAATTATCTTGGGCAAATGAGAGAATTTTTCTTTTATTTGGAAGAAAGTTTGTTCATTTGAAAGGTTCACCCATTTCTTTAGAACAAGAAAAATTTTTAAACTTCGTGGTTTTGATGACTATACTAGAACGCATATTCAGGTAAAAAGATTTATGTTTGCTGCCATGAATGCGGCTAGCCTGCTAATTTTTTCTGAAGATAATAGTATAGCAGTATAGGTAGCAGTATGTAATAGCGGTCTTAAAATGCGTGCATGTATATAACATACATGCATGCATGATTATGTGATAAACTGCAGCCGTTTTATGCTGAAACAATTTTCGTGCAGGTTCTTGGTTCAGAAGAGACATATGGTGATCATGCAAGACGAAACTTTGTAGAGGTCAGTGCATGGAAATCCTGGCATGGCAATTTTTTTATCAAAGTGAATTAAGAATAATTATTTGGATTCACTGTAAATATCGAAGGTTATACACAATGAGTGAAATTGTTGATAACTATTTTAAAATTAGACCAATTATAGAACTGTAACTATGACTTTTTACTCTCGCTTTTAATTTTAATTCCCAACTATATTTCATGATGAACATGCAGGATACAAGAGAAGGTGTTCTGTGGCTTGCTGTACATCATCAAGACCAGAAAGCTCTGGGAATATTTTCAATGGAAGTTGCTTCAGCCGGAACTGGAATGGGTTTGTCACGCACCGTATTTAAATAATATGTTAATTTCAGGTTTTTCAGGGTATCGTTTCAACCAGCAGGCTTCAACGCTATGGTCTTCTTTTATGTTCTTGTTTCTAATTTTGTAGCACCTGGATTGACCGGTATCGTTGGAGGAAGGCCAAAGCCGTAAGTTGTAATTTACGCTTGTAAGTGTTCTTTGCATCACGATTCCAGTAGTTCCATGTTGTAAAATTGTTTTTTTCTAAACTTGCTGACTGAAATTTAGTAGGTGCACTCCGCACTAAATACAAACTCAAGTTCTGTAATTCAGGAGTTTTTCTCTCATCTGCGATTTTAGGACGCCAGTTTTGAAACTATTTTCTTTCTTATACCCCAAAGACGAAGTTACCTTGCAGTTGCATGTTGATGAAGAATTAATTGAGACGTTACCGAAACCGTTGATTCACGAACAACCAAAGGAAGAAGAAAGAACAGAATCTTCTACCGAGGGTACATTTCTTTTATATCAGCTGAGAATGGTTAACAACCTCGCGTGGGTTTTTAGCTCAGCAAATTTCTCTCATGTAACGGCATGTTAAGAGTTCCGGGATTGTAATCGTTTTAAAAAAGTAAATTTCCTTTAGATCTTCCACATGGAGCGTGTACTTTTCCTCTCAGTGCTTTGGCTCACACTCGCAGTGGAGATAAGGGAAACAGCGTCAACATAGGTACGTACGTTCAAATATTGCCAGCCACTATATACTGAGCGTCGTATACTTCAAAAAGAAACAAGTAATAAATATATCAAGCCACGTCGGAAAACTGAAGAATAAAATTTGTAAAATTAAGTTGACTTAATACTGGTCGATTTTGAGATGCATGTGATGAAAAGCACAACACACCTTGCAAACCAAAATCTCTTCCACGAGTCATGCACCTAGCATAAACAAGTACCAGAAATGGGACTTCCACAACGCAATTGTCCTTAATCTTATCTTCCAATTTATAGGCGTCATAGCACGACATCCATCGTATTTACCATTTATCCGTGCTGCATTAACCCCGGAAGCGGTACAAGATTACTTCAAACATCTATTTGAAGAATCGGACTTAAAACGTTGTCAAGTTTACAGGTTTGGCATGAATTTATCAACCATTTATTAGCGTTACGTGCTGTGGGTGACCATTTTCATTTCCACGAAATACGACGGTGGAAAATCCCTCTCGTGCGTCATCTGGCGTTGAACAACTCCAGCGACCAGCATTCCATGTTTTCAACATTATTGATACCGAGTATATGAACAACGGATTATGTCAAAAATATAATAGCTGGGCTGGGCATACTATATATTACATGGGATTTATTACATTTCTACCTCTGTCCCAGAGCAATTTAGTATCTTGTAATAACTACCAGTTACAGTACATACCCGGATGCAAAGAACGAAATAATCGAAACAATGTTGCACTACTGTAATTTTGGCAAAAGTGTGATTGTCAAGGCACAATTCATATGTAGCTCGTGATATTGTTGATTTTTGAATACCTCGTATTTTATCTAGATACGAGCTTCCTGGGATTAATGCATTAAATTTTGTATTGAAAAATTCTCTTGGAGGTGGCGGTGTAGCGTCATTAAGGAGTGATCCTCAGGTCAGTGTGGTACAACTGAAAAACTATAGTATATCATATTTATTATAAATGTGTGATATTAATTGAATTGTTATTTAGGGCAAAGCATTGGGTCAAATGCTACTGGATTTCAAGATATCGAATGTTCCAGACATTACACCTTCAACGGTTGAGCCTACCACGGCGTAACAAGGTTGTCTCAATCTTCAGTCAATTACATTGTCCAAATGTTTAACGCTGTAAAAACTAGAGGCCTTCAAATAAATCAATGAAGAACTAGAATACTGTTTTGCAAGTTTATTTTATATATAATTAAAATAAATTTAGAGGAAATAAATGGAAAGGAAAGTGCTTCAATGTTTCTTCCACACTGCAATTTATTTATTTTGTCATGGATTCCGTCTTCAAGGTTCACGTTGAGACCTCGTTTGGAACTATCCCAAATTGGCGAAGCCTTAAGTTTAATGTTTGAGAAAATACGAATAGACAAATCTTGTTTAATATCGTATTTGGAATTGTTAGTGCACTTTATCATGCATTCAGTTTGCAACAAAGATAAATTAGATGAAAGAGATACTTCTTCTGCCCACAAGAGCAACGGGGCCATTTGGGTAAGAACTGATTTGAAACGAACACCGATTCACGATTCGCTTACAAAAGAACGACGTGGTTTCCAGTTCGCCTGTTTTTGAAAAGCAGAGAAAATAATAGCAATCTTCTTTCTTGACGAAAGTTAATGCGATTATTTTGGAAATGACATGGTGAAATACAACCGCACGGACCTCATGATCATTTCCCACTTCTATTATCAAATTTAGATTTCCTTCTTCTGTGTAAGTACGTATGCTGTTGTTATCAGTTATTATAATCTCGTTCTGCTCTGTGACACTTAAATTGTGCAGTAACATTGTCATGGGTGTGAATACGGCGACCTTTTGTTTCAACAGTCCAGTGTTGTCCGAGATGTACACGTCAGGATCATCATCTCTGACCATAATGATATCATTATTTCTGTTAATAGCCATATTCACAAGAGCTAACACACTTCGAGCCTCGAGAAAATTTAACGTGAAGTCGTACATTAAATTGTAATTACTATCCAATATATACAAGACGAAATGTCCAAACAAAAAGTCTTCCGTGGGCGTAGTAAGCGTTTTCAGACATCTACAGACGTAAACATTGTTGTTCTTATCAACTGCGATTCCCACAATACGCTGCCTGATAACTTCACCTTCTCTGGGGTCAGGTAATTCAACCGTCCTGCACTTGCCGTTTTTAAAAATAATCTTGATAACATAGTCATAACGAACAATAACGTCCCCATGACTGTTAACTGCAGAGACGCCGGGAAATATATCTTCATCAAGTAAAAATCCGTTGGGATATTGATTTAATTCTTCACCCATCGACTTGCGACTAGCGACTTCTTGCCAATTCAATATCGGATTGAACCTGCGATGAGGAAGTTCAATTTCTGGCCAGGTAAGCACACATGAATATCGAGTGTTTAATTTCAAAACATATTGATATAATACATAGTTGATTAGCATGACAGATTTGATGTTTTCCACTCGTTCGGCTTTGTTTAACAATGACTTGACTCCACCGTGAAGATAGACCGAGAATATCTCTTGAATGGCTGGTAAGCTATGAAGCTTCTTCAAAAACGACAGGCAACCTATTATCGCATTTTCAGGACATTCGAGACCTTCCAGTAATTCCGAAACTACTCGTAATTTCGCTGCAAAAATTTTATCGTTGATGCAATGTGCGTCGTTACAGAATGCATCAGTTGCCCTCTTACGAGAATCTTTGAAACGCTTTTTAGCAGCTTCAAACTGTTGATCTGAGTGGATTTTTAACTGTCCCATGGAAAGCTCGAGCGTGCCGTTCAAGATCTCATCAGAATCAACACCGCTGGGTGATACTCTTGATTCGCCAATAACATTTCGAATTTCATACTTTGTTACGTCTTTTTGCACGGGTTTTGATTTACCAAGAGAAACATTGAGTAAGTCCACTCCTTCCTGTAGGAAACGATAGCTGCTGAGAAGATCTTTGCGCGAAAGACCATCAAGTTTTGTCTTGACGTCATTCAACTCTCTCACGATAAGCTCGCGAATTTTCGCGTCTGTAACATCTCCGTCCTTTAATTTTGTTGTTGCAAAGTCTCGAGCTTTATTCCACAACAAACCCACAGTTGAACTTAAAACGCTTGTCACAATAGACGACATAGTCTAGGCTAAGCCTTGCCTAATCTGAACTAAACACACAATATATGCTTACCAATAAAAGGGCAGTCTGTGTACGGCGTGTGTATATCATAGAAAAGCAAACCAGGAAGACTAGTTCAAACGTTCTTCCTGTATCTCCTAATTGACCTAATATGCTAAAAAAATACAGTTAATGGGAATTTCAAGGATGGTTAGTCGAGTTTACATAATGCCGGGAAGTCGCTCAGGATAAAATGCGGAACAGATGGATGAGTCATGAGAAGCGCTAGACATGCAGATAGCGATGGACGAAAGTGCTTTTTTGCAAAATTTGCTCTGAAAAACGTAGGATATAATATAAGAATGCGCTTTTCCTTTCACTTTAATGCATTTTTATAGATGTGTAAGAAATGCTTTGACTTTGTCAGTTTTCCTGCCACAAAATAACACTGACATTCTGACAATCACGATTCTCTTGACAAGTTGCAATCAATTCCTACAATGTGTATAATGATCTAGAATACGATACAGGTTGGCTCATGAAAACTGAAAATTACTGAAATCATCCTGAAGGCTATCTTTTATGTTTCACTTTATGTATAATTCATAGAAAATCGTTGTTGAGCACAATCCAAGACATTAACAGTTAACAATTTCAATTTTTATTATCCAGTATTGAAAAAGTCATTCAATTCTGATTTGTACACAACATAAAATTCCAATAGCAAGAAAAACAGAAAAAAAATGTAAATGTGAAATAACATTGTTAGCATTATTTGGCTTTTACCCTTTAATATCCTTGGTCTCTAGGTAACCAAATAAAGAGTGATCATGTTTTTGGAACGATTCACTTATTACTACTCTATTTCTTTTTATTTTTTCTCCCAAATGGACAAATATCAAGATTTAGACACTTGCTGCACAAGGGCTTCACCGGTAAACATGTTTGCTGACCAAAACCAACCAACAAAACATTCACATCATTCCATTCCTCTCTGGGTAGCCAACTTTCCAAAGCGATACGAGTTTGTTCTGGTAGAGCAGTTGCTTTCTTCACCCAACCTAATCTGTTGGATATTCTGTGTACATGAGTATCCACACCTATCCCAGATAACTTATTCCATGCTACATTCATTGTGATGTATGCCATTTTGGGCCCCACCCCAGGAAGCTTAACCAGTTCTTCCACAGTAGGTGGGATATCATCTGCATATTGATCATGGCATATTTCAGTCGCTTTCTTGATATAACCAGCTTTTTTCCTCCAAAATCCAACTGGCTTTATTAACTCACCAATTTTATCCTCTTTCATTTTCAGGATATTTGCTATAGTCAGGTTGTTTTCCTTTAACTTCCTCATAGCTTCGAAGGTAACTTGATCTTTAGTTTGACTTGATAACATCAGGGAAATAAGGATCTGATACCGTTGCACTTGGGGTGGGGCGTCCGGATTTGCAGTTCTTTCACATCCTTGGTGATCTACAGCTGCATTCCTTTCCCGTCGCATTTCACGAATGTTTTCTAGCTGTTGTTGCCAGTTCTTTGGTATCCAAGCCCCACTAGCATTCTCAGCTTTCGTCTCGACTTTTATCTCATTTTTTTCAAGTTTCGGAAGCTTGCTTGCACGTGGGTGCTTCTCCTGGTCCTGGATATTCCTAATGTTTGACTGCCTCGTTTTTTTATCGCTCTCGTTCTGTGGTAGCTCTTTTCCCTCGTATTCTATTTTTACATGTTTCCTACGGCTTGCAGAACGTAATGTACGGCCTACTGATGTCAAAGTCGACGATCCAGATGCAAAATACGGTGATTTTGAAGCCATTGAGGGAAAGTGACAATAACATGGCAAAAATGCGGATATGGGCGGGATTACCCCAGAGAGCGTATTTCCTCGTCCGAGGCCCCTCGGCTTGCAACTTTTCAATCAGAGTTTATTTAATACTTGCAAGCTATATAAACAGTAACATTGCTGTGCTTCTTCTATAAATTTTGACAATGACAATTTTATTGTCCATCTTCATTAATCTAAGCTCTTTCTAGCATTAAAAGATTAACGATGAGTTTATTTCGACGCCTTACTAATTTTAGTTCACCATCATCTTCGAGACGTGTTGCAGAAACTCCTAGTGGACAACTGGACGACGTCAACCAGGGTACAAATGTTACGCCAGAAAATGATATTGTGAATGCCCTAAAGGGCCATTGTAGAACTATAAATGATGTTTTGCTTACTGGTGAAACAAGCAAATGCTCGGCTGATGATTGTAGGCGTGTTATGGATCATTTTAGTATTGTAATGAACATTATTTCTGATGAGAAATGTGGGCAAGATGGTCAGCTTGGCTCTTGTCTAGAGTACGCGCTTGAATGTGGAATATTTGAAGGAGTATTTGCATGGAGTCTTAGCCAACGGACGAGTATGAAAGATCTTATTAAAGAGCAACTAAAACTTTATAAGAATTTGTTAAGAAATTGCAAACAACCAATTTTGATCTTTGAAGAAATTGTCAATCCATTGAAACGATTGCTTCGCTCGTGTATGGGAAAACAAACGAACGATATTGAATTGGTATTTGTCGAAGTACTCCATCAACTCTGCATTTGTGTGAACCAAGATGTCTCTCTTCTTAATACACATTTTATAAATACAACCTCGGCATCGGAATCAAGTGTTTCAGTGTTTGCATTGCTAGTACCATATGTACATAGAGAGGGGGAGGTCGGCTCCAAATCGCGTGATGCTGTATTGCTTTGCACATCACTATCAATGTTTCAGGAACAACTTGCAAATTTCATTTGTGAGGAAACAACATTTTGTCCGGTAAGAAACGTAGATGCAATTATTTGACAGGGATTGCTTCTGTGTCAAACTTTATAATTTATATGATATATGAAAGCAATCAATACAAATCGTTTGAATACTTTCTTTTGTGCAGTCATGCAAGGATACTTATTTTACACGTTTGAATATTCGAATTCAGTAAAATATAATCAACAAAGACGTAAAGTACCCTTGCTTATCGTTTGTTATGACTGAGATCAAATCTTATTCTTATTTCAGCATTTAATTGCAGGCCTTAAAGATAGTGATTGCATTTTCTGTTTATAGCATGTCATAATATTATTTCTCGTATATTCCCACGTAAATTATTTACATAAGGATGTACTTTTGCCATTATTTTATAAATAAGTGAATATGATCTTTGACTTCTCCATAGAAATGCGAATTATGTGGACAAATGCTTTTTTATTTTAGGATTTCAGTATGTGCACCTGTCAATATCTACTCCCTACTGTTATTAAGGGATTATGCTATTGTTATATTTTAAATTATCAATAATATTAGGCTTAAATATCATTTGGCATCTTATTGATGATGAGGTTCGCTTATCATGAAAAGAGATATATTTAGTTGTTTATGCATATGTTCTTGCATGTGAATTTGCATATGTTCTTTTGCATTTCTTTATCCTGTTATCTTCAGAATATTCTTACCTTTTTTCACCTTTCTTCCCCATTTCTCTCCCATATTTCCTCCTGTAACATTTGACAGAGAAAAACTTCTGATTAGGAAAATAAATTTACTGTCATGTGGTTGTTTTATTTGCAGGTACTGGCAACAGGTTTAAGTGCCCTGTATTCAAGACTTCCTAATACATTAGATGTTCCTGGTGAAGATTGGTACAGCTTAGAGAAAGGCCTGTGGACAACATTGCCAGAACTAAGGTCTTTTATTACATCATTGGAATTCTGTAATGATGTCATACAGGTGAATTTCTATTTCTCTTTATGTCAATCATTTTCCGGTTAATAGTATGTCAAATTATCAACTATAACTATAACTTGCCTCTGGGAACAACTGAACACAATAGAGTCTGACTACCTGGTCCAAATATCTAATTATATTTATCATAGAATTATTGCATTCTTGAACCATTGCAAGTTTTACTCCTGTTGATTTCTGCATCATCAACTGCACAGTTGTAGAATAAAAATACAAAAATTCACAACTACATCACATTTTGTTCAGACTGCCCATCCAAGAATACAATCAAAACTATTGGATCTCATTTACCAAGGATTCTTAGTCTCAGTTATGGCACCTGCTCTTAATCAGGTATTATAAATCTATTAGCATCCCATTCTATTTTAAACTTATTACAAAATGAAAATTGTCTTTTTCAATGTGAAGTTTGAAATGTCACTTCTCAGTACATCTCTAGGTATAGATTCTACTCTGACCTGTGATGTGTCTGACTTATTATTATTGCCCAGTACATATACATTGTCTTTATTATACAATGCTTATTTACAAACTTTGACATATTTTGCAGAATTCTTCAGATGCATTGACAGCTGCGACAGCATATTTTGATCTATTTCTGGGAAGCATTACTGAACCCATGTTAATGAAAGTATTTCTAAGATTCATCCTTCAAGAAACATTTGATGGTGTTCAGATATTACATTCCTTAATACAACGGATTGAAACTAAGAATGAGGTACACTACTCCTGCATTATTGCAAAACTGCTAAACATTTCCCATGCTTGCAATAAGGCTTTTCCTAGGACTGCCCCCGTCCTTTTGTGTCCCTGTGAATCTTTGTGAGACAACCCTCGGGTAGTCAAAAATGCAAAAACCCCCAAAATGCAGACTTTTAGTGATGCCACTAGAACATTACATTTGTTCAAGAAAGCGAGTCACAGGTCACAAGATCTCAACAATATCTTGAGTTTTGCTTCTTAATTTTATATTTAACTGGATTGTGAATTCCAGTCAATCTCACTTTCAGTTTTTTCATTTTAGTTATGTCTGGTGACTTTGGCATTGTTTCAGACTGTTGTCAATCTTAATTCTGAGGATGTAATGATTGAACTTGTTCTCAAGTAAGAACTAAGAACAGTAAATTGATTATTTTCTGTACATTTATGCATACTTTGCAGTGTGCACATGTAATTTGGCGTTTCTTATAAGCTATATTATGTACTGGTTTTATGTTGTTTTATACCAACATCATATGTTCCAGGTATCTTTTACCTTGCAATCACGTTATGGGAAGCCAAAGGAAAATGATTCAAGAAATGGATCTTTATGGAAAAGTAGCTGTGCGATTTTTAACCTCAATCCCAACATGTTGCTACCCTGAGGATGTGCAAATTGATCCAGTCACAGCAGATGATGTTGAGAAACAAACGACCAATGAGGAGAAACAAGCGACGAATGAAGAACCTAAGAGTTTATCATCAGATTTCCTGAGTTATTTGCTTGATGTAAGGAAACGTCTTTCCGACCGTCGATTGGCATGTACTTGTTGGTCTGCGCATTGGGATGGACTGGATCCCAGTTTCGAAATGGCAGAAGCAAGTAATAAACCTCTGTCAAATGGTGGTGTGCTACATACAAGCACGTCATCGCCAGAAATATCACAACTAAGTAAGGGGGAAGACAAGCCTGCGCGCAAAAGATCACTTTCGGTTGAGAATGATAAGTTGGAAATTCTTCTTGGTCCATTTATTACAAAATTGTTTAAGAAACTGGAGAAAATGCCAGAAAATTCAATGGCAGTAAACGAGGTTCTAACAGGAGTTATATCAAGTTTAGCAGAGTACCCTCAACCATTACTCAGGTCATTTCTGTTGAACCATAGTTTGGTTTTGCAACCGGATGTTAAGTCAATATTCCAGGTGAGCTCTAGTTTATGTATAGTCGTTCTTTTGCATACGACATTAATACTTTGTATGTGTACCTTGCAGATATTGGGCTCTGTGAAAACAAAGGTAGAATCGAATTTAAGCCAGTTGGATAACCTCGAGAAACCATTGTTAATTGCAAAAGAAAACTTAATCGAACGCGAGGAAACAAGAAAACTATCCGTATCTCGTCGCCCATCTCAACCTGCCAGTCCTAAATCAAAAAGTGACCTAAAAACTTCCAGATCCTCTAGTAACAGTCCATCCCGTGTCAGTACCCCTGAGGTTCCCTCTCCTTACAGAAATACATTCGTAGAAAGGAAGAACTCCATGGTTGGTCAATCTGAATCCTCATCAAACGACCAAGATCTTGAAAACGCCATTGAGCAAGCTTCAAGCTGGATTATACTGAATTTGGGGCCTAAGGGTATTTCACGTGAAAGAACGCGAAGAAAGCACATCATTATGATAAAGAACGCAGTTTATTGTGCAGTATTGATGGAGGAATGGATGAAGGAACTAGCTGCTATCTCATTAGAGCACGCGGTTCAACCGTATGCGGAAACCGACGTTACTGTCGAGTGAAAGATTTATATTTCGCTATAGAAGCCGTCCTCTGACTAGCACACGCTCTAATTACCACGAAACTTCAACCTGTAAACCTGACATAACAACCACCACTTGAGCCAATGACTAAATCACCGTAAAATTGCTATTCATATTTCACTATATTGAGCATAGAAGTCATTGTAAAGTAGGATTTACCATCGAAAGTGAAGTACCTCCTTGACTGATGCAATGTAAAACTCTTATAACCAGATTAATATTATTGACGTAACTGTGATTGCTAGTGAAAGACTGTATTGTATTTTTTTGACAACCTATGCATTGATATTATAGTTCGGTGATTTCAACTCTCTGTCATCAAATCTTAGTTTTATACGGTTCTTTATTTTGGGGAGGTACCGACGCAATGGTCCACTTGAGGAACGAAGATGAATACTTTTTGATTTAAGAAACTAGGGAGCTGGAAAGAGTTCAGTCGAAAGACGTAATCAATATAGATTCGCAACTTTAATAACTAATGAAAGTGTCTAAAATAACTTGGAACTTGAAAGCTTCACCACATTAACTCCTCGTCATAATTCGTTTTCACCAAGTATAAATGTTGAAAGAACGTGATAAGTTTGACGATAAATAGAAAAAAAAACTAAAGGAGCGAAGATAATTGAACATCACCGGTAAAGGATTGGTCATCTTCCGAATGCCTTTTGCTCGTTGCATGCCATTTTGTAGATTTAAATTCACTTTTATACACATTTCTTTCTTTCACTGAACAACGTCAAACCTTTGTCGTCTAGCACAAGATATTTCACGATAAATTTTTCACAAGTGACTGGAAAGCAATCTTTAATATTTAACTACCTACAGCATACAACAAATTTGGAAGAATCCTATAACAGCTAGACAATTCTGAAATTGCTGGTTTTTACCTCTTTTTCCGCTCAAGATGCTTTTTTTGCGTAACCAAATGCGGGTTTCACACGAATCGTGGGATCTTGAGAACAATTACGAGTCATACACCTACAAAAAGAGAAGAGAAAAATGAGTCCTTATTCAATTTATACTTGATGATTTTACCTAATTTTGTTCTTGTTTAAATTAGTTCTAATTAAAGCCTTGCTGGTGGATGATCCAAATCTAATACAGATTTCGTACCTTGTTTAGTCCAGATATTCTCCTTGGTTTGAACCAGAATACGTACGTTCATGTATTTCCAGTTGACGAAGAAAAGTATTAACAAGTTTTACATGCTTACGTATACAATGATACAAATATATTACATGTAAAAATGTCACTTCTCGTATTGAATCTTTTTTCATTTTTTTTATTTTCATTTTCTTTTCTTTTTTCTTTTCTCTTTTTATGTTTTCTTTTTTTTTCATCATATTTTTTTATCGTCATATTTTCTCATACTTTTCTTTTAATTGCATTAGTAGTTTTCTTTTTATCTTTTTTATTTTTTTTTTTCATAATTCTTTGACATTTTGACAAAATAGATCAACGTCAATGATAACAATAATGATACAATATAGCTAACAATAATTTTGCTCTAACAGTATTTGTTCACATTGTTTTGCCTTTTCACAAAATATCATAAAACTCATTATTATATACATTTCCGAGTGTAGAACGCCAGTCCAAAAGACAACGAAACGTAGATATCGAGCGTAACTTGTAACCAGGATATCTCAGTTTGATGAGAAAATGTTCCATTACAACGAAAAATGATGCAGGTGAATGTCTTTTTAGACACGCGTTCCAACGTAAAACAGGAGAGCGACAACCAAATTGCGTCGTTTCGTTGCGCTGGTTTCCGGCTTTCCGTGATGTTCCACTCTCCCGTAAATGTTACCCACCGCAACCAGAGCTAAAAAAGCTGGCAACAACTCGTTACAGGAAACGTATTTACAATCCGGTTTTTTCCGTAATCACCATCTAAGCACCAACTATGCAGTAGGAACGGGGCTACTGATGCCTTCTAAATCACGCACCCAGTTCAGTGAGTACTCCAATGAGTATTTCTCTAACTCACAGTTATTGCGTCTGGTACGCATTACGTCTTTATAGCAGGTCTGCATGGTCATGTATTCAACCAAATTTTCACCGTCAATTATGATGATAAAATACGACAATCATCGCCGCCATGATCTTTCTTCTTCATCATCTTCTTCATCACCCTCCCCTTCAAGTAGTAATTCCTCCACAACCTGATCTAATGCATTTTCCTACATAACCCAAACAATGAACTAACTCTGATAAATATACATGGACAATAAATATACTTCCATTAGATAGTTCCCATTATATTGAAAATGCAACATAAAATCATCCTGTGAAATTACTGACATATATTGTACTCCCTGAATACTTTGAATGGTCAAGTTCTACACTCTCTCCTAAATTCTAATCCTTGCTTGCAACTTTGCATTCTCATTAGGAACAATATTGATAAACAACGTACAATAGTATACTGCAGGTCATCCGAGCGCAGTAGGTAAACAATATAATCTTACAGCACATGTAAGTCTTACCCCATCTCCTTGCTCTTGCGAGGTTTTTATTGGCATTTTTACACCAACTGTTGAAGACGATGGTGGAGTGGATGTTGAAGATGGACGATACCACGTTATTTTAACATTTTTCATGTTAAACGAGGGGACATGTGTTATTGCCTGTATAAAGAAATTTAACCAGATAAGTGTATAAGAAGTATAAAGACGATCAAAAGATACTGCATCGTCCATGCCGAAAGAAAAAAAAGCTTCTGTAGCCTCGCGGCTGGTCCTCAGTCAGTTAATGCAATATACAGATAAGACTTTAGAGTATAATCTTTTGAAGCCAATAGTTGAATTTACAGCAGGTAAATCATAGTGCCTCGCGTAGTGAGATTACAGTGTAGTGAGATTACAGTATAGTGCATAGATTTTCCGGGGAAATTGAATTCGATAATGCGAATCGTCTCTTAATCCAAATGCCTGATATCTCTGGGGGAATTTCAACGCATATCTTTAGAGTTTCATCGAATACATGTACTTGATATATAAGAAACCTACATTTTCCGCCTGTTTTCGAGTACTGAACGTGATGATAAGTCGATGGCCATCTTTATCCTGCTCAACACGGTCTATGCCACTCAGCTCCTGAACAAAAAAAGAACGATGACGCTTCTAGGACAACAGCCATGCATATATTGCAATCCGTGTTACATATATATTCGACTGGAAGAGCTGTTTACCCAGTAAGCACGCGACGTCATTTCGACGTCGACATGAAGTTGAAATTTTGTCGTGACGTCGAACTACGTTAAAACAATGTCACTTCGAACCTGACGTTATTTCGACGTTTTTCAACTCGAAAGTCTTTGTTTTTAAAAACGATGGCAGATGATCGTAAACATATACCTTAAAATGTTGCTTTAGTGTATCTTTCTCCTCTTCTGTAAACCCTTCTACCAGCAGCTGTTTGGGTCGTTTATCCCAGCGGTTATGTATTGGGTCGCGCACTCTAACATGACCACGTGACATACCACGTGCTGTACCACGTGTTGGTCGACCTCGTCCTCTTCCACGATGACTTGCGTCCAATAATCCCAGTGACTGAGCCTGAATAAACGTCATGAGCGTTAAAAAACAACCATCAAAAATGGCCTCGCAAAGTGGGTAACAATGTGAAACAGAATCCTGCAGAATTTATCGCCCGAGGTCTGCTTTGAGACTGTCTGAATTGGAGTTCAAAATTTCGATTTAACTCATTTGTATGTCTGTATGAGAACAAGTCAAGATCTGGGGCCGGTTGTTCGAAAGGCGTTTAGCTTAAACGGTAGATAAGTTCACAATGGAAAACAAAATCATCTATTTATTGAACAACTGAGCTGAACTATTTCGATGTAAATAGTTTAATTTTCAATTTTCAAACATATTTAATCCATAAGATGCAGGTTCAATCATTCACAAGATGTGTGAGAGCAAAGTTTTAAACTTTGGCTTATCCACCGTTTAAGCTAAACGCCTTTCGAACAACTGGCCCCTGACAATCCTTGATTATCACACCTCTTTCTTTAGCTCTTCCACCCTGTATTTTAATTCTGTAGTATCTTCTCCGGTTTGTTCATGAGTGATAAGATCTAACTCGCGATCTAACAATTCCTTTTGAGCCTGAAAGAAAACAGTAATTTAATATCCGTATAACTAGAAACACTATAGTCTCACAAGCAACAGCGCCGATCAATCATCAATCTCACTCTATTTTATTAAAATGGCACATTTATAAATAATCATAGTTCATATATTGTAAAAAAGTTATTTCTACGTACCACCTGTCGTGCTCGACTAGGACTTTCTTTGGATCTGACAAGCGCAGCGCTTACTTTTACTTCACTTTGTTGTTTTGCTATGCTTTCTGAAACACTTTTCAGCGTCTAAAATAATGAAGCTATCGTTAAACCCCCAGTTTTTATGCTCCAAGTTCTCTGCATGCAATGCATATGATCACCGTCTAAACAACAAAATTACTGTATCAAGTTTTACCATCATGATTTTGTTTTTATCTTCCTGGTTAAGGCCCTTGTTCTGCTCTAGTTTCTTTATTAGAAGCTACAGAAGACATAAAATGGAACTTAACTTTTTATATATTTTATATGAAGCTCTCATATAAATACTCGTATCATTAAATATATACAAATATATTAATTTTATATTACATACTGCATGAATGAAATCACATATTAAAATGACTAGCAATCGAATTAAGAATAGCATTACTTCACATAAGACTGGCATAACCTATATACCTTTTGGTTTTCAATTTGTTTACAAAGTAAATCTTGCTTCTGTTTCTGCAGTAGAATTTTTTTCTTCACCACTTCCTGGGATTGTAAAATGTGAATATTATTATAGAATGGATAATTTAAATTCCTTAATATAGGAATTTCACATTACCTATACAATTTGCACAGTGACTTCAATAAATATTATCATTTGACAATGTACCTCGACAACTCTAGTATTTGCATCTCTTTTCGATACGACAGCAGCAGGAACTGCAGCCTTGAACGATGTTTGGCCTGTCTGGAACATGGTTGGCGCCAGTGCTGTAGACTATATAGACATACCAAAAAAGTCATGCGGTTAAACCAGTTAAACATGAGATTTTTTTCATAATATATTACCAGGCATATAGTCCAGAGAGAATAAAATCTTTAATCTTATCGCAAAAAATGAGGTTAGGTTTAAAGCAAAATGGCTGGATGTTCTCACATCATAGAGAATACACTGTTAAAGGTATAATACATATATTTTTGAAATACCCATTCGTAGTGAATTAATTACCTTTTCATTTTGTGTTGGTCTCACAGTAGTTGCTATGGAGGCGGGTTGATTGTTTTCTGAGAGACTGGTTTGACTCTACAATTACACAAATGGTAGACATATAACCAGATATCACTACAGTCGATGAATTGAATGAAAGTATCAGCGATATCGTAAGAATTTGAACTAAATATTAACTTGTTTTTAAAATATTATCATATACCTTTTGTTGACTTGTTTCAGATTTGTACCAAAATATTCTGATAAAACGATTTCCGAGTATCGCGTCTGCACAAGATATTGCTTTATGTGCCTCAAAGTTAGTCGCAAATTGAATTAATGCAACATCAGGCTGACCAAAAGCAGAGACCTATGTAAATATATATATTGAATGAACATTACTAAAAGCCTGAATAATATCCCTACTTGGGGGGGGGGACAGTGAGGCAGTGTGTATCGAGTGGAACAGCAGTGAGGCAGTGTGTAGTGAGTACAACTGAGTAAGGTAGTGAGTATTGAGTGCAACTGGAGTAAGACAGTGAGTATTGAGTGCAACTGGAGTAAGACAGTGTGTATTGAGTTAAACTGGAGTAAGACAGTGTGTATTGAGTTAAACTGGAGTAAGACAGTGTGTATTGAGTTAAACTGGAGTAAGACAGTGTGTTTTGAGTTAAACTGGAGTAAGACAGTGTGTATTGAGTTAAACTGGAGTAAGACAGTGTGTATTGAGTGCAACTGGAGTAAGACAGTGAGTATTGAGTTAAACTGGAGTAAGACAGTGTGTATTGAGTTCAACTGGAGTAAGACAGTGTGTATTGAGTGCAACTGGAGTGAGGCAGTGAGTATTCAGTGCAACTGGAGTGAGATAGTCATTCACATGTGTAGTGTAAGTGAACAGAAAGACTTACCTGAATATTTACAATTTTGCCGAATCTTTGAAAATATCCGTTTAATGTGGCGATATTATTTAGATTGGGTGGCAACTTCTTTACCTCCAAAACAGTGTTTGTATATTTCCGAGGAGGTGGTGGTGTTGAAAGCGTTCGTACGTTGGCTGTTTCTTGTACAGCAGTGCTCACAACTTGTGGTGTTGCAACAATATTTGTACTGGGGACTACAGCCACAGGATTCTTCATCTCCTGAGATGCTACATGGAAAATAGAGAAACTTTATGTAAGATACTGCAACCAAACAGTAAGCCGTATACACTGTAAAAGGAAAATATCAAATATTGCATATCGTTTCTGTCTATTGGCCGATTTCTGCTATGGATTAAGTTAAATTACCCTACATATAGCATTTAATGAAAAATGGACACGGTCAATGTTGAATGAAGACAAACCTGGAGTTGGGATAGTTGGTTGTGTTTGTGAGGTCACTACTTGCAATAATTCACGGTTTCTTTGAACAGGCATATTAGCAATATGTGCAGGTGGCGTCCCAAGTCGTGACCAAACAGGAGGTTTCTCCGGCAGTCGACCGTCAAATGAAGGTTGCTCAGGATTATACATTTCACTCATATTCGGTAGAACCTCTGTGGGAGTGTAAAAATGGAAACAATTAGTTTCTTCCTTCAAACCGTTTTCCGTAAATCTCAGCGCAATATATGCCACCTAAACCATCGTCACGATTTGGATGGTAACATAAACTACACAGAGTTCTACAGAAAACATCAAGCATATGGCAAAATGAGGCCTGTAACAATCTTCTGTTCCACAGAACACCACGATACCGCTCAAAAGAGAATAATAAATTCCTACAGTGGTAACAGACATTTATCCTATTGTGACCACGTACTGACTGAAGACTTTAGAAAAAGGTAAACATTTAGCACTTGTCTATATACGACAGTAACTCTCCTGCAAACGTTTTTTATCCATTTCAAGCAGTTGTTAAACCATATTTGATAAGGGTACTACATTACTTTACCTTTATAGCGTGTCATTCCCATGTGAGGCCGCACATTAGCAATCGTTGGTTGAACAATGGCGGAACGTCGTTCATTAGTACTACTGGTACGGGGACCAGCAGCGTTTGGATGATCTGATGTTGGAACATGAACGTTGGCAGTCACGTGTGCCGCAGGACGAACAGGATATTGAATTGATGGTATTGGAGCTCGCATACCCAAACCTGGATATATAACGAATATAATTTACAATTAACGCTGGCTTTCTGTTTAACCTGTTTCGAGATGGTGTTTAATATACATGTAACAAATTTAAAGAGGAATTTAGTAGCTTATGGAAATGTAGTAAGAAACAAAATAAGGACTGAGACCAAAAATTTTATTGCCGTCTTTAAACTTATCTCTAATATCTTATGCAACACCGACCTGCAGGATTTAATGCTGCCGCTTCCGGGATAAATGCACCAGGATGAGGCGCACGAGGAAAACCAAGAACAATGCCAGGTATGTTGACATCTTCAACCACGAGCGGATCATTGCCATGATCATACGGACATAGTTCTCCTCTCATGCAATACCCTTTCTCTTTAGAAATAAAGTAAACGACGAGCATTAGTAAACACATGCAACATAAAAATGCATAGAATCATTCATGGTGTCAAAAAATGTACACTGCAGGTATTGAGCACATGCAAGTGATGTCAGTCAGAGTTCCTGGATATTTTTTGCCGTTTTGGTAGATTTACCGTAGTGGTAAATTTAAATTTAAATCTTAGCGGTTAGTTAAGAGCAAAAAGTTTAGAATGAAAACTGAGGATGTAGTCAGGTAGCGTATATTTTTGTCTGTGATTTCAGAAAAAGGATTTGTAGTAAACCGGGTCCACGCCACCCAACATGGCAGACTATTTCTATAATACGTCATTATTTTAAGAGCTCAAAGGTATTGTGGTTTTTGTCTATGTTGTAACGAATTATTCCCTTACCATCATAATCGCGACAGCGACCTCTTTTGGGCCATGGTCTGCCTTTGTATAATCTACTTTTCACTGAGGATCTGTTGTCATCAAACCGACCGTGTTTTCCTTTATAACTTTCAGAGCCACGTTGAGTGTTCTCTCGATCTGGAATGCAGAGAAACATACAAGTTAATTTCATCATAACTGCCACTATACTATTCTCAGGGCCGTAGCTAGAAGCTTAATTTGGAGGGAGTGTTTATTCATGTATTCATCCAATGTCTTTTGTACGCTATTGTTTATACAATGTATTTACACGAATATATGAATATCCACGCCCCTTCCAATTAACTACGGCCCTGAATATTCTCCAATCTACTGCACTCTTATTAAAATCATCTTGACTTCTATCCGTTGCCATTAGCATGAACTATAAGGGGCTGCAGATAAAAAGGAGGTTTGAAGCAAAAGGGTTCTGAAAGCACAATATATATATTCCCCAAAAGGCAGGAATGTGTACAGCAGAATTAGTACTTAAATTTGTTTTTATTTTTTCATGCCTACTGCTACACCCCTGATACAAAAAGTGCTCTTTCCATATTTTTTCTCATATACGGTAAATTTTTTTGACAGGTCGGAAAATCTATCAAGTCTGTGCATTTCGGACAGTTGGAGAACAAAGTCTTCTGAAACTACACACCAGATGAACCTTCTCTTTTCTTCTCAGATCGATCGTGTTCCCCAGATTTCTCATCGTCTTTCTTCTTCAAATTATCTTCATTATCCTCCATTTCATCATCTTTCTCTTCTTTCATTCTTTCTTTTGCCTCGGATTTTTCATCTTCCATGGTATCATCTTTTGAGAGTTTGATTCTTGTTCCACTATCATGGTCGGCCTCAATCCGTCGTTTCTTGCCTTTGTGAGACGAATGATAATCACGATTGACAGTTAATATAGGTTTTTCCTCAATATCTTCGGTTGGTTTTCTAGTTCTTTTGAAATCACGATCATCTTCATCCAACACGGACGACTAAACAGAATGCTGATAATAAACATCTCATAAAACTTGATTGCAGTCTGGCCAGTATAATTCTTAAAATAATAAAAGTAAGCCAGACGGCGTACGTACATGTCACAAGCATTATTCAAATGCACAATTTAAAGATACGTTGGGCACAAGATAGCGACGCATACGACTAGCGCGAGAAACAAATTAGGGGTAAATCTCACATTTGTATACATTTTTCTCTGTTTTTATGAAATAATGCAATGTAGTAAACTTTGATGTTGGACATCCCTACCTCTGCAGCTTGAGGTCTCAAAGTTTCATCTGTACTCAGCAATCTCTTGTTCACAGGTCGTGGGGGAGAAGGTGGGTTTGATTGTTGTGGAGATATGCTTGTTTTAGGCGGGGGATTGATTGACTTTGGGGTGTTGTTTTGCTTTACAGGGGAGATACTGCGTTGTCCTGGTGTGTTACTTGGTTTTGGTGGGCTCACTTGCTTCGGTGGAGTAATAGGTTTTGGTTGGATAATTGGTTTTGGCTGGGTAATTGGTTTTGGTGGACTGATTTGCTTAGTTGGTTCAACAGGTAAGGGGGTGGTGGGTTTTGGTGGGGCAGGGATGTATGAGTTATTTTGAAGAACTTCAAACAGTGTCTTCACAAATGATACTGTTTCTAAAGTGCAAAGAAAAGACTTACTACAATAGCCATTTTAACACTATTAGGGTCAGGTCAGGTTCCAACTTTGGAAAAATTTGTACACTAATGGTCAACTTTGGAATGTTTAAAGAGACAAACATTATGGTGTGCTCTAAACCTTTCCAGGGCCTTTCACCTGGCATCTCTAACCCCATGCCAGGTTGGGAAAAAGTGCATAGCCCCTGATGCTAGGAGCAAAAAAACACAACTGCATGTTTAAGAAACTATGGTGTGTACATTTTTGCATAGTTACTTTTGAACTATGAACTTTTGAATTGGACTTTTGAACTTAAATTATTTTTCAAAATCATATGACTGGATTTACATTTTAAGATCAATAACGTACATATGTACAATAGAAACATGGACTTTAGAACTTGTTTTTGAAAAGTCACTCTGTGGTATATTTATGTTGATACCAGTAAACATGTTAATTGTCAATACACATTTTTAGTTGACATTCAAAAAATAAACCTAGTAACCTACCTCCACCTAGGAAAACTTCTAGTTGATCAATGCAAATCTCTTCCAATTCTCCCAATGGTTTATCCTTTCTAACTAATGCCACAACATACTTTGCTAGGGCTGCAGGATCAGCATCACAACTACATAAAGTGGTAAGAATATTCCCGATATTTATTATACAAATATATAATATATAAATATTTATTCCCGATTGTTTTGCAACAGGTGCTTAGCAAATGATAGTTGCAACATGTTAGGAAACATGTTAGCATGCTCAGTTTTAGTGTACAAGGCAGAGCACTTGTTGAGGTAAATTATTACCTATGATAGTTGCTATTGTATAATGTACATGATATTGTACAGTAGAGCTACAGAAAATATATATACATATAGAAACTATCTTTCTTAAAGAGTAAGATCATTACATAGATACGAGCCAGCTGCCAAAACAAAATCCTGCATTCCATTTTAACAGCATTAGATTAGTTTTGTCTTTACCAATAATATACAAATAAAAGGCAATTTTTATTTGTATATTGCTTATGTCTGTGGCAAATTCCCAAGAGCCTTTCTCGTCTGGACAGGCACCTTGTGTTAGCATTTTAATGTAACAAGAGGCAACAATGCAAACTGCATGAGATATTTATACAGTACAAGGTAATGTTGTGACTGATCAGCTGTTTGAACTGTTTACTTCAAAGCTTTTGCAGAGGTCAAGGGCATTCCCCTGGAGCCAGTTGTACAAAGGTTGGATAGGGCTATTCACCAGATAGTGATTTCTTCAACCTTTTAAAACATGCTGAAAAAGCAATGAAGTTACAGGAGCTTTGAGAGAGAACTCCTAATCTAAGAATACTAAGGTTTAATCAAGGCAATGCAGAATAACAGGCAATTTTCGAGGGATTGAAGAAACCACTATCTGGTGGATAGCGCTATCCAGCTTCCATACAACTGGCTCCTGATCAATAGGCAACAATATTGAAATGTTGTTTGCAAAAGACCATGTGGTTTGCAAATATAAACAAAATTTCAACTCAGCATCATCATTGCATTTCAAGTTGCATGACAGAAGAAAATGCTTTGGTCACATAGTACAATTAACAAAATAGATAAATCACATTGCTATGACTTATAATTTCATTAAAATGGCTACTTCATACAATATCATACTTACATCTTCTCAAGTCGAGCTGTCAGCCATGTCTTCATAGCCTCTACGTTCTTTATCTGCATTTTTCAACTGTGTGCGTATAACAAGTTGAATCGTCGACAAGATCGAATATTGTGCAAATACTAGCCCGTTCGACAAAAATCTCAGAACGTTCTATTATCTTCTATACAAACCTCACATAAAGGTACATATCAGTATTCAAACGACACCAAAACAGTTCATTCAACATGGTGTTCTTACAAGCATTTTCTACTTTCACAGTCCAAGAATCAAAAAAATAAAAAAAACCCCAACCGCTTTTACTTATTTATCCATGTTTTTAGGTTTTAAAATCTGTAAATTTATTACATTCCTTCGCGGCCATGTTAAATTTCCGCACGAGACTGAGCACGAGGCAGTGCTACCACTACCCATTTCATCGTTGATCCTTCAGATTAGGTTAGGATCTGGGGTAGATTTCGGATCAAGCTCGAGGTTAATCAACCATAAACACTAAACCTAATCATAACCTAATCTCAAGGATTAAATTCCTGTATTTAGTATTTACGTCTTCCAGATATTCCCTTTCTTGAAAAAATCAGGGTGCCCTTTTGGAGGATAAGTAACTCGAACTTGCTTTTTTTCTTGCTTGCCCTCTGTTCCAAGTTCCAACAGCTATTTCAATTTCACATGTAATGATCTTAATTCATAACTAGTAAAAAACTATTTGGTAAAATATCCTGTAGGCTGTAGTTGAAAGTTATTCTTAAAAAAGTTGTCACAAAGTTTCTCAGGTCGTTCTTATAAGGAGGGCATACCATTTGACGGTGCGATTATTCTCAACGCACATTTTAGTAAGGACTTCGAACTCTTCACAGCTGAATATTCAGGAATGTTAAAATGGCATACTTGGCATGCGTATTCAAGGACCGGCCAAATTACTGTTGCATACACTGTCAGTGTTCTGGGAATCCAACCCAGAAGCCAAACACTCGCATGTTTAACAGTTCATGTGTTAAATGTGCAAGAAATCTTTTCGCCGGCATCAGCGAACACACGTTTGGCCCTAGACATAGACACTGTTTTTTAAAGCCAAACGAAAAGGAGGGAAACCGGAGTACCCGGAGAAAAACCCTCCAAAGATAACCTGAATTTCAGGTTACCTAACCGGCCCGAATTTGGTATTTTTATTTAGAAATCATCCGCAATGACGGTTCAGGTTTTCATTTATATTTGAGTGTTTTAGGTCGGTTTATCCGAACTAAGTTCCAGGAATTGCATAGTGCTATGCAATTCCTGAGCTTCGTCAACTGATTCCTGGTGGTGGTCTAACGTGCGAGGCGCGCATATCTTCCGTTGCAAAACAACAGGCTGTTGAAAATTTTAATGACTGCGCTTTGACCGACAAGGGCACCAAAAATCATTCAAAATACTTAGTTATGATCATACATTTTTTTGAAAACCTGGCATTTTGGAAAGAAATGCTTAATATTCACGACTTGCATGCTTTTCATCCGAAACCGATGTAAACAATAACACTCTTCTACTATGAGTACTGTCCCTACTATGACATGCACTTCATGCACGGTTTATGTTTTTATACGTTCTGGATCATGGTTGAAAATGGAGGAAATAAACGTAATCGGGCTCAACATGCAACTCACTTAAAATGGCTAAATCAATGATGTCCCTTACCTTTGGCACCGTATATTTACCTTCGGTAAACAGTGTACCAAATTTCGCTTCCTTTTGTTGCTCCATTCCAACTGACAGTTGCGTTCTTCTTTAACAACATCTCAACGATGGGGCGTGCAAGGAATCAAACAACATAGTAAGTGTGTCAAAATGCAAAAGCTCTTTTTAAATGGTTCACTTTTAAAATAAGAGGATACTATATAATATTAACCTACACTTAAACACTATACCCCAGATATCCCTCCATTATATAAATGCAGTTATTATGCAATGTAATATATCATGTAATATAGGAGGTATTATTTTCCTACTTATAGAAACTTCTTCATGAAATTAGTTAAAATGATTAGATTACGTTTATTTCCTGCATGCTTGATATTAACCAGAATATCGAAATCCGAAAATTTAATACCAACAGGGGAAACAGAAAAGTGCTAGTGTCTAAACATCAAAAGTAATTTCTTCTTCATTTCAAACTTAAATAATTCCGGAATTTAAATGTTCAAAAACTAAAGAATAATTTTTGATGCCACAAACGGTCGCATGAACAGAGAGAACTTATATAATCATATAAGTACTCTGGACTACCCTGATTCGTATTAATCTAAAATGAGGCCAATACGAATTCGATAATATTTTCTCGCTGCGTGCGCGTTGGCTATGCTAATTACATTCTTACTTTCATTTCAACGCTTTAAAGCCATCATGCATCTTCCGCAGCTGTTAAGTCGTTCACACGCAAGTGACAAAACTAGGAGTTGTGAGAAATTTCCTGTTATCGTGCATTGCCGAAAACTTGTCACTTGATGTGTGAATATAAGTTTAGACCACCAGGAGGAATCAGTCCGAGAATAAATCATGCACTTACATTAAGCATGCATGCATTACTGTAATTAGTAAACCTATAGTATGTACCTCAACTAATTTCCACTTGTTCACCCGTCTCGTCGTCCATCATATCTTCGATGTGATCCTGCGACGATCCTTCATAATCTGATTCTGCGACGATCATCCATCATCTGATCTTTCGACGATCCTCCATCATCTGATCCTGCGACAATCATCGGATCCTGCGACAATCATCTGATCCTGCGACGATCCCTCATCATCTGGCCTCTAACGTAGATATACAAAAATGTGATATACAAGACAGAAATATGACTTATGTATAAAGCATTTAAAATAAGCACTCAAACCCCGATTACAAACCTCCAACATTTCCTACTCCACTCGTCCAAGGCCTTTGCATTGCGCACGCGAATACAAAATGTCATGCACATTTTGTGGGAAATAATCATCGTTTTTTTCATGGTCCCGAGAAAACTAAAACACTCGACTATTACTTCCTTCTAGAAATACAATTTCTCATGCATTTTTATGTTTTAGGCGCTCTGTGAGCGATATTTTTCTGCATGTCCGGACTATTGTCGTTCAAGATGGAGAAAATATAAGTGATGGGGCCCCAGAGTCACTTGTATTTCCTCCGCATGCGCTTGACCCGACCAGGTTAATTCATGCAAAAACCGCAATCCGAAAAATTGAAAATCAAGGAGGTGAACAGAAGAGTGTTCCGCATATCTCAGTCAAAAAAGACAAAGCCATGCATATTTTATACTCATGCATATTTTCAACGAAATCGAGTTTTGTATTTGCGTGCATATAAATGCCCCAAGGCAGGTCCGACATCTCTCCACTCCGACGATTCTTCCTCTCTAAAAAAGAAAACCTGGGTAAAACTAAAATTCACGGGCATAAAAACCTTAGTTAACGTGACTTGCTTTCCGACTTTTTGTTTTGTGATAAAACTTGACATGGGAAGCAAAAGAATAACTACAGCACGATAAGATACTTTGGAATTATAAAACACACTCCGAACATAAAGTCTAGCATAAAGTACATATAACAATACGGATAAATATAGGGATCAAATTTCACTTTTAAATTGGTCTTTTCCTGTAGAAAACTAACATGAAGCGCTGACGGACGAGTATTCACACGAGGAAAAGCCGGGAAAGCCATTTTTTGCGAATAATTTAGAACAATTTAGAAGTGTCCAAAATTTCAATTAAACTATATTTTAGTTTGCATACCGTGTACAAACGAGTTATTTCAAGTCACAAAATGAATGCAAACTGATACATATATATTACTGAATATATGACAATACCTATTATTCGCTGCAAGCAAGCGTTTGTGTATCCGCCTTGCCCATTTTTCTGCGCCGTAGTCAGTTCTGAAATGAAATAACGAAGGGAAAACAAAATTAAGTTAACAGCTCACTTGCCTTTTACATTTTGAATCAAAATAACCAGATTTAGCGGTGAAAATCAGCAAGGATATGCCTCTACTTCGACCACTGCATGGCTTATGTTCTGCTTCTGGCCATTCAAAACAAGACGACTATTGAAATAATTTGCAAAGCCCGCAAAGATCAAGATTCTTTAAACAAACCATGAGTCTATGACCATGTACCTGAGCAAGATTCGTCCAACTTTTCCCTAAACTTCTTCGAGTGCTCCTTTCCTCTCCAAGAGTATACCAAGTTTGAATTTCTCCTTATATTCAACCACATTTTATTACCTTAAAGGACATTGAACGGACAATACACTTCATGCATCGATGACATTTAACAGTAAGGCCAAGGCCTGTTTTAAACGTCGTGTTTCTCGTGTGCCGAACTTTTCCTTGTTTTAAATGCGTTCTGCGCCTGAGAAGCACGGCGTTTGAAACCAACAAAGTTTTGAAGTCCCAGGGCAATATGTTTTGCGTATTTCTATTGTCCGTTGCAAGTGATTAATAAAATCATGATCAAGTGTGACTATAAGCTGTGTGGCTATAGATAAATAAGATAGCATAAGCGCGGAATGGTATGACCTCAAAAATACATTCAAATTTAAACAAAGTAAATTGCTTTTCTTTAATGCACGTCACTAATATGTTCTCCGTGTGTTAAACAGGAGTATAGACTATACAGACTACCTACAATTCTGGTTTGCATGGTTCGGAAATAGTTTAATAATTTTTATAGCTGTTTTTAAGTTCAACCATCCCTGCCACAAAGGCACAAGCGCCGTCATTAAATCCGCCAAAGGAAAATTTTTATTTCCATTGCGGCAGCAATTATATGAGCAATAATGCAAAAATAAAACCGATTTTACAGGTATTATTTTTAAGAACAACCATGCGGCATTTAACGCATTATTGCATAGATATTAAGATCACTTAGACAAGCCAGAAAAAGTGGCGTAACCATTATTATATTATATTGACAAATTACCGAAAAAATTTTCGTCAAGTATATCCAGTTCTGCCCAACGAATTTCTTTTGCAAGTGCAATAGCTTACAATAGAAATCTGTCGGGCAAAGCTTAATATATGAATTCACCTTCCCAATTATCGTTCTAGTTACGCCCATGCCCAGAAATGATAGTAAATTATTCCAAATTTCGTGTTTTGTCCTCGTCCCGCTCGCGCGTGCACCCACGAGACTACTCAGTCTATTATTTACGTCATAAATTAATACTTTGGTAAAATTTGGTTAAACAATACTTAAAGTGCTTAACGACGTTGAAAACTTCCAACTGAAAATGTCCAACGAAAATAGATCCAAGAAATTTCTTAGCCTATGCTGAAAATATGTTTTTTCAAAGAAGTAATATTTTTAAAGACTAAGGATGTATGTAGTAGTTTCACAGTTTTAACGCCGTTGAAAGATGGTGATGGACGTCCGGCAACTATCTTCTAGGTCTAAGCATGTGTAATCGACGAGGATGGAATTCGAACCCACGCGTGAAGAGCACAATGGATTAGCAGTCCATCGCCTTAACCACTCGGCCACCTCGTCGTGGTGATGAAAATTGACGCAATTTTTTTTGGTCAAATTAATTTAACACCTGACGAGGAGGGGTGAAGGAATTTCTTCAAAAAGCAAAATACTTTGTCTTTTTGTTATTTCTGAAAGAACTTGGCCTCGGCTGAAGATATCGTGTTTGAAATAAGTAGTTTCAGAGTTTTAACGCCGTTCAAACATTCGAAACAAAAACATCAAGAAAAAAACAGATGGAAGTCCGACAGCAATCTTTTAGGACTAAGGATGTGCAATCGACGAGGATGGGATTCGAACCCACGCGTGCAGAGCACAATGGATTAGCAGTCCATCACCTTAACCACTCGGCCACCTCGTCGCGGTGATGAAAGTTGACGCAATTTTTTGGTTGAAATTAATTTAACACCTGACGAGGAGGGGTGAAGGAATTTCTTCAAAAAGCAAAATACTTTGTCTTTTTGTTATTTCTGAAGGAACTTGGCCTCGGCTGAAGATATCGTGTTTGAAATAAGTAGTTTCAGAGTTTTAACGCCGTTGAAAAATTCGAAACAAAAACATCAAAACAAAACAGATGGAAGTCCGACAGCTATCTTTTAGGATTATATGGATGTGTAATCGACGAGGATGGGATTCGAACCCACGCGTGCAGAGCACAATGGATTAGCAGTCCATCGCCTTAACCACTCGGCCACCTCGTCGTGGTAATGAAAATTGACGCAATTTTTTTTGGTCAAATTAATTTGACACCTGACGAGGAGGGGTGAAGGAATTTCTTGAAAAAGCAAAATACTTTGTCTTTTTGTTATCCCTGAAAGAACTTGGCCTCTGCTGAAGATATGGTCTTGAAATAAGTAGTTTCAGAGTTTTAACGCCGTTGAAAGATTCGAAACAAGAACAACAAGAAAAAATTGATGGACGTCCGGCAACTATCTTTTAGGTCTAAGAATGTGTAATCGACGAGGATGGGATTCGAACCCACGCGTGCAGAGCACAATGGATTAGCAGTCCATCGCCTTAACCACTCGGCCACCTCGTCGTGGTGATGAAAATTGACGCAATTTTTTTTGGTCAAATTAATTTAACACCTGACGAGGAGGGGTGAAGGAATTTCTTCAAAAAGCAAAATACTTTGTCTTTTTGTTATTTCTGAAAGAACTTGGCCTCGGCTGAAGATATAGTATTTGAAATAAGTAGTTTCAGAGTTTTAACGCCGTTGAAACATTCAAAACAAAAACATAAAAAAAAACTGATGGTAGTCTGACAGCTATCTTTTAGGATTAAGGATGTGTAATCGACGAGGATGGGATTCGAACCCACGCGTGCAGAGCATATTAATGGATTAGCAGTCCATCGCCTTAACCACTCGGCCACCTCGTCGCGGTGATGACAAATGACGTATTTTTTTGGCTAAAATTAATTGAGAGACCCAACGAGCGGACGGGTGAAAAAATTTCTTCAAAAAGCAAGATGCTTTGTCTTTTTGTTATCTCTGAAAGAACTTGGCCTCTGCTGAAGATATGGTATTTGAAATAAGTAGTTTCAGAGTTTTAACGCCGTTGAAACATTCGAAACAAAAACATCAAAAAAAAACCAGATGGAAGTCCGACAGCTATCTTTTAGGATTAAGGATGTGTATTCGACGAGGATGGGATTCGAACCCACGCGTGCAGAGCACAATGGATTAGCAGTCCATCGCCTTAACCACTCGGCCACCTCGTCGCGGTGATGACAAATGACGTATTTTTTTGGCTAAAATTAAAATTAATTGAGAGACCCAACGAGCGGACGGGTGAAAAAATTTCTTCAAAAAGCAAGATGCTTTGTCTTTTTTTTATCTCTGAAAGAACTTGGCCTCTGCTGAAGATATGGTCTTGATATAAGTAGTTTCAGAGTTTTAACGCCGTTGAAACATTCGAAACAAAAACATCAAAAAAAAACAGATGGAAGTCCGACAGCTATCTTTTAGGATTATGGATGTGTAATCGACGAGGATGGGATTCGAACCCACGCGTGCAGAGCACAATGGATTAGCAGTCCATCGCCTTAACCACTCGGCCACCTCGTCGTGGTGATGAAAATTGACGCAATTTTTTTTGTTCAAATTAATTTGACACCTGACGAGGAGGGGTGAAGGAATTTCTTCAAAAAGCAAAATACTTTGTCTTTTTGTTATTTCTGAAAGAACTTGGCCTCGGCTGAAGATGGTTTTGAAATAAGTAGTTTCAGAGTTTTAACGCGGTTAAAACATTTCGAAACAAAAACATCAAGAAAAAACAGAAGGAAAGTCCGACAGCTATCTTAGGACTAAGGATGTGTAATCGACGAGGATGGGATTCGAACCCACGCGTGCAGAGCACAATGGATTAGCAGTCCATCGCCTTAAGCAGTCGGCCACCTCGTCGCGGTGATGACAAATGACGTATTTTTTTTGGCTAAAATTAATTGAGAGACCCAACGAGCGGACGGGTGAAAAAATTTCTTCAAAAAGCAAGATGCTTTGTCTTTTTGTTATCTCTGAAAGAACTTGGCCTCTGCTGAAGATATGGTATTTGAAATAAGTAGTTTCAGAGTTTTAACGCCGTTGAAACATTCGAAACAAAAACATCAAAAAAAAACCAGATGGAAGTCCGACAGCTATCTTTTAGGATTAAGGATGTGTAATCGACGAGGATGGGATTCGAACCCACGCGTGCAGAGCACAATGGATTAGCAGTCCATCGCCTTAACCACTCGGCCACCTCGTCGCGGTGATGACAATTGACGTATTTTTTTTGCTCAAATTAATTGGGAGACCCGACGAGGACGGTTGAAAGAATTTCTTAAAAAAGCAAGATACTTTGTCTTTTTGTTATCTCTCAAAGAACTTGGCCTCTGCTGAGGATATGGTTTTGAAATAAGTAGTTTCAGAGTTTTAACGCCGTTGAAAGATTCGTAACCAAAATATCAAGAAAATATTGATGGAAGTCCGACAGCTATCTTTTAGGTCTAAGGATGTGTAATCGACGAGGATGGGATTCGAACCCACGCGTGCAGAGCACAATGGATTAGCAGTCCATCGCCTTAACCACTCGGCCACCTCGTCGCGGTGATGACAATTGACTTTTTTTTTGGTCAAATTAATTTGACACCTGACGAGGAGGGGTGAAGGAATTTCTTCAAAAAGCAAAATACTTTGTCTTTTTGTTATTTCTGAAAGAACTTGGCCTCGGCTGAAGATATGGTTTTGAAATAAGTAGTTTCAGAGTTTTAACGCGGTTAAAACATTCGAAACAAAAACATCAAGAAAAAAACAGAAGGAAGTCCGACAGCTATCTTTTAGGACTAAGGATGTGTAATCGACGAGGATGGGATTCGAACCCACGCGTGCAGAGCACAATGGATTAGCAGTCCATCGCCTTAAGCAGTCGGCCACCTCGTCGCGGTGATGACAAATGACGTATTTTTTTGGCTAAAATTAATTGAGAGACCCAACGAGCGGACGGGTGAAAAAATTTCTTCAAAAAGCAAGATGCTTTGTCTTTTTGTTATCTCTGAAAGAACTTGGCCTCTGCTGAAGATATGGTATTTGAAATAAGTAGTTTCAGAGTTTTAACGCCGTTGAAACATTCGAAACAAAAACATCAAAAAAAAACCAGATGGAAGTCCGACAGCTATCTTTTAGGACTAAGGATGTGTAATCGACGAGGATGGGATTCGAACCCACGCGTGCAGAGCACAATGGATTAGCAGTCCATCGCCTTAACCACTCGGCCACCTCGTCGCGGTGATGACAATTGACGTATTTTTTTTGCTCAAATTAATTGGGAGACCCGACGAGGACGGTTGAAAGAATTTCTTAAAAAAGCAAGATACTTTGTCTTTTTGTTATCTCTCAAAGAACTTGGCCTCTGCTGAGGATATGGTTTTGAAATAAGTAGTTTCAGAGTTTTAACGCCGTTGAAAGATTCGTAACCAAAATATCAAGAAAATATTGATGGAAGTCCGACAGCTATCTTTTAAGTCTAAGGATGTGTAATCGACGAGGATGGGATTCGAACCCACGCGTGCAGAGCACAATGGATTAGCAGTCCATCGCCTTAACCACTCGGCCACCTCGTCGCGGTGATGACAATTGACTTTTTTTTTGGTCAAATTAATTGAGAGACCCGACGAGGACGGGTGAAAGAATTTCTTCAAAAAGCAAGATGCTTTGTCTTTTTTTTATCTCTGAAAGAACTTGGCCTCTGCTGAAGATATGGTCTTGATATAAGTAGTTTCAGAGTTTTAACGCCGTTGAAACATTCGAAACAAAAACATAAAAAAAAACAGATGGAAGTCCGGCAGCTATCTTTTAGGAATATGGATGTGTAATCGACGAGGATGGGATTCGAACCCACGCGTGCAGAGCACAATGGATTAGCAGTCCATCGCCTTAACCACTCGGCCACCTCGTCGTGGTGATGACAATTGACGTATTTTTTTGGCCGAAATTAATTGAGAGACCCGACGAAAACGGGTGAAAGAATTTCTTCAAAAAGCAAAATACTTTGTCTTTTTGTTATTTCTGAAAGAACTTGGCCTCGGCTGAAGATATGGTCTTGAAATAAGTAGTTTCAGAGTTTTAACGCGGTTAAAACATTCGAAACAAAAACATCAAGAAAATATTGATGGAAGTCCGGCAGCTATCTTTTAGGTCTAAGGATGTGTAATCGACGAGGATGGGATTCGAACCCATGCGTGCAGAGCACAATGGATTAGCAGTCCATCGCCTTAACCACTCGGCCACCTCGTCGTGGTGATGAAAATTGACGCAATTTTTTTTGGTCAAATTAATTTGACACCTGACGAGGAGGGGTGAAGGAATTTCTTGAAAAAGCAAAATACTTTGTCTTTTTGTTATCTCTGAAAAAACTTGGCCTCGGCTGAAGATATCGTGTTTGAAATAAGTAGTTTCAGAGTTTTAACGCCGTTCAAACATTCGAAACAAAAACATAAAAAAAAAAACAGATGGAAGTCCGACAGCAATCCTTTAGGACGTAATCGACGAGGATGGGATTCGAACCCACGCGTGCAGAGCACAATGGATTAGCAGTCCATCGCCTTAACCACTCGGCCACCTCGTCGCGGTGATGACAATTGACTTTTTTTTTGGTCAAATTAATTGAGAGACCCGACGAGGACGGGTGAAAGAATTTCTTCAAAAAGCAAGATGCTTTGTCTTTTTTTTATCTCTGAAAGAACTTGGCCTCTGCTGAAGATATGGTCTTGATATAAGTAGTTTCAGAGTTTTAACGCCGTTGAAACATTCGAAACAAAAACATAAAAAAAACAGATGGAAGTCCGACAGCTATCTTTTAGGACCAAGGATGTGTAATCGACGAGGATGGGATTCGAACCCACGCGTGCAGAGCACAATGGATTAGCAGTCCATCGCCTTAACCACTCGGCCACCTCGTCGTGGTGATGACAATTGACGTATTTTTTTTGGCCGAAATTAATTGAGAGACCCGACGAAGACGGGTGAAAGAATTTCTTCAAAAAGCAAAATACTTTGTCTTTTTGTTATTTCTGAAAGAACTTGGCCTCGGCTGAAGATATGGTCTTGAAATAAGTAGTTTCAGAGTTTTAACGCGGTTAAAACATTCGAAACAAAAACATCAAGAAAATATTGATGGAAGTCCGGCAGCTATCTTTTAGGTCTAAGGATGTGTAATCGACGAGGATGGGATTCGAACCCACGCGTGCAGAGCACAATGGATTAGCAGTCCATCGCCTTAACCACTCGGCCACCTCGTCGTGGTGATGAAAATTGACGCAATTTTTTTTGGTCAAATTAATTTGACACCTGACGAGGAGGGGTGAAGGAATTTCTTGAAAAAGCAAAATACTTTGTCTTTTTGTTATCTCTGAAAAAACTTGGCCTCGGCTGAAGATATCGTGTTTGAAATAAGTAGTTTCAGAGTTTTAACGCCGTTCAAACATTCGAAACAAAAACATAAAAAAAAAAACAGATGGAAGTCCGACAGCAATCCTTTAGGACTAAGGATGTGTAATCGACGAGGATGGGATTCGAACCCACGCGTGCAGAGCACAATGGATTAGCAGTCCATCGCCTTAACCACTCGGCCACCTCGTCGCGGTGATGACAATTGACGTATTTTTTTTGCTCAAATTAATTGGGAGACCCGACGAGGACGGTTGAAAGAATTTCTTAAAAAAGCAAGATACTTTGTCTTTTTGTTATCTCTCAAAGAACTTGGCCTCTGCTGAGGATATGGTTTTGAAATAAGTAGTTTCAGAGTTTTAACGCCGTTGAAAGATTCGTAACCAAAATATCAAGAAAATATTGATGGAAGTCCGGCAGCTATCTTTTAAGTCTAAGGATGTGTAATCGACGAGGATGGGATTCGAACCCACGCGTGCAGAGCACAATGGATTAGCAGTCCATCGCCTTAACCACTCGGCCACCTCGTCGTGACGATGCCAATTGACGTAATTTTTTTTGCTCCAATTAATTGGACACCTGACCAGGACGGGTGAAAGAATTTCTTCAAAAAGCAAAATACTTTACCTTTTTGTTATCTCTGAAAAACTTGGCCTCGGCTGAAGATATCGTGTTTGAAATAAGTAGTTTAAGAATTTTAACGCCGTTGAAAGATCCGTAACCTAAACAACAAGAAAAAGTTGATGGACGTCCGGCAGCTATCTTTTAGGACTAAGGATGTGTAATCGACGAGGATGGGATTCGAACCCACGCGTGCAGAGCACAATGGATTAGCAGTCCATCGCCTTAACCACTCGGCCACCTCGTCGTAGTGATGGCAAATTACGTATTTTTTTGGCTAATATTAATTGAGAGACCCGACGAGCGGAAGGGTGAAAGAATTTCTTCTAAAAGCAAGATGCTTTGTCTTTTTGTTATCTCTGAAAGAACTTGGCCTCTGCTGAAGATATGGTCGTGAAATAGGTAGTTTCAGAGTTTTAACGCCGTTGAAACATTCGAAACAAAAACATCAAGAGAAAAACAGATGGAAGTCCGACAGCTATCTTTTAGGACTAAGGATGTGTAATCGACGAGGATGGGATTCGAACCCACGCGTGCAGAGCACAATGGATTAGCAGTCCATCGCCTTAACCACTCGGCCACCTCGTCGTGACGATGCCAATTGACGTAATTTTTTTTGATCCAATTAATTGGACACCTGACCAGGACGGGTGAAAGAATTTCTTCAAAAAGCAAAATACTTTACCTTTTTGTTATCTTTGAAAAACTTGGCCTCGGCTGAAGATATCGTGTTTGAAATAAGTAGTTTAAGAATTTTATTAACGCCGTTGAAAGATCCGTAACCTAAACAACAAGAAAAAGTTGATGGACGTCCGGCAGTTATCTTTTAGGTCTAAGGATGTGTAATCGACGAGGTTGGGATTTGAACCCACGCGTGCAGAGCACAATGGATTCGCAGTCCATCGCCTTAACCACTCGGCCACCTCGTCGTGGTGTTGACAAATTACGTATTTTTTTGGCTAATATTAATTGAGAGACCCGACGAGCGGACGGGTGAAAGAATTTCTTCTAAAAGCAAGATGCTTTGTCTTTTTGTTATCTCTGAAAGAACTTGGCCTCTGCTGAAGATATGGTCGTGAAATAGGTAGTTTAAGAGTTTTAACGCCGTTGAAAGATTCGAAACAAAAACAACAAGAAAAAAACAGATGGAAGTCCGACAGGTAACTTTAGGACAAAGGATGTGTTATCGACGAGGGTGGGATTCGAACCCACGCGTGCAGAGCACAATGGATTAGCAGTCCATCGCCTTAACCACTCGGCCACCTCGTCGCGGTGATTATAATTGACGCAATTTTTTTTGCTCAAATTAATTGAGAGACCCGACGAGGACGGGTGAAAGAATTTCTTAAAAAAGGAAGATGCTTTGTCTTTTTGTTATGTCTGAAAGAACTTGGCCTCGGCTGAAGATATTGTTTTTCAAATAAGTAGTTTCAGAGTTTTAACGCCGTTGAAAGATTCGAAAGAAGTTTGCGTATTTTTTTTATTTGTGATGCAAGTTTGCGTATTTTTTTTGTTCAAATTAATTGGGAGACTTAATTATTAATTACTAATTATTACTAATTATTTTTTATTACCATTATTGATTATTAAATAAAATTGTTAAAATGTGATACAAGAAGTATATATACAAGAAGCTGACCTAACAATGGAGCAGTCTTTTATTTTCCTTATGTTTTGTAATATTTTGTAATAGTGAAAATTATGTTCTTTTGTGGTGCAATACGCGAGATAAATTCGTAGTTAATTTACATTGCTGGACTGAATCCTAATAACATAATAAAATGCGTGATTATATTTTGGTATTATTACATCGTATACTTCACTTTGAGCACTGCAAGTAAATGATATCGGCATTTGAAAGTATGTTTTTATTTGCGTCAAGATTCCCAAATCGCTCGTCTCTGGAATATTTCTTGTTTTCCTCTGGAGTTCCGTCAGTTCCTGTCCAGTTAATTTTCATCGTTTCCACAAAGAACCACATTGCGAAAGATATTATGAAAATGGAATGCATGAATCCTGATGTTGGCTCGTACTTTACCTTTGGAGATCCTATTGTTCAAAAATTGTAGCAGCCATAAACTTTTTAAGAAAAACACAAGTATTGGTGAACGATAGGGCAAGTGTTTTTGGGTCCTCTTTCGAACGCGCCCCACCCCCTCCGTAGTGACAGTTTTTGGCTTCCCCAGTGAACGTCCTTTTTGAGATTAAATATTAGTAAGATAACCATGTTCAGTTGAAAGTAATGGAATTCTCTCATTTATAGTTGGGACTGCTTTGTTAATGTCCCCCCCCCCAATAACGATAAATTAAAGCACGGCATATTTTACCTCGATCTCGATTTTGCATTAGTTGAAATATATTATGACGTGTAGGGAAAATGAATAAATTGTAGTAATAAATTACTCGAAGGAAATGTTTCTCTTACCATGGTTTTGTTGCAAGTAGTATGTCTTTTTTGAAGAATCCAATATAATGTAAACAATGCAACGAACTGCTTCCAATGTTGGTCCATACCATCTAGTGTGAAAAATATTTTTGTTTACACATTTAGACATTTACACGTTTACTCGAACCCTAATAGCAAATCAGGACAGGACTATGAAATTGGAGTTACGGGTAAGTTGTTGAGTGCAAAATCTTCATTCCATACTGAAAATTGAAAAGGATAAATAACGCCAAAGTCTAGTCTGGTGTGTGGAAGACGAGTTTAGGCGACTCAGTATTTTGGTCACGTCGAATGCAATTCAAACAATAGATAATGAGATGATAAACCTCATTCAGCCCCATTGTCATTATCTATTGTTTGAATTGCATTCGACGCGACGAAATGCGACGTATGAACTAGGCCTTAAGATAAATGAATGACACTAACTTGTGATCAAAAAGCGCTCCAAATGTTGTTAACGCAAACAACAAGTATGTAACAACAGCGATTGTTTGGTAAACGGAACATGACTACAAGTGAAAACAAAGAAGCAATTCAAGTCATAAAATATAGTAGAGAAAGTCTATGGATGGTATTCTCAGTTCTACCAGCTCTTGGATTATCTTTTAATATTTGCAATTGTATTTAACAACTATGAAATCATTAAAAAAAAGGTCTTTTAACAAAGAGTCTGTGACTGTCGACAAAAATTTTCTTCCCATACGGAAAAGCGAACCTGAGAAATTTCAAGATGTTTATAATAAACAAATAGAACAAGGAGAAAGTGACCCAATACGTAAAATTTAGTCAAACGTGGTAGCGTCTTGTCATATTTTGTAACAGGATATTCTATCTACAACAAAAAGATACATTTAAAAATGGTTAGCATGCAGTTCGTGAAAATGCTGCGCGCGAGTGTTGAATATTCACAATTTGTTTTTACAAAAGATTTCACTCGTGCTCTAGTTTACTGAAACTCAAGACTCAGCCGTCAACGTTTCCAAATATATCTTTATTTACAAGTCATTGTTTAATAATACAAGCAATGAATACAAGTTCATCGTTAATGCACAACGATGTTCAACATACATACTTCTTCATATTTAGTTTCATCCCCTAGCCTTGACTGTCCGGGCGACCAACTTGGACCATTGAAAAGTACGAAAAACTACATCAAAATTAAGCGATATTGTCATTTTCCACATTGTATGATTTGTCTGGTCTGGTTGATGATTCCATACCTTGTTAGAAATTCCCGGAATTGTCCAGAATGTTCTTACCAGGTAACAATAATGAGAAATCTACGAAATTTTGATGATATATTTTAGTTACTATACAAGCATATATACTTTCGAGATATCAACGAGTGAAAAGTTGATCAGTTTATATTAACCTGAGTCCAAATTGGGTTCCAGTGATTCACTCTCTCAACAACTAGGCCATAAACAGGTGGTTCGTTTCCTTGTTCTTCCACAAACGTTCCTGTTTTTGTATGAAATCATTTATGCATGTAATATAGACACTTGAGTATTCGCGAAATAAAAACGCAAATGCCCTTCAACATGTTTGGTCAGGCAGAGATAAACTGTTTGATATAAGGCATTCAGCTGTTCAGCTTTACGTACCGAATAACCGATCCCATATGATTAATATTCCGCCTGTAAATCCATTTGAAAAAAAAAACAAAACAGTTTTTAAAACCAAGATAAGTTATTAATATGGCACTGAATATATAAACTTTTCAGGCAAACAATGAGATATACGCATATCATTATGTTAGTGAACAAAGGTGTATAAAACATGCATGACTGAATTTTTAATTACAAAAAAAAAACACTTTAAATCGCAAAATGTTGCTTACCGTAATTTTTGTCAATGCAATAAGGATTTCGACCTACATTCAACAAAGAAAATAATTAGCAGAAATCTTTAAGTGGCATCATTCTATCATTCTATGTAATGATAAAAAGCTTTCAAATCAAATTGTCCTCTTTAGGAGTATCTACCCAAGTAGATTAGGAGTAGATTACCCAAATGGATTAAAATTAAAACTGAGGTGGAGGATTTGAAATATTAAGAAGATTTTTTGAGGTTTAAAGGTTATGTCATTTTATATACATCAATGTTTTTGCTAACTAACAGATTCAGTTTTCGTCGAAAAAGATTGGAGTGAATTAAAGTGTTTTAGTCATGCATGCATACCGTGATGAACACGATGATGTACTGGTGTGACAAAAACGTATTCTAACGGGCCAAGATTACCCACAACCTGTAAATAAAATGTATCAGGGAATATTTTAACTCCATTTTTTTCCAGTCTATATGTAACGACACTTTTTAGTATTAACACGGTTACATGTAGGGGAGTTTTGGGAAGATAAACGCGGTGTGATGGTGTTTTGAATAAAGTGGGCTTTCTAAACTCGAAGAGATCAAACTTTGTTAGAATCTAACCCATCTAACTGCAGCTGAGAAGCAAATTAGTGAAATGTTTGTAGTTTGTTGTGGATTAACTTAGAATTAACCATAATAAACTGTCTGAAAGAATTGACATAAAGAATTGAATTGAGTCTGAAAGAATTGACATAAAGAAGAACTCGATTTGTCGCCTTTATTTTGTTATCAGGTATCTTGGCAAATTATTTTACCTCAGTATGTGTCCATATTTGGTACAAACATGAAAACCACAAATGAGTTTTCAGTATTGATGGGGCGATACCAATCAATGCCAGTGGTAAGTAAAATATCTAAAAATGGATGTGGATAAAAATGGTTAAAAATAGAAAAAATGGAGGGATGCAAGATGGACGGATGCAGTTTCTCGTTCTCCCGCGTGTGTTTCTATAACTGTATAGAAACACGGAAAATGTTTTCTATTTCTTAACTATCGAAGCAAAGTATATGAGTAACAATTAGTGATGAAAATTATTGACCCTACGACAGAACAACAAGGGAGTTGTCAAGTTAGATTCCAAACTTGTACCATCCGTATGAAATTTCAACACTAATAGATAACTTACCCAAGTAAAAAACTGTTGTACAACACTTTGTCGTACTGATACAGCAATATTAATGTCCTCGGAGCTATGATGAACTTGATGTGCCGCCCAGAGAATGTTTATTTCTTCAGTTAAAAACGGAACAGATGTGAGATGTGATTTGATAAAATTTGTTCGTGTGCGCGCTGTAAAGACTCGCTATAAAAACCGAAGAACAGTCTTTTCATATATTGTTAAAATTAATTGTGCATTTACCATGAGCTGCTCGGTGGAACCAATAATAACCAAAGTCAGCAGCCAGAAAAATCATGATCCATTGACGGAATGATGATGGATTATCAGGAGTCGTTGTTTGGTAAATAGCACGATAAACAAGAGAGTATACAGTAGTATCCAAGCTGGTGACTAGAAACCTATTTAATATAAGACCAAAAGTATACCAATAAATACGTATACGGTATACTTTTTTAGACTGAAACCAAGAGTATAACAGAAGAAAAAAAAGAAATAACTCTTTGGTTTCTGATCAATTAACCGCGCGAAAAACTATTTGTGTTGACCACAGTGTGTTGACAGTTGACCCAACAAACGATGAACATTTTCTGAAATCCTCCTATAGGATAGCGAGTGATATGTATTCAAGATGTTATATATCAAGATATGTATTCAATTGACATTGTCACTCATTCATCAAGAAATTAATCCTGTCCGTGCGGCGAACGTCCTGCACGAGGTCATGGATTTGGCCTTAAAATGCTAAATGGTTTTTATTGCTATGAATGATCATGCAGTGTAAAAAGAATCGCTGCAGACCAAATGATTAAAGAAATAAACATGCGTTCGATATGGATCAAATCATTCCTACCTTGGTAACGCTGAAATAAGTGCTGCTGATAAACTATGAAGACAATCATTCATACGAACGGTGGACCGATTGCGAAGTTTTCCAACTACATATTCCAGGGTAAAGAGCAAGAAAAGGAAACCGGATAACTATAGGTAGAAAAACTGAGACTCACCATTGATGTCATGTTGATGAGGAGGGAACAGGTCCTTAATGCTGGGGCGTAAAGGTCTGTTCACACGATCCAATCTTTGTTGGATCCTATTCACTTCTGATGGATGTTTTGTAGTCATTAGTTATCTACATTTAATGTCAATTATGTCATCTACATTTAATAAATCGTTGACTTGCAATGATTATGGGCAGTCCACTGGACCCAATGCAGTACTGCTTTATCAATAACACGCTACACACTTTGCGTCAGTAGTGGACTTGTTCAACAAAATTGAAATATTGGATCTTGTGAACGTAACAGGCACTAGAATAATCTCCCAATTAATGACCTCGTCACTGAATAAGGTCTACACTGATAAATTAACTTTTTCTATTCATTTTTATGGCTACAAGATGGAAAAAACTGGAAAATATTGAATTTAGCGTCTCCAATGTAAACTAAACAGTTTTGACATGCCTTTTTTTTAACATGCATGTAAGGTCTATATTAGATGGTCACTGTTGTTTTAGTATATGAATGAAATAACGGTGTTTAATTGAGCGGATAATCTATGAAATTTCTTCGCTTGTCAAAGTCTCGCTATTAACGTCGATATTGCCTCACGTTATGATAGTAAAGTTTCAAATTATGTCCCCGTGTCATTTCGATGCCAACTTTGATGATTTATGATTAGATGTTAGAGTTTTTGATCGCGTGTAAAAGTTGACATCGATAATACATATTTGTCATCTTTCAGATATTTCATGTCTGTCATCATGATTTTCGTCTTCCCAAACAGTCCCAGAATGCACTGTGAGTTCTTTTAAAAATGGATAATTGACCTATTTATAAGCTTTTTTAATACGTATTACGTAATACGTATACGCTACGGATACCTTGGCTTTGATTTTTTTGACGTGTAGAGAAATTAAAGGTCTTGTGCTAATTACGATAAAATTAAATGGTATAGATGTACTGTTTAAGCTAGTGATACGTTATTTCTATCTTGGAAACGAATAAATCTAAAATATGGATATGAAATGATTTAACTTTTAGTTTTAATCTGTAAACAATCATATATTAGCGCCCCAAATCAGCTAGACCGAGACTCGATCGCATAATAAAATAATAAAAGGAATAAACGAATTGATGTTCATTATACCGAAACGACTAAGGCACGTCCAGGCCATTATGTGATGACCTATATCTGTCATGTGTCTAATGTCAAGTATTAGTTTTAGCCGGACGATCAGGTAATCTCTCACCGTCCGACGCGTTTATGATCTTTCTCGCCTTATAGGACCCAATTTAACCGGGTTTTACCGTGTGATTTAGTAAACCCTACAGCATCAACATAAGAGCGGAACTCTTTGATGTTGTTTATGCCTGGGCTATTCTAAATGCAACACAAACAAGATTTATCATAAAAACAACGAAAGGTTCGGATTTCTTTTCTGTTGCTGATTGGAACAGCAATTATTCCTTCTATTTTTCGTTTGGTGTTTGTGACCGCGTTCAAGAAAGAACACGCTAAAGATCTTTTTTGATAAGTACGCCTAATGTTTGTTCACGAAACTTCCTCAACTATGCAACAACAAGTCACAAGATACGCTAAACCTGCTTACTTTTTACCTCGCGTAACTTGCTTACGTCTTCAGTTGACATTTCTTATACAGCTGTTCCTGCAGCGTGGAACGACGACGTTGAACACTTGTACAAGTTGATCTCGTGAGAAAAATAGACGCAATAATTTGTTATATTACATTGTTGTATATTCATAATTATCTAAAAGCGTTTTTTTGAATGTACTATTATTAACAGTGCGCTATATATATATCAATCCCGCCTTTGAAAAAAGGCTGCACCCCTCCTTACCTTACATTTTTGTTGTTAAACAGTTAAAGCATCTCTGCGTAGTGCTATAAAATCTTTGTGCATTGCCTATTATAGTATTATTGGATAAAGTATTAAACTCACCAAGAATCATTAATATAAGTGTACTTGTATGCTAGTGAAAGACGCTAACACATGTGCCAGATTTAATAATCATGTTCCCACATAATTCCCATATGTCATTAATTCAGGGTCTCAAAGATTTATGGCATGACGCAAATGACACCTCTAACTGTTTCTCACATACACATCCGCGATTTTCACCTTTATTTCACAACCATTCACTTCACGTTGAATTCTCAATGATGTGGGACAATAGAGCCGGATTTTACCTTCTTTAAACGTGTTAATAATCCACCCATTTTTGCATTGTTTTATGAAGAAGATATAAATCCGAGTGTCGCTCAAATTCAAAATGTGATTCAAGTATTCTGAAATTAAGGGGAGTGAGATTTGGTGTCGAATCTTCTGGTGTGGTCTAAAATTAGCCACGTTTTCCCGATCAAAAATACACACAATAATAAAATTATAGTTTTTTTGTTTTTTATTGTTGTACAATATAATTAATTATGCATAAGCGGTTTTTCAATTCTATAATTATCCGATTTAATAGATTAATTTTTAAAAGCTTTAACTGCATATATTTCTATACAAGTGAGGAAAATTGAAAGAATGCAAAAAATGTATCGTTTCTGGATATGTTATATGAATGTTATAAAATCCGCGGAATTATTTTTGCGATATGTAGAACATTGTAATGTCTTTAATTAGAAAGGTGACAAGGTTGATAGCGGATTTTCAATTTCCGGTCATTTTTTAAATAATTTCGAAAACACGGAAGCGACAACATCGAAAGTTTATTTCATTATTTGTGTCTTGTTACCCTGAGTAGAACACAGCCGTAAAGAAACGAGTCTTAATAAAATAAAGTACTTTCAGTGGGCTTCTCATTATCATCTGGACATTATTACTCAACTTGAAAGTGTGAGAATTGTTATTCAATTTCAAATTAAACGCAATTACCTGATAATGAATTTTAATAGTTGTGTTAACACTTTGGAAATATTATAACATTACATAATCATCGCACTCTCATATCGAAAGTAAAAGTAAGAATACTTGATTGAGAAGACAGGAAACAATTATCTCACAGTTGCAAATTGCAATATCGACACCGGCAGTACTAGTTCTATTTTCACACGTAGTCAGGGCCGCCGAGAGAAATTGTAGGGCACAGCGTATTCGACCATGGTCGAGTCCGCCGGAAAATGGCGTATTCCACCAAGGTCAAGATCGCCGGAAAATGGCGTATTCGACCATGGTCAAGTCTGCCGGAAAATGGCGTATTCGACCATGGTCGAGTTCGTATTCGACCATGGTCGAGTGTACTGGAGTCTGAAAAACAGCGTATTCGACCATGGCGGAGTCCGCCGGAAAATGGCGTATTCCACCAAGGTCGAGGTCGCCTGAAAATGGCTTATTCGATCATGGTCGAGTCCGCCGGAAAATGGCGTATTAATTCGACCATGGTCGAGTCCACCGGAAAACGGTTTTTAAATTTTAGGTTGTTTCTTAAGTCGGGGGGCCCTTCAGGTTTGGGGCCCGGGGCAAAATCTCCCCCCCCCCGCGCGCTCTCGGCGGCCCTGCAGGTAGTGGGCGTCCAAATTGATCGTCCGCACGTCTTGTAAATGCACATGCTCGCACAGAAAAGTAGACAAGGCGCTGCTGAAGTTATTTGTCGACAAAGCGACGAGCAGCTCTTGCAATTTAAGTTTTTTCAAGCACTTGCAAGAGAAGTGATAAAGAAATAAACAACTAAAACAAGTTATATTCATATATTGTGCCTGCCAAATGAAGGCGCACCTGACCCTCTTCATATACAAACGAACACAAAGGACATTGGTTGAATTCCGAATTCTTCACTCATTGCATTGGCTTTCACGAGCGACCCCGTGCGACATGCGTCAAAGCAAACTACCCTCACTAAAACGTAATTCAGTATTCGCAAAAGTGAAGGTTCAGTTGCTATCAGGTTAAGGAAAGGCTGGATTTCCGCTTACAGAGAAATGGTTAGCTAGTGAAATATTTGCATATTTTCTTTTGAGTTTAGATTATGTTGTGAAATTTCAAAACAAAATTGGAAATATTTCGCTGCTATTTCTCTGAAGGTTTAATTAAACAACCAGTCTGAACTTTCAAGTCCTCCAGCTTCGCGATTACTGGAGAGCTAAGGGCTAAAGGCTGGTACCAACTTTTGGAATTTAAAAACCAATATGGCGTCCAAAACATCACATCTTCATCTTTGCGGAAATATTTAATACATTTTACAAATTATATGAAACAAAGAAAATATGTTCTCAATTAACGAAGTAGATTTTAAGGTTAGTATGAAAGTTAAACTAAGTGCATTTTATTCGAATAGACGTCTCATTTGCACACATACAGCAACTACGAATCAGTGTTGACGCTGCAACTATGACCTATGTGCTGTGGTAATAAAATAAAGCGGTCTGATACAGCTAAAAGTGCAGTTAGTTTTCAATTTTGTAAGCAGTAAAATCATCTACATCTTGGATTTAACAATTTTCTGTCAAGGAGCGTTTGTATATTTGACAATATAATGCTGCTAATGGTCCTGAGGTATGCAAGTTGCAAGTATTTGTGTAACTACACTTCCTGAAGTATGACGGTATGAATAGACCCTTCTCAGTCAAGTGCGAAATGTCTGATGTTACACAAAGTTTGATTGGCTAGTTAGTTTTGTTTAGTTAGTTTTTCAGATAATCATGGAGAGCATGTAGAATATATGACCATGTCACAAATATGGAGGAATAATTTTGATTTTTGCATGCCTCTCCATTGGGTATTGCAATGGTGTATCTCTAACTACAACTTGCGATTGAAGCCTGCAATGTTTATACATCTTTTTCCCAGGAGCCATTTGCTTGCACTGAATATGTTGAACGTCTTGCGAGTACAATTGAAGGTGGCGGAACTAAGGGGGGAGAAGAATCATTTGATCCAAATAAACTTCACAGCTTCTTTGTTAACTCAATACATCAACTGCAATCGCTTGATAAATCAATCCAAGGTCAAGTGAATAAACTTGAAGAATTATGTGCTAAAGAGGAGAAAGAACATAAAAATAGAATTGTAGAAATGGAAGATAACACCAAGGTACTGTCTGAGTTTAACCACCAGGGTTTGGAAAATCATTCAGAAACTGGATATATCAGGCTATATCAGGCTTTTACAATGATTGTTATTATGGCAGAGTAGCAGATGAGGCCATATCATTTCTCTTGGTTTAAAAATTTTGTCTTTTTTCCTGAAGAACATATCGTCTGTGAATGCTCTCCCATTTTTTTCCACTCAAAATGCAAGACAGTTTTGTCTGTCTTCTACTTTATTACACACAGTTTCATAGTCATCACTTGTATGTTTTGTAGACAGCAACAAAAATCTTTCATCAGCTTGATGATCGTATCAATTCTGTTGCGACAAAAGTTGTACATCTTGGAGATCAACTTGAGGGCATCAATACACCTCGGCAGAGAGCAAGGGATGCTTTGCAACTGATGAAGTATTTTGACGAATTCCTAATGAGCGATTCACCGTCATCTGCAGTATTCACAGATTCTTCCAAGGTATACAATATTGTGTGTGTTGGGGGGGAGGTGGAGTCATGTACATGTTCTGTTGTTGCTTTGTAAAAGATTAAGGAAATTTAAATGCATATTGGCGTCTCTGTGCCACATCATGCAAAGTTGCATGTATTATCAAAGTTGTAACAAGGTGGCTTTTCTGATACACATCATGAGCAGGACAAAAACGTTTCAAAAATTGCCAATTTTCAAGGTAGGGTAGCTACGGACAAATATTCGAAAAAGAGCTACATGTACATAAAGTAACTTTTTTGGTAGAATTTATCATGGCTATTGCTGGTCAATGTCACCCACGACTGCAAAAGTACTTTTAAAATTACGACGAAGTACAGGTTTAAGTGTATGTGTCTTGTGACCCCCCGTCTCCCAACCATTGCACTTAGAGTTTTCACGTGCGATGTACGCGCAATGTATACAATATTTGGTTCTTCGTAGATACACGAAGCAGCTAACATTATCCAGAAATTGTTCCAAATTTCACAAGAACTGTCAAATGATAAGTAAGAGACAATTTGCGCACCGTATCGTATTACGATTATTGTTATGAAGTATGTAATATATGTGATGATATTTTTCTTTAAATTTGTACAGATTTGAAGGTGTGAAAAGTAATATCGAAGGTGAGTGTGATAGGCATCCCCACTTTGCTAGCGGTGGGCTAGCCAGGTGTATGTCGATTTTTAGTACCCCGACGAACGGCTCGTAAATCGTGTAAGGTGTTACATACCGAGCTTGTTCACAAATTATTTTTATTAAACAGCAGTAAATAATCTGTTTTACATTATTTCCCAGCTTATTATTGTAAAATTGAAGATCAGTTGATTGCACTATTCAAGAATGCACATTATGCAGGCGAAGTGAAGGAGATGAAGGCACTGGCTGAAACCCTCCTTCCTTTTAAGGTGTGCCATAAATGTTATCTCACAAACATACGCACTGTGCATTACGCTCATGATGTTAAACTAGCGTTTGTACCTAATTTACCCAAAATTCAAGTGTAGTTGAACCATGAAAATATGCTTGTAGGTATATTTAATATACATGCCTAAATAAAAAAATCAGTATAAAGTTTTTTTTTAAATATTTATGTACTTACTGTATGTAGTCTGTCAGTTAACTTGTAATCTCAATTCATTCTTAGAAATATCAAAAATGTATTGATGTTTTTATTGCTGAAAGTCAAAAGGTATCTTTTTTGTTTCTAATCTTTCTCTGAATCTATTTATTTTATTTTATTTATCGCACTTTAATATCCGCAGCAGTCCAGTATGACGACATGGTACAATACAAAGATTGGACCATGCATACATAGATTCATCGAACCAAATTTCGAAACTCAAAATATTGCAATACTAAGTTAATGTTTATAATTTGATAATTTGTGTTTTATGGTATTCACTATAAACATCGTCTAACATGATATTATCCGTCTTAAAAGCATTTAGACAAGGTGTCTCCGTTGTTGGAGAGTTAAGGGGGGAGAAAATCTCGATCTTTACCCCAGTTTTGTATTTTTCATTTCATTTGGTACCCTAACCCAAAAGCGCGAGCCCAAAAGCATGCATTAGTCCACGTGTCGAGTTTCTTACCAGGATAACGTCTCTTCCCATGTTTTTTTCACAATACTCTGCCAATTGCCTGCAAGACGAGTTTCAGCTTGTTTCTACATGGCGTATTCTTATAGAGTCGGTTCAATTCTCAAGATGTGTTCAAAGACGTTGTCGAACTTTGTCGTGATGTAAATGGACTGGTTAAGGCCGTTTTTGGTATAAATGGAGAAATGGTGATGGGTAAACTTGTTCAAAACATATATGAAGGTGCAATTCAGGTAGAAAACTAAGTATTATTTTTCAGAATACTCACAAAGCTCAAACTATATAGCTACAGTATAGCAATTTTTTTCATCTCATTAAACTTTATTATTATGACTGTAATGACTTTATTATGACTTTATTATAACTCCTGGGCGCGCGCTATCCCCCGGATAGTAATTTTTCAAACATGCTTAAAAAGCAATCAAATTGCAGATTGGCAGCTAATAAATATGAAAGAGAACTCTCAATTTAGGAATAGTAAGGTTTAATCTAGGTTATAGCGAACAACATGTAATTTTGGAGCCATAAAAAACCACTATCTGATTTCGTACAGCATTAAGCCCTTGGTATTGCAATTACGCAATGATTTGGAAAAAGTATAACAACATCTGGTCACGTACTGCAGTTGAAGCGTGAAATGTTTACGGCAAACGTAAACTTAAAACGCCAAATCTTAATCCTATAATGGAGTTAAAATCAAGTTCGTCCTTAGCAGTTTGACGTTCAACGTAAAAATCGAAAATTAAGGTCTCTGTACATTTGGCAACAAACACAGCACATTGTCAGATTCTGCTCCACTTGTGCCGGCGATATGGCCACACGTCCGTAGAAAGTGGAACAGACCATCGCATATTTGATGCAATGTTTTAGAACAAAAAGAACGTGAAAAATTTTAATATTTATCTGTTCAGTACCAGCTAAGTCAAACGGCACACCAATGACAAACAGATACAGGCAAACTAACATACATTCCATAGAAACTATTTACAGGTGTCTTTATCACGCGATAATCAGCTTGATTTAATCGTCTTTTCTAGAAACATGTTGATCATAAACTTGATAAGAAGCTGTATCAAAATGATTCCAATCTCGAGAACTTGTACTTACTCTACAGCAAGTACGCATTTTCATCACTTTATTGCACATATTAGCAGTACTTATATATATATATATATATATATATATATTATATATATATATTATATATATATATATAATATAACATGTGTAAACAATGTGCCCTCCCGGCTATCACCAGAGCGCAATGGTGACTCCTGCACTTGGGACACAGGACGTACGGTTACACATTGTTGGAATTGAATAGTGAAGTCACCAGAGTGCATTAAACTTATGATGATGTCAAGTCATAGATAGCCTTTACAGCAATATGTATATATATATATATATATATATATATTATATATATTATATAATTATATATATATATATATATATTATATATATATATACATATTGCTGTAAAGGCTATCTATGACTTGACATCATCATAAGTTTAAGGTTACATTAATATTGTACAATACAATTACATGAAGAATGAACAACTTTGTTAAGGATAAAGTTTAATTAGACATACACGATAATACGAATGACGGGCTGTGCGTAAAAGAAATCAGGAGGTTTAAAATATCTAGCATGAAAATTATATTGCACCGCAATTCGGTTTGAGCGTAAGTTGATTTAGAATTACAGAAATAATTACATGCTTCTTTAGTAAAAAAATTACTCATTGCATGACCATACCAAAAATTGCTTATTTGTAAAAATATTTCTTATTAGGACGAAAGAATTAGGGAAGAACCTATCGAACTACAAGTTGGGATCAGACTCTTCATTTTTGCATCGTCTTCAGAAAAATGTCTTCAGTGAATATTTGAAAAACTATACCGAGTACGTGACAGCTTCAACGGCAAACTACGTCACAACCTCGTACCCAGGGTCTTTTCTCTGTTCTCACTCTGGAGGGGGGACACTCAGCAGATGTCCCCACCCTGGGTACGAGGTTGACTACGTCAAAGCACAGGTTTTTCTAAGGGTCTATATAGCTGATCACATTTCCTACTACATATACTTCATATATAGGAATGAACTGAATTATTTAACTGAGAAATGCAATAGTCTTCTGTCGAAGTATTACGAAGCCATTGGGCACCAGAAAAGGGAAAAGGTGCAAGTATCTGGGTAAGCGACATTTTAAGGTTTTATCCGGCAGTATTTTAGAGGAGGGTGCATTCATTTCACCTTCGTCAACCACAACCACACCGAGAACCAATATTTCAGTCAGTTTCAATATAAAGAGAGCATTATAATTATAACATAGCATATTTAAAAGTAGGATCAAAATCACCAAACGTGAAATGATAGTGGTAATGATATTGCTATATGCCAGCAAAGGACATAGGACTGCCCTTGATTCTCCCCGAAAACAGAGGGTAGTGGGTGCCTAGCTGTCTGCCCCCGTGAGTCCAGCGCCCCCTGAATTAATCCAAACTAATATAAACTAAGAAAGAGTTAAGACGTAATTCATCCTAATATAACATAACTCGTTCAAAATTTCCCTATGTTTTCCCAGTTTTGTAAGGGAGGCAAGATATATTATGCTCTGGGAAATTAACTAAACGTTCTCATTTTAAGGTTTAACGAATTCGTTCGACTGACAGGATTGACCCAGACGTCACAACAACAGTCTGACAACACTAAAGAAACATATCTCAGCCAAGATCTTGCTGTCCATCTTTTACTCGAGAATCAAAATTCTCTACGAAGATGTGAGATGGTACGAAGTTAATTTCATTCATCGAAGAATTAGAACATACTATCTAAATATGCAAAAATGACTGCGAAGTATGATGGACACAAAACATCAGGGCATCCATGGCATTCACACTGATGTGAAGCTAAACTGTAAACATGTCCTTATTGGAAGCTAAACATGCCTTTATTTACCTGAAGCCAAATAGTTGAGCACGTTTGCATGCATGTAGTGAGTTATATCCCGTACTGTGGCGCGGGTTTACATTACGTGCAAGGACTTGGTTCTGGGCGGAAATATCCCTTCAGATTCCTGGCCGCATAGAGCAATCAAACAACTTGAGGCCGATTCTCTTTGGTTAGACCGTTCTGAAAATGCATGAAATTTCTACACGGACTTCTTAATATTCGTTAATGCCAAACAAATAGATACAGTATGGCGATCATATAGTACCATAGTTAGAGCTATTTAGAACTACTTGTCATTATTCATAATATCTTTTGATATTTGTCTATAGCTGTGCAAGTCATCGGAATTACCGTCGTGCGTTTTCAACATATATTCCATTCTCTTGGATAGCCTTTGTCATGATCATCTTGAGTACGCACTCAATATGGGCTTACAATGTGCGTATATATATTGTCATATACCTGATACTGCATTAATGCAATACATAGTATAGTATAGTATAGTATAGTATAGTATAGTATAGTATAGTATAGTATAGTATAGTATAGTATAGTATAGTATAGTATAGTATAGTATAGTATAAGTATAGTATAGTATAGTATAGTATAGTATAGTATAGTATAGTATAGTAATAGTATAGTATAGTATAATAGTATATTAGTATAGTATAGTATAGTAGTATATAGTAATAGTAGTATAGTATAGTATAGTATAGTATAGTATAGTATAGTATAGTATAGTATAGTATAGTATAGTATAGTATAGTATAGTATAGTATAGTATAGTATAGTATAGTATAGTAATACATAGTATCTGCTCCAGACTATATAAGGAAATACATTTTGTGTTTATCGTTTTCAAGATTTACCGGGCCCAGAACCTAAATCAATACCAAATTCAAGATTTCTTGAGGTAGTTGATCAAGCTAACGCAATCTTCCATTTGTTGGAGAAGCATTTTAGTGATGCTATTATAAGACTTGTTGGGTATGTACCGTTTAATTGTGTGCTGTGTATACTCTTTTACATGTATGAGAAACGTGTTTTTATCAGATAGAAAACATGCTCATACATGCAGCAGTTGGTTTAAGATAATTAATCTGAGCACTGAAGGTAGAACCTCGCTAGCGTTGTTCTCCACTGAAGCAACGTTATGGTAAAGTTTGCTGCGATGTTTCCTGTTTGTATATTAGTTCGTCGCCAGTCTACTCGCAATGTATTCGAGTGAAGAAGTCCATGATGGAAGGAATGGAGCAAAAACTAGACAGTGGCATGGACAGGTAAAGTCATGATTTTTTGAAGCCAACTACGAAAACATTTATATCCTATACACGAACGAATATCGTTACAACTTAATGATTAAAAGAATGCTTTTTCAAGTTGATTTAAAACGCATTTTATTTATTGTTTTCTATATTGATAAAATGTTTGGTTTTGATAGTATTTGTGTTACCTTTTATGTTTGTCACCGTACAATTGATAGCGATTAACATCGTGTATATCATGCATGTTAATTCTTCTTAATTCCTCTTCATGCTTCTTAGGATATTAACATCCTATGCGGGATATATCAAATACGTACTGTCATCGGAGCAAAAGAAAAGTGACTTTCGTCCACCTGATGGAGGGGATGCTGACTTATTTAGTTGCACTCAGGTTTGACTAGAAGTTGATATATAGCTAAATCATTTAATATGCGCAGATGAGGTATGCAGAATATTTTTAGATGAATATTAATATACATGGGCCTTTATATCACCTAAATTCAGCGCTGGCAGGTGACGTCATAGTTTCAGGCTTGAAAGCTATATTGTCTTCTTATATAAGAATATAAAGTTAATATAAAGTTATTGAGAGCGAACAAACATAAAAAGCAAGTGAGATTTCCCTCTGCGTTTGTCTGTGATTTGTAAAGGTTTGTAAGGGTTTGTACCATTAGTTGAATAAGAGATTTCTGCCAGAAAACATAGAGCACTGCATTTGCGATAGATCTTAATCACCTTATAGTGCAAGAGCCTAATCGGATGATCGGATAACGTACTTATCCGAGATATATAATTACTCTGCCTCCCCAAACAAATACAATACAATACTGTATGCTTCTTCATATATATAGGCATGTAAAAAGTGTTGTCAGTTCATTGATTGTCAACGTACACTACTCACTGATTATGTCGATGGCAAGAATTTAGAGGCTGTATTAACAGAGTTTGGAATTCGAATTCACAGACACCTTTTAGATCATTTGCAACAGTACCAATATAATTCAATGGGTAAGGTATTGTTAAATATGAAATATGTGAAGAAAAAGCACAGCTGTGCATGTTTTAGTCTAGAAGAGGTGTCGTTATGTGTATGGCTTACGAAATCGATTATACTCTTCGAGTTATATTTTTCCCTAGCTTGACACTTGTCAACTCCTAGTTTATCATCATTGATTTATTTTGACATTTTTTAACGATATTTTGTTCATTCGCCAGGGGGAATGTTAGCAATTTGTGATATAAATGAGTACAGGAAGTGTATCCAACGGTTTAAGGTAATTGTAATCGAAAAAAGGTCATTATGTATTTCTCTTAATCTTAGGATTTTGGAATCGATGTCTTCTAAGTATATATCAAAAGCTGTCCTTCCGATTAGGGTAGATACTGAGTGCCTTGACAGTTTTAAAAAGATCTTCTTTTTTTATCTTTACAATCATGAATGAGCAATTGCTTATGCCGAAGTGGTCAATAAAACTTTACTATTAATTTAATATTACCCAACATGGAAAACCTTGTGTGAAAGTATAAAAAAGATGAAAATCTGTTACCCCTCCTTTACTTCAACCACCACCCCACTCCACCTACCTCCACGTTCTCCGATGACTCTGGTCATAGATAATAGTCTCGTTGAGGTAAAAAAAATTTTCATCGTAGCTGTTAGTTTGAGCAAACCGAGAACTCTGCCAAGGACGAGTTGATATATACGATCAAAGTAACAATCATCTGGTTACTGTTGTTTTTGTATTGATGTCTAATTTCTCACATGTTTTTTACATACGATTACTTTCCTTTCCTTAGATACCGTTATTGAACTCGCTATTTAATACTCTTCATGCTCTTGGTAATCTTTTGGTTGTGGCGCCAGATAATCTGCAGCAGGTTACAAAAGAAGAACATTTGGTGAGTAAGAAATAAAAATGTTTTGTCAAAAATAACTACAGCCGAGAACTACAAGCGATCGAGACTCCCTCTTTTGAATGTAATAGATCAGTCATCAGTGACTAGCAAATCCGAGCACTGTATCTGGAGTACCGGCAAAATGGCGGCAAATGGCCCCCACTGGATGAATTTTATTCTGAACAACTGAATGCGCACGCATGCACTTCTATACTCTTGCTTATGCATGTATATGACGTCTGAAATGATCACATTGTAGAAATATGATCAGTGTCAACTTATATTCTTTAATCAACTATAGCTATAATTTGAGTGACATTGAAATTCTAAACAAGGTACAAACAACCTAAAACGCCTCTTGGCCTTGGGCTATAGTGGAGTAATTTTGCAGTATATCATTTTATAGTATGCCATTGGGACTTCTTTGAGCACATACAGTCTAGCTCCTTCCTAGCCACCCACCGTAGACTCCTATACACGAAAGATAGGTGAATCAATAATGCCTGACATTTTATAAAGAATTATATGATTTCCTTGTTCTTTCTTTCGCATTTAATATATATAACGTCTCACACATTATTGTCAATGTGGTATATAACAACTGCCTAAAATAGAAAAAAGAATTCTCGACGTTTCGACCTTTGCGGACTTTCGTCAGAGGAAATGATATGATAGGACTTCCTGTATCCTATAATTTTCCTGACAAAGACCATTTGGGCAAAACGTCAAGTTTTTTCCCCGGCGATAATTATAGGCGGCTATATGCCAAATTTGATGAGAAGTTCGAAGAAGCGGTCACGGCGTCACGCTGCTCTTTTGGTTATTTTATTTTTTATGAAATCATCTCTGTTCAATATTTTCTTCAGTACAATTACAATGCACCACAATATTTTACCCAAAATCTTATCATTTATCAAAGGAGGAGTTGAATAATGCCTGGCGGACAGACGGGACAGTGATTTGTTAGGCTCCCTCAATAAGGCTGAATGAGTGTAGGTGTAGATAGATGTAGGTGTATTACAAACAGGTGTTGATATAATAGGAAACCCTCTGCAGGGCAGCAGAAATTCCGTGTTATAAAGTTGCGCAGAATAATATGAGCTACAAACAAGATGCACGCATTCATTGTTTTATATTTGTCACTTGAGGTAAAATGCATTGCATACGGATAAATTGATTCTAAAAGGTGTCTTTTCTATTCGTATAGGCTGCTCTCGACAAGGCTGTTACCCATTCGTTTGTTCAGCTTCGTGCAGATTACAAGACTGCGAAACTTGCCAGGCATTTGGAATAGATCTATATGGTCATATGGACTATAGCTATCGTAATTAGCTTAGTTGGATTTTAGTGCCAATAGTGGGAAATATCTTGGCCCCGTTAATTCAAAGTACAATCAATCAATATTTTTAATCAAACAGTTGTATGTCGACAGGGGCCAGTTGTTCAAAGCTGTGTTAGCGCTAACCCTGCATGGGTTAAATTCTAATCCACTATCCTCTGTTCTAAACCGCTGTTAGTTTAAAACCTTTACATGATTTGATTTCTATTGAACCAGAAAATACTCATGGAAAAAATATTCAACTTGAAAAGATAATAAAAAATAATGTAAATTAATTTGCGTTTACACTGGAACAACTGGCCCCTTATGTTTGAGATAAAATGTAAATCAGCCGAGTAAATCGGAACTTGATTATACAGACAATCGCTAAGTAAGAGAGTCGCTAAGTAAGAGAGTCGCTAAGATTGAATATGGAAACCAAGACCCCGTCGATTTGCTCTTTTTTCCCATTTCGCCTAAAATTATTTGAGCTCTCTAATCGTAAGTATATACAAAAATCATAGAACAGATGTCAACTGTCTACCACCCATGGTACTTGGGTATCTCGTTTTTCACTGATGATGCGCTTTCTCCAGTGAAATGTTTGAGAACAACACTTTGTCAATTTAAAGATTTAAATATTTCTGGGACTTTCCGTTCCGTCATTTTACAAGCAAAATAAACGACATTTGGAATCATCAAACCCCCGCGGTCAAACAAGGAAGAGAGGCGATGATAGATGGCGGGAAAAATCGTTATGCGAAGAAGTGAAAGTTAGTAAAAATGCCAAAAAAATGAAGCTCATTTTAAAACTACAATTAAAGTATAAAGAGGGGTGAAAAAATATGAATACATTCGACTAATCAACGGGCAATGTCGTGATGCGTCGATGCCAGGTGGGTTCCACAATAGCAAACAGGGTGTGGCGAGACTTGCCAATTTATCGCACTTTTTGGTTTTTCACCGACTGTGTTGCAACTGTTTTGTATCAGAAACTTAGTAGATAAAGTGGGGGCCCAGTAACAAAAATTTTAATACAAAAAATATGAGTAAATATTACAGTATTTAACGCAGATTGACGAAACGAAGGTCAGTAGAAGGTCGGCGTTCTACTTGTGCACAGACGTAAGACGTGCGTAAAGGTTACGTCAAGGTCTGTGCAAAGAGACATGTCTGAACGACGAATTTTTCATGTGCTAAACCTTCACAAATTATTGGTTTGGTTAATTAGCATTAGTTTCGGCACATAAATAATACGTGAGTCAAGCGAAATGGTAAGAATATAGTTGTGCCTCGAAGCAAAGACTATAACACAGAGAAAAAAGTTTTATCAGTGTTTTGTCTATTTAAGGGAAGTTGTTATACCACATTTGACGCTAAGTTATTTTAACAAAAGTTCACTTATCTATCTTTCTTGGTATCGATATGTCGTGAGACATGATGTGATGATCAATATGTGACCTTCGCCTTTGTTTACATTCGATATTCCCATGACACGCATTGAATAATTTAAGAGTGTGGCCAATCAAAGTGTGTTTTCGTAGTGTGTTATTCCGAGTGGCCAATCACCGTGATGTAAACTTTACCTTGAGCTTGACCTTTGCCAATGTGTTTAATATTGGAATTGACCTTCAGACACACATCTTGCGATATTTTGCCGTTTGTGGTGGCGGAATATGGTATATTTCTGCCCTTATTTCACATTAGATGTGTTTTATTAATGAATATGTGTGTGCAGTTTGACTATTGATGAAATAAGGGTTATTTGTGACAAGTAAGTAAGCTAAGGATTGAATTAAATATTCATTCAATGAGTTTACTCTTACACACGTATGAGCACTTTTCCGTTCCTACGGTCCTTACCCATGTGGCGGGAGTAGCATTATGATGGCAATTTTGGAATTTTCGTTTTGATATATACTGATAGTCAGTTTCTATGACGTTAAATTAAAGTGTGTTTTTCAGGCTTTTCAGTGAATTTTGTAAAAAAATGGCTATGGCAAATCTACAGGAGGAAAAATGTAGTAAGAGTGAAGTCTGTGAAGACTTGCTAGCATTTACCAGATCGAGTCAACCAGAACAAGGAAACGTAAGTCAAGATGTCGTTGATTTTACCAAGCAATCATGCCTAGTTTGTGATGACATAGCGACGGGACGGCATTATGGTGTTATTACATGCGAGGGCTGTAAAGGATTTTTCAAACGAAGTATAAGAAAAAATATGCGATACACTTGTCAAGACCGTGGTGATTGCCCAATAGATAGATCGCAGAGAAATCGCTGTCGACGATGCCGACTTAATAAATGCTTAAAAATGGGCATGAAGAAAAGTGGTGAGTGTTTTATGTACGTTAGCCCCGTTTTGCCTCGCTGTATTCTATAGTAATCTTAATGTCCTTGTGCAACAAGTTTTAAAAGTAGCTAAAGCCTAAATATGGTTTGACCTTTATTAACCTTGAAGATTCGAAGCTGGTGTATAAAGTAGTTCTCACGACAGTCACCATGACAAAATGACAAACAGGTAGAAAGGGAAAAGAAAAAAAGATTAAAGAATTTCCACCGCGTAAATTCCTTTTTTTGGGAATTTGAACGGAAATTGCAAATTGTTGGTTGCCTTGACCTTGCCATTTATATTTGACCTTGCAAGTCTTGAACTGACTGACCAAGTTGCTGCTAACTCACCCCAGAGTTAATGGTAATTGAGGTTTTAATCATTGGCTGAGGTTTGAACCAATGGCCCCTGTCCTATTTTGTTAAATTGAAGATTAGGATACAGAAAATATGATATAAAAATTGTATCTTCAACTACTACAGTATGGGGGACCACTCAGCTTTTCCATATGGTGCTGACCTCAGAGAGGTCCATTGTCAGCAATTATTGATGAGTCAATTCTTTTGTCTCCTTTAAATATTTTTTCTCATTTGATGATTACAGTGAATTAGTTGAGGGAATGTATGCATCATATGAAAACCGAGCTTTACTAGTGATCCCATTTTTTATGCAATCAACTTGCAAAAATAGTGACTGGCAAGCCAGTTCAGCATGTTTATTATTGAGATTGGTTGACATGCCAATGACTTGCACGAGTGATATGTGAAAAACATAATCATACATAAACATAATATGTGTAAAAACACACAAACATAAAAGTGGGTGACTGTGCTACTGTATCCCTCATGACTATGTCTAACAAACTTTTGACAGCTTGCTGATCCCAGTTCCTATAAGGTCTTGAATCTAGATTGCCAATTGGTAATGCTGGCCTGGTTGCTGACCAATCATGATAAGAAAAAAATTCAATCCTCTAACCTCTAGCAATTCATTAGGTGAATGCACTAGTTATATTTATGATTTTTTTTTAGCTAGAATGGCATGGATTAAAGTCAGCATGAAAAGCAAGAAATAAAATTTCCGAGAAAGTAATTGAAAAATATTTTATTATCATAACTAACCTCATACCTAGTAAATGGTATTGGGCATAACCAGCAGTAGCATAGCCAATCTAGTATTTGGTCTGGCAAAGTTAATATTTTGGTGTTTATTATCTATGAAAACAGTCAATTTCAAAAGAAATGAATGATAACAGCTCGTTTGCATGGCAGCAATGAAGGCCCGACCACCAAAGCAAATGTCATCATGACATTGTGAAAGTGAAAAGGAGAAGCTGAAATGATATGAATAGTTACTTTTTAAACTCGTCTATCCCCAAAACTGTTTGAGTTAGCTATCTGTTAGCTAATGATAAGTGTGACTGCACTGGCAAATTCCACTCTTGGTATGAAGGGCTCTGGTGTGTGGGTTAGTTGGGTGCAGACGTGCCGGTCACGAGGTCTTATTCGCGCGGAGAAGATTAATATCGAGTTGTTAATGCTTCGTGACTTCGTTGTTAATTCAAAGTTAGAAAACGGGCGAGATGCAGTTGTAAGGCTTTGCTGCCATGGTAATCCAAATTACTAGTTTGCTTATTAATACAAATTACAAAATACGCGGTTGCTTACCTGTGGGGTAAGGTGCTTAGCAAAGGGACAACACTCGGTTTCTAAGCTTTGCCGCTATGGTGATCCAATAAGTAAAAGGACAAGACTCATTTGTTAAGCTGCGTCGTCATGGAAATTTAAATAAGTAAAGAGACTTGGTAACCATGCTAGCTAAATGTTGGTCAACGGATAATATGCCAGCATCCCATTCTCACTAAGTGTAATATATGATGGCGTCCCGGCCTTTCTCGGTTGTAATTTCATGCAATAATTGGGGGGGGGGGTATGATAATATATCCATGCGTGTCGGCCACAAAAAGGCAAAAAAGTCGTAATACATAAGGTACCAATATTAGTCAAAATATTAATATGATATATAGTAGTGAGAGGGGTGCCGATTGGTACTGAGAAAATTGGAGAATTTGGATAATGTAATTCTCAGATTCCTGTCTACGCCCGCTTTTTAATCTTCTTGCGTCATTGAAAATTAAAACTGATATACTGTTTCATGACTACCATAATTCACGTCAGTATGATTTATTTATCACATGCATGTTGTAAAAGTATTTAATTTGTTTTCAGCAGTTCAAGTTGAAAGATGCCGAGCGACGCTGAACGATAACCAATTGACATCAATGGTCCCATTCAAATCAAAATTAGCCGAGAAATGCGACTTTGGCTTTAACATGGCGTTTCCTGAGGAAAAGAAACTGACAATGGAATACGTTTATGAGCTTGCTACCCGACTTCTTTTCCATTCAATAGATTGGATTAGATTTACTCACTCTTTTAAAACCTTAGTTCGTAGTGACCAAGTCATTCTTCTAAGAAACTCCTGGACTGACATATTTTTGCTAAGCTTTGTTCAGTGTGCTAAAGTCTGTCCGTTAGAGGCAACACTGAATCTCATGAAGCAGAATATAGAGAATATGGGCCGTGAACTGAATGAAACGGACGTGGTTCAAGTTGAACACATCGATAAAGTTAAAGACTTGCTTCTAACCTTGGAAAGACAAGAATTAACAGCAACAGAATTTGCCTTGTTAAAACTAATATGCCTTTTTAACCCTGGTATGCATGCATTATTGTGTTAATTTTCATTCTATTAGCATATATCCAGGTAGTTTGAAAAAGTTATCCTTCGAAACACTAGACTTTAAACATCAAGCACACACAGAATGGTGGGTATTTTTAGCTAAAAACTGGACTATTACTAGTAATTGATGCTCATTGTTTAACGGTTTAAAAGGATAACTTTTTTCATTCAGTTGTAATCGTGTATGCATGTAATCAAACACCAACATATACAATACAGCAGATCTGTAGGGTATCAACAGCTTTTTAAAAAAGTTACGTTGTCACTCGCAACTTTTTCCATTTTAAATGGAGAAGTATTTCAGCGAATCGAAAAATATTAGCAAATTACCATGCAGAAGCTACATGGCATTTAGGTAATTATGTGGTATTTTTTAGATGTTTCAGGTTTGGATGGTGTACATGACGTTGAAAGAATGCAAGAAATTGCTCAAAGTGAACTTCAAGAATTTGTCAGAGTGGGCCATCCAACCAACCAACGACGTTTTGCGAGGATCTTATTACGTCTGCCAGCAATTAAAACAATCAGCTCAATGAAAGTTGAAGAGATGTTCTTTTCTCCACTTATAGGAGAAGTGAGAATTGATCACATCTTACCAACGATTTTGAACAACAGTTACAATGCAACTAAAAACTAGCATATATGGTCATGGAAACCTGGATATTATTACACAACCTTGGAAACAACCTACTGCATGTTAAATTGTATATAATACAACATGAAAATTGACATTAATTGCTGGGCAAAGTTAATTGACTTATAATTGTGAAACAGATTGTGTTAAACTGTATATAGCTGATTAATTGACATCAATTTCTGGGTGAAATAAAGCAATAAAATTGAGTACAAATTATGAAACAGATTGTCTTGTTTTATAAATGATAGTAAAACTTTTGTTCGTAGTCGCAGAAGCAGAATGGTGTTGTACAATGAGATCCTTCGTAGAACTTAAGACAGAATTTTCAAGCGGAATTCGCAGCAGAGTTCGACGTCATATAACCGCTTAGCTCATCCCCATACGCAAAAAAGAATCGTATATATACAAGCTTATCGCGTATAAGTTGTATGCTGTCTTGCTGAGTAGTTTTTTAATGGTTCATATAATATTTCTTATTAGATCTATACTTGATTAACGAATCTGCTTGGGTGCGCAAAAAAAAGCTTGGAACCAACTTATGGTAGTTTTCATCACCAGTAAGCAAATTCAGGAGATCTTCCCTAAACGTTAGTAACTATACATTTCCCTGTTTTAACCCAATCATTTTGTATATACAAAGTAAAACAATGGTACGCTAGAACCCCTGTTGGCCCCCACAATATATAGCATTAGTGAAATATTCGTGCCTGCATGCATGCCACCAAAATTGTTTAAATTAATGGTCATAAAACGTTTTAAATGTATTCGAAGATTGAAATAAAGGTTTTTCGATAATGTTATTGAGGACTTTTATTTTAAATTGTCCGGTTTTAAAAGCATTTTAATACTTGTAGTGTTCATTTCTTGAGAGTCATTTGAGAGTTGCTGCCGGAATTTCAAGAATCTTGCTTTCTGTTGGTCCGCATCTATGTTTTGGCTTTGTGCCTTTAAGCATGAGGTAATTTTGGCGTGCACCGCATAGTTAGGCGATCGTAAATCACTCCATGATGAATCACGTTATTTGAACGCAGTCACAGGTTGTCATTTATTGAACGAACGAAAAAGTGCTTCATTTGAGCCACTGTTAATTAAGGTATATGCGAATCTTGACTTAAGCTTATAGTTATAGCTAACAGAATATATTATACGGCAAGAATGGAGAAAAAATTCTAGGTATTTTGTTATTGTAATATTTCCCGATTCCCTTTGACTTTGAAGTTAATTCTATTCGGCCATGCATATGTTTACTGCATGCGGCGTGCCGGATCAGCCCAATAATTTTTGTCTTGTTCAGTTTATCTTTAAATGAGTTGTTTTACGATGAACTAGAGTACTAGAGTCTAGAGTATACATACCAAGTCCAGTATGGAATGTTTAAATAATAAGTAAAATTATATAATGTGAAATGCAAATAAAAAAATAAGAAAATAAAATTTTCCAAAACCAAGCAGGGTGTTTTTCAACATATATAGGATGCCTTTTTAATTTTTATAATCATTGTTGGGTGTTTTAAAATTATACTTGATTGTTGCCCTTCGATCGGTTCTAAAACGTTGGGCAAATTAACGTATATTCTTCACAATTACACAGAAATTGTAACCAATTTGCATTTGCAATTAAGTGCAATGATTTTAAGGCAACAATCAGCATGTGTATAAAGGCAATTTGCTGTTTTTAGAAAAACACACCCCTCTTCCTTAAAAACAATCGCGAGTTTGAACAAAATTGTTCCTGGGGTTCTACTTAGGCCTTAAGTGTTGAACGATTTAAAACTTGTTCATTTTTGTCAGTGTTGTACAGTGGTAATAACACTAACACAGCATGAGGCATTATGCGTGGTCGGTGACTGACTGTTCTGAGTGGTTTGCAACAAAGATTCAGTCAACTGACGCTTGTGATGTTTGATCCAGCTGAGGATGCTTGTGGTGATGGACAACCAGTAAACCTCACCCTATTATGCATGTTCTGACCTGCCAAATGGGAGCAGATCTACATACCCATAACCTATAATTCAAATCGTGATATGTGATTCTGGGTACGTCATCTATTAGTATTAGTCTAAGAATTACCAATTTATGAAAGAAGTGGAATTTTTAACACAGTGTGGGATCGTGTTTTGTGATATTATCATTGAGGAATTTCATTGAGGTAAATGACAATAAAAACTATAGATCGATTGCACGTTATCTGTCTTCGTACTACAATTAGAAAATTTAGACTGTTAACCGCCTCTATTATGCTAAGCTGAAAGTTTAATGTAACTTTGTTCATAATAACAGGAAATGAGGCAACATGTTAGGACATCCGTTATAAGCGGTTGTTTATATCATCTGTACTATAACCAGCTCGTTTTAGCAACTTAATGTGACTTTAGGTTCCGCTAAAATTAAAATCTGCTCGAGAAACATCTTTATGACCTAACCATTAACCATGCAGCCTGGTTATTTGAGTTTCCGGCTCGAGAAAGCTCTAAAAAATGGTGCTGACCTTTACGATACGGCAGTTATTAATATTATGGAGCTGATATACGAACAATTAGACACACGCGAGAGTTACGGCTTCATTATACTGAGTAAAAACCTGGTTTTTTCTCCAGGATGAACTTATTTTTTCTTAACACCCGTAGACTTTAATTGATGATAATGCTTTTCCTGGACATTTTTGTAAAATTAAAATCCTCTAGAGAAACATCTTTATGACCTAACTATTAACCAGCCATGGTTATTTGGGTTTCTCGGGAGTCGGGACAGCCCTAAAAAATGGTGCCGACCTTTACGATACGGCAGTTATTATGGAGCTGTTATGCAAACAATTAAATCCACGCGAGAACTATGGCTTCAGTGTGCTGTAAAAACCTGTTTTTTAGGCCAGAATGTTCTTATTTGCTTAACACCCTTTGACTTTAATTGATGATAATGCTTTTCCTGGATATTTTTGTATAGTGTTCACTAAGCAACTAACATTCTAACACTGCACTGAGTTTCACAGCTTGCCATTAGACAGAGAATCATTATTCATGATAACTTTATTGCGCGGATGGCGACAAATAATTGACTGACGCCGTGACGGATGGCGAATAGTGTTGTCATACTGAAGCCGCACAATCCACGAAAACAAAACAAGGGATATACATTTTAGACATTATACTTCAGACATCTAATACCGTTAAATTTCGTTGCAACAAACAAAACAACCCCTGGGTTTTGTTTGTCTTTAATTCAGTTCTTTAAACACTTCTCTATGGCGACCACACTCTGGTGAACTGTACATCCGCCATCATTTTTTCGGCGTAGTCGTGGATTGTCCGTTCACAATAGCGCTACTGGGAATGTGCACGCGGGTGACTTAACACTTGGATAGGTTTACGGAATTTCTTTATTGGCTATAAACTCTCAGTTCAGCTTACTATCCCTATCATTTGAAATTGTACCTCTAGGGGGCATGTACATACTATAATTAATCTTGCATGGTCTGTATAGAAATTTCTTTTTAATCAAACTAAGGAGGTAAATGCATTGTTCAAGCCGTGTGAAACAGACATACCCTTCCGCAATGCCATGGTACTTAAATGTTTTATTGTAAGTTTAAAAAGCTGATCATGATGTCTTACAGTATGAGACCCACGAGGCTTATATAGCTATGAGAATCCTAAATGTTTTTCATGTTTTCTTTGCGGTTATGATATTTCAGTTATAAAATTATTATCCGATATTGCTAGGTTTTTTCTCAAATTCACTTCGACTACCACTTCGACTAGTTCACTTCAAACTACTAATTTTTGCGGTTGGTTGTTTGTATGAACACTTTTCAATACACCAGCATGACTGAATGCTGATCAATATTCTTCGTGAAACGCAAAACACTTGTTTTTAACAACAGGTTGGTGACGGACTGTTGTTTAATTCCAAAGGATCTCCATTTTTGCGTATTACGCACTTGTGATATCGATTTTCATGAGAGACGTACTTGATTATTTTTCAAGTGCAGTGCTGATTTGCTTTAAGATTTCAGACGTCTTCATTCTCATGCGCAGATGTATTTGACTTAATGCAACAAATTAGGTTAGGCTGATGAAAAGGAGATCGAGATGGTGGTGACATAATCGTGAAATTCACGTCTGGGGAGCACCGAGCACCCAAATGGGTAGGGGCACATTTTTCACATTTTGGGTCTCTAAATGGTCATAAAGAGTTTTACCTATATGACCATTACCTCTTGTAGCATATAATTATCCAATGGCAATGAGCACTGTGAATAAGCCCGGGACTCAATTACCAGCAGTGGAAAATTGCCTCGCCACCCCTCGACGCTACTGCCCAATAGATGTAGGGGTGTTGGCTTTTACTGTCACTGCATTCAATTGCCTAGCCCTAGTACGAGAATTTTTTTACGAAATAGGAAGTATACAATGAACACTCGTTGTAAATCGCGTGAGTACATCAAATGTAGTAGATAAACAATAGAGTTTAGTATATAACTTTACAAACACGCAATGTTGATACAAGACATTAATACTGCCATTTTAAAATTCCTTCCAAAGTAATCAGATTTGATCCGTTGGAATACAAAAATCACCCATTATTTACATAGCGCATGCCTGAATGTTCATGTCATGTCTAAATAGTCGAAAGTCGAACCAAAGATCTCGTCGCTAATGTAAAAAAGTTAATTGATTTAAATAAGAATCACCGGGCAAATATAATTTGACTTCACACTTGCGACTAAAATAACGGTGGGAGAATTATACAATGAAATCAAGTCGTGCATTGTTTTGTATGTCATATATTGCGCATGCGTGTTCGGAAATGCCATGTACATGTTTAGCACGGGCGCATAATTATGACTGTCGCCAGCATATGCATTGATCAATGATCTTCAACATACAACAACATTAGATTCGTATGTGGTTCCGTGTTGTGCAGATATACAGTGCAACAGTGTTGATGTAGATTTGTTGTTACAGTTTTAATTTAGCAATTAGAACGCAACTACTACACGAACAGCTCTATACTTCTATAAGATGATTATCGGCGATTCCTATGAATATCAGCTGGGAGGAATGTGTTTGAGTGTTTTTAAATAGATACAACAGTTCTCGATATGTATTATGTTCTGCACTTTCAATAGTGAACGAACTAGCTATGGATGATTTGGCAATTTTCGAAGGACTTGACTGCTCTGTATGTCTAGAGCGGTTGGACGAAACATGTAAGGTTTTACCTTGCCAACATACGTTTTGTAAAGGCTGTTTAAAGGCTATCGTAGCTTCGAGACAAGAACTCCGTTGTCCTGAATGTCGTCGTCTTGTCACTGAGAAAGTAGATGAGCTGCCAGGAAATATTACTCTTATTCGCCTCTTGGACAGACTGAAAGACCGCCAGACGAGAAAACACACTGCACCGTCGACAAGGTCTAAGGTGAGTGTGATAGTCACAAGGAAAATAATGTAATTGCACTATTTTGTCTTTTGTGAATCAAAAGCTATTGTGATTTCATGTTAATAGGCAGAATGTGTTACCGGTTTAAGTATTTCTACTCCATCAACACTACGTGTGTGCTATTTATCACTGTATAGCGATAGGGCCTTTATAGAGTAGCCATCAAGTGATATAGGTATAAAACAGCTCAACCTTGTATTATAAATTGCCATGAAAGAGCATGTATTTTTTGTTTTTCAAGAATCTTTGTTGCAAAGGTAAAACAAAATTCTAATTAGTACTCTGCCGTTTCTAATTGAAAAACTTTCTTTTGATGTCTGTCCTAATGTTTCCGTAGCTTGATGCTCTAGATTACGTACATTTAGCAAAATCCTTTCAGGCTTTTGGGCACCACGTACTGCCAATGAAGACGAGCGGCGACTGAAAATACCATAATTATTATCGATTATCTAAAAGAAGTCTCGTTTGTGGGCTCGTAATATCCGATGCATAAATAGACGTTCTGACATGTGATTTATTGATATTTGTGATTGTAGTTGCACATGTTGAGAAATAGAATACAAAATTTCAGTTACTCCCGCAATAGGTTCAGTTTTGAACGAGGGTGTGGATGGCTGTCTAAGTAAAAATTATTTCTGAATTCTGATTGCAACATGTCCTATGACTGATTTAACTGAAAATGAACAGGAATGATGCCCCCAGTGGCAGTTCCACTATGATAGGGTACCTATTTAAAGAAACACAGAAACTTAACCTTGGTATCCAAAGGATGATGCATCTGTCATCACTTGCCTGTACTATGCTCTTTATTATTTGACCTTTTAAATATAGGTGGTTTATATGTCACATATATGAAGAATAATTTCATCCAGGTATATAAATCACAGTGAAAGGTGTTTTAGTGAGAAAAATCTTTGTGCATTCCAAAGAACATTTATATACTATTCCATGTTATATGTTATTCCAAGCTCGTTGGAAATGAAACAACCAAAAACTTATTGAAAAAGAGTCAACAATAGCCAGAGAGGTTGGTGAGCCATAGTTAAAGATATGGAGTAGGTTTAATAGAGAGGGAATAGAAGTAACATAAGTACTTAGCGAAATGGAATGGCAACCCTGTTGTCTTTTAATTTAACCATCCTCATCAGCAGGGTTTTCCATGATGGTGTAAAATGTGATACTAAAGTCCTTTGGGTGTTGACAAGATCCAATTGAAGGGATATTTGCCCACTGTTGCTGATGGAGAATTAAAATTTGTCTTTATATTATCATTAGTTTATCATTAGTGTTCAGCTGCAACATGCAGGTATTTGGGTAAATGGTTGGAATTTGAAGACAATATTTGTTTCATATGTATAGGAGGTTCTGTGCAAAATATCTATAAAAGTATGTTGAGATGTATGTGAACATTGTGTCCATTATTTTTTTGCAACTTATTACCAACCACAAACGTTGCGGGTAAGAATATATGATTTATGATTAATTAAACAAAATGTTAAACTAGGTTTATATATAATTTCAGGACCTTTAAAGAAATTAGGAACCACTATTGTATATTTTTACCCTACACATATCATACCTATTTACTCTGGGACTCTCTCCTTTTGCTTCCAACAATATAGGCCTTTATGCTATATATATATGTATGTTATGATGGCAGCTAAAAGACTGAAGTGCCTAAAGTGTTTTAAGAAATGTGATATCAGTTTGATGAGTTGTTTTTGTTATTAAAATATTTCCTAACATTTGCAGTAGAATGTTTAAAATTGTGATATTGATCATGGAAACCATCAGACCCAACTTCTAGAAGCATATAGTCGTTATTTTTATTGATAATTTGTAGTTCATACATAGTTATTTTAAAATATTACGTTAATGTGGTTGGATTAATTTTGATCGGATTTTGGGGGAATAATCTACTTAATCATCACGAAATAGTGTACATCTCTGTCTCCCTCGTATTGGTGAAGAAGGCAATTGTGCACCTCATCTACGACCATAAGTGTATACGACTAACAGCGTCCGAACATTACAGAATTAAACGGTCTTCCAAATCACTATGCGTGAAGATTAATTTCTTTATTAAACTCGTTTGCTCTATAAATTTTCCAGATGTATTATTTTGAGTGAGGGGCACGTCATCATCTGTCGAGTATGAAGTATCACATTAAAACCTTTTTTTAATAGTCTGACGCATCAGGGATCGTGTTTTTTAACTAAAGATTGTGGTTGGTTCACTTCTGAACTATGTCTGTGATCCACCCTCTAGTTACAGGGGTGGATCATCTACTCCCTATGCATGGCTATGTTGTGTGATAGTCAAAAATCGATCGGGAATGCTTTAAAATTTCATCGTTTCACAGTCAATCACAGCTATTTATAGTGATATATCATAGCCATAGGCATGGAATGAGTTCATCAGCATGCATGAGCCATGTGGTGAGATATCAATACGTGTCTTCACAATAATCGTATTATTTTGTTAAAATTTTCACCAGCAAAAAAAATGTTGATTCGTTGAAGAGTTCCAGTCTGATATATGACATTGTTGTAATATACTAGAAATAACTAGGGAACGTCCTCGAATCCACGAGTCTACTCAACTCTCAAGATCTGTGGAAGAGATTTTTCTTCTATATTTTAGGGAGTTGCCCTACATCATTTTAAATACTTTTATAATTATGACAATGTACTTTATGTCAATTAAAAAGATCGGCTAGGAAACAATTAGTATAATCAGACAGTCGGACACTACAAAGTTAGTTTATTAATTTACACCCAGCAGTCTGTACTGTGGACTGCTGCGTACATCTGCGGATATTTATTTTACTCTAATGTTCTGCGTCTGTCAAACGAAAACCGTGAAAACACCAATCTGTTAGGCCTTAACCGATTTCTTTGTGATATGTGCCTGCATGCTGTTTGTAGTTAGTTTTCACTGCACTTCAGTTGAAAAGAGAAAATAGCCTGCCTGCCGTGCTTATTAATATTACTACTTGTCTTTGAGTATATAGAGTACACCGACATATACACATATCATAGCCGAATACAACTAAGATGAGATAGTTCAGTAAAAAAGGGCATTAAAAGGTCAATCTGTACAACGCATTTTTGGTAGCAATATTTATAAATACAATCTTGATTCTTGTTCATCGTGATTTTTGCACTAATACAATCAGCCGACATTTCAACACGTTGACGTTGTTAATAACTTAGCGTGTGATTGAGTCGGTATGTAATAACCTTTTTACGCAGAATAGAAATATACATTTAAATCATATTCGTACAAATTTTAACAGCTGCAACCATTGTTTAAATAGGTGGGGGTTGAGTTTCGATTACCGCAACTTATGATTAAGTTAATTGTCAGTGACTAGAGGAAAAACTGATGGTCAGACATAATCCTATTTCCTGTGCACAGTGTGTATAAACCGCGTAAAACCACTTGAAACATGCCCGAAGATATAATTCATCACAGGAATATATCTACGCATAGTTTTGCAGAGTGTTCAACATAATTATACCCATTCAATCCTCAATGTCACTCTCGGCTGAATACAAATGTATTTTAATCTAACTCTATATTGATTCCACGCGTATATACTGGCAGTGGCCTAGCAAGTTATATTTATATAAATGTATACGTAGGGCCATGGCTCCTGAGGGTTTTTACGGCACTTTTGAAACGGGGCTTACGAATTTGGCGGAAATAAAAAAAAACCCATCATGTATAAGACTTCGAGAATTTTTATGTAAACGTGATTACCAAGTTCAGATTTGACTTCGTTGTGTCTGTTGACTGTTGTGCTCGTATAATTGGTTAATATGATAGACTTGTGACTTGTGCTTGATGTTATTTTCTATCTACGCCTTGATATTATTTGAGCCCTAATAAAACAGTTGCTTATGACGTTATGTAATTGCTTTCGTAACAGCGCCAAGAGGTCTGAACGTCTTTAAAGAAGGTGATTAGACTAATTGCTTGTGTCTTTTTTATTTGCCCTATATGACTATACAAAGAAATAATTTTGTTTGTATAACGATGGACCGATACATTTTTTTTTCAATTCAATGGCAATATTTAATCTCTTCATCACCGAACAATCGTTAGGTAACTGACAGGATAATTAGTGTAGAGCGATAATTTATAGCCAAAACCAAAGGTTTGTCAAAAATTGTCTTTCCATAAATTTATTTGTGCACATGATGTAGTGATTGACTGATTGTACCTGTATGTTTGTACTTATACAAAAGTTCCATTTGGGAGTCGGGAAAACAGACGCTCCGTAGGTCCACATTATTCGTCGTTAGATAAACTAAAGATAATGTGTACAGATAATGCATGCAGTTTTCTCAGAAGCTATTTTAGCCTCCTCTGAGTCTGCGCGTGCATTCTAGTGCCAGGCTGGAGCTGCCGGGAAGATATATATTCCCACCCAGGCCCGCCTAGCTTACTCAAATACCATCCCAGAGAAAACTCATTTCAACTCTGACGAGGTGTTAATAAAATTTAAAGAAAGAAACATATCCTATATATATAAAATCAGATACTCCTATATGCTTTTATATGTGTATGTGTATTAATAAAATATTTAATTTGTGACAAGTCTCTAACTATTATGGCACGTGCGGTAATTGTCACAATTATGCTCGAAAGAGAATAATACACAATGATTTCTCTATTTCCTTCTGCAGATTCCATTTGACGAACCCTGTGCGCGCGCAAGATACAGCTACGATGCCAGAGAACCAGGGTGGGTATATTTATAGGACTCAATTTACTCGGATTATCATACATGCTTGTACCGATGAGCGAAAAATATAACACTTCGTCTTTTACTATGCAAATAATTCAGTGGAGTCAAAGTGTTGGTTGCCTGCAGCATACAGTCTAAGTAGTCCCCATGCATGCATCCGTAATAATAGTATTTGGCTATTTGCATGGGATATCTTTCTCATCTTTTGTTGCTTGCATGAAAGACAATAGCCGGAAACGTTGTTGGAGACCTCGCCAAAATACCGGATTTGTGTGGCAAACACTGCTTCTAACTTCCTATTTAACGTTTTCACTCGGGGTTTTATAAGCGTGTGAATTTCACAATACAGACGTGACGTGTTCTTAGAGCTCTGCTAAATCAAAATATTAAAAGACGAAAAGGCGAGCTTGATAACTGCGATAAGCCTCATACATGATGACTATCGCCAATCTTCATCGAAAAGCAAAACGGGAAATAATCAATCATCAAATGTTATCAAACAGAATGGCTGGACTCAAGTTAAAGAGAGAAATGCGATGTCCGCTCGTGTTGCTGAGAGTAATGACCGTGACTGCTTTGTTGTAGAGGATTCCAACAGATATATGACCCTGAATGATGAAGCATCTGGCGATAGTTCTAATGTATCTACAAGCAACGATAATGATAAGGATGCTTTTTATGGCGATACGTCCAATAAACAAGGCCTAAAGCAAACACCAAAAAAGAAAAAGATCAATACGTCAATAGCAACGTCGGCCACGCAAACTGTAAAGTCAGCAATAACCGATGATATGGCTGCGTCAAAAACTGCCTTCAACCGAACGACGATACACCCAGCAAAAAAGAAAACCGTTGTCATCGCTGGTGACTCCATGGTTAAAAATGTTATTGGTGCAAAAATGAGTAATGTAGATAGGGATCACTTCTATGTGGTAAAGCCCTTTCCAGGAGCAACTGTTGAAGACATGAATGACTTTATTAAACCGCTAATCAGGAAAAGACCAGATAAGCTGATTCTTCACGTTGGAACCAACAATCTTAAGAGTTCGTCCGCAAAAGTTGTTGCCGATTCTATCGTAGATCTTACGAACACAATCAAGCACTCCTCTCCAGATACAGTTGTAGGTGTCTCAGCACTTGTGGTAAGGAATGATAATCAAGAACTTGCTGGTAAGGTAAAACAAGTTAATGATATGCTAAGAAGTCATTGTAAACACTCCCAAATATCGTATTTAGAAAATGCTAACATTAATAGTTCCCATTTGAACTTCAGAGGCCTTCATCTAAATAATGTAGGCAGCTCAATTCTTCAGGACAATTTAAGAGAATTTGCAAATAATATACCTAATTGACATGATATTTCCCCGGACATTTCAGCAATAACCTCCGATAATCAACTAAATGACTTGTTGAATGACCCGGCAATAGCAAATTGTAATTCTGAATCTGCTCTTAGCGAAATTGCTAATCTCAAAGGTTTTCGAATAGCTAGCCTAAATGTTAATAGCCTCTTGAAGCATATCGATGAGCTTCGAGTAATATTGGAAAAATGTCCGATTGATGTCTTAGCCATCAATGAGTCCAAAATCGATGAATTTGTCTCAGACCATGAAATTAAAATACCTGGATACGATTTATTCAGAAAGGATCGTAATAGACACGGTGGGGGTGTCGTTTTATATGTTAGAAACTGCTTTTCATGTGTTGAACGTACAGAATTGGTTCCAAATTCGCTTGAAATGGTGTGCATTGAAATTTTTCGTCAATATAGCAAGCCATTCTTAGTTTGTTCTTGGTACAGACCTCCGAATGCTAATATAAGTTTGTTTGACGACTTTGAACGCTTTATTCAAAAATGTGATATGGAAAATAAAGAATTAATAGCTTTAGGGGACTTTAATTGTGACGTTAGTAAATCCCCATATGATAATCACACGCAAACATTATTAAATATATGTACGTTATATCAGCTGAAACAACTGATAGAAGAACCAACTAGGGTGACTAAAACAACTGCAACCTTAATTGACTTGGTTCTAGCTAACAATCCTGAGAGTATTTCTAACTATGGAGTAATTAATTTAGGGATTTCCGATCATAACCTAATTTTTGCTGTCAAAAAAATGGTGTTTCCAAAGAAAAAACAAGCCTTTAAGGAATTTCGAAATTTTAAAAATTTTAATGAACGACAATTTCTCGAAGACTTAAATACGGTTCCCTGGGATTATGTGAACCAATTTAATGACCCAAATGATAGCTGGCAAATTTGGAAATTATTCTTTCTAGAGACACTCGATAGGCATGCGCCAATTCAGAGTAGGCGGACTAAAACTAAATCAATGCCATGGGTAAATGCATCCATAAAGCAACTTATGAGGGAAAGAGACCTCCATCAGAAATTGGCTAAAAAATTTGGCTCTGAAGCGCATTGGGAAAAGTATAAAACCATCAGAAACAAAGTGAATTCTGAAATAAGGAAAGCTAAAGCTAACTACTTTAATAATAAACTTTCAGAATCCTCTCAGCAGAGAAATGTTAAAAAAAGCTGGTCATTAATTAATACTCTTCTAGGTAAAGACGGTAGTAAATCTACAATAGTCAATGAACTCAATATCGGCGGCAGCGTTATTACAGACGGAGTTTCAATTGCAAATCAACTAAATAACTATTTTGTTAATATTGGCCCGTCACTAGCGGCTGAAGTGACAAATTGTAACGCTGCCTACGAAACAAAAGTTAAGGATTCTACTTGCCGTTCAACATTTTGCTTCTCAGGTCTAAGTATTGATCAAATTGCAAATAATCTAAAATCTCTAAAAGTTTCTAAAGCTACGGGACTCGATAAAATTCCAGCAAAAGTACTTAAACTATCTGCGGATATAATTGCTCCATCACTGACTGCCATTTTTAATCTATCATTATATACTGGGAAATTTGTCAATGATTGGAAAATAGCACGAGTCCAACCAATCTATAAATCCGAAGATAGGAGAAAGTGTGAAAATTACCGTCCGATCTCCATTCTGCCAATTGTTAGCAAAATATTTGAGAAAGAAATTTTTCGACAACTATATGACTATCTGTCAGAGAACACAGCAAAAAATCATTTTCTTATTTCAAGAAAAAAAAACTCATTTTAAGAAAATTTTCTTAAAATGAGTTCAAATTTTCTTGGGAGAATAATAAGAAAATTTTCTTACTTTTTTTCTTAAGAATTTTTTTCTTAAGAAAATTTTTTCAAAATAAGAAAAGTTGCACACAAATAATTTCTCAGTTTAAGAAAATTTTCTTGAAATTAGTCCAAAATTTCTTATAGAATGTTCATAATCAGAAAAATTTTCTTAAGAAATTTTTCTTAATATAAGAAATATTTCCAAGAAAATATTTTCTTATAATAAGAAAAGTTAATTCTCAAGAAACCCTAGAAACTCTGACATGATATTTTGTTATAAGTAAGAATGTAATGTAAATTTACTAAAATATTCATGAGTCAGAATATAGAATACACAGCAGACATTAATACATGAGAATTATAGGCCCTACATGATTATTTAGAAATACAGAGAAATGATAATATATAATATTGCACCACGGCTTTGAAGGTTTTGTATTTGTCCAGTGTTTATTTGACATGTTTTTAAATATCAATTATTGCAGTACAGATCAATATTGCAAAAGGATTTGTGGTGCTTAAAATCAGATGAGACATCATCAGATAAATTTGAGAGTAAATTAATTAAAAATTGGTGAGAAGTAAATCCTAAGTTCACACTTAAATTAGAATAAAACTTTGCAATCATGTTAGGAATTGAGTTCATCAAACAAAAAATACTGGTAAATGATAATTTAGCTACTCTGGGGAATTTTAAGCTATTCTTTAGCTATCGCTTGCAATACTGCCATCTTTAAGAAAACTACTTTAAGACCATTATCAAATACACCCATCCTTCAACCCATTCTACACTGCTTTTCTACCTCCCTATAATAGTTTAAATTCCAATCAATTCACCATGAAACTGCATGTAATTAATTCAAATAATATATAGATAGAGGCCTTATCCAATGAAATCAAATGGTGTTATTCCAAAAATTGTCCCTAACAAAGTGTGTATGGATAAATGTATCTGAAGGCAAAATAGAGAGCTTTTGATAATTTTAATGATATAGGCAGACTCTGATGCACAATTTATACCCTTTGGAACAGTCGCAACCCTACTGTGGAGAAGCACTGTTACATTTAATAACCCGTCTGGATTTAGTATCAATCTGAAAATACAACTCAACTCTAATCCTACATTTCAAACAAAGACATTATAAACACTGCCATATGCTGCAAATTGCTGAGGAATTCTAAGGTATTGTTTAGCTATCCCTGCTATAGAGTTTGTCTTTTGCACAAGATAAATATACTTTATTCACGTAACTCGTGATACTTATTTCTACTACAACCAAGCGTGTGTTCTTCTACGTTTTTTGTACGTCCTCTGAGCCCGCGCTCTTGTCCTATATCTAACATCATATACGTTGTGCTATAACATGCAACAACACTACATCTCTCCCTTTTATCGAACTGTAACCATAACACAACAAAACAAATTATTATTAATGTTAAAGTTGTTTCAGATGTTAGCTTTAATACATCACATAGTCACCAAGATAGTTCGGACGCCGCCTTTCTCTTGCTGGTCGTTGGTTTTGACCTCGCTGTTCCTGACCTGCGTTTTGAAGTTCTACATTGTTCTCGTTGCTCCCATCGTCATCATCATCATCATCCTCTCCACTGTCGTTAGGAATGTTTGCCCACTGCTCTGCTGCCCGTTTTGTAACTTTCTTAAGATGAGAGGAATTTCTGCTTAGTGTTGATCCATCTGTTTTCTGTACGGTCACTAATGTTCCTTTCTTCCTGGTGACAAGTGCAGGTTTAGGATTATAGCGTGAGGACAACTTATTCTTTCGCTTCTGTTTTATCAATACCATATCACCTACACAAACGCGGC